CCCATTTCGATGGCAATCTGCTCCACGCAATTGGAAAGAAAATCCGCCGGGAGGAGGTCGAGATTGCAGAGGGCGCCGTCGTAAATTGGAAAAGTCTCGACCCCTTCGCGGCCAAGGTCGCGGATTTTGTTTTCGATCGAGGAACAGATCGCATTCTCTTCGTCGTTCATCAAATACGACAGCAACGACGGAAGCGGATCGCGACAGAACTTGTCCTGCGGGCCTCTCTTCGGGTTCGCTTTTCGCTCTTCGGGATCGCTTTCATTCTCTTCCTACTCTACTTTTCAGATCTGCCCGGCTTCGCTTTTCGCTTTTCGCTTCTCGGGATCGTTTTCAAATTTTTTCTACTTAATATATTTCAGATCTCTCTGTCCGGCTTCGCTTTTCGCTTTTCGCTTCTCGGGATCGTTTTCAAATTTTTTCTACTTAATATATTTCAGATCTCTCTGTCCGGCTTCGCTTTTCGCTTTTCGCTTTTCGGGATCGTTTTCAAGTTTTTTCTACTTAATATCAAAGCTGTGCGCTTTCTTTTAGGAAATGAGGTAGATCACGGTGCTACTCTGCTTATTTGGGTCGATCCCTTGTTGTTGCGTGCGCTTTCTGTTTCTTATGAACGTTGATTTCAAAATAAACAACAAGTAATCTTCGGTTGACTCGTAACTTTAATCGGTTGCCGTTATCATCGGTTTGATCTTAAACTCGAAATCGGATCAGTGTTCTTATGAAAAACCACTCTGTATGACACATCTAATCGGATTCCTTTTTGTTGATTGTGTCGCTCTTTCGTTGCATGTGAGTTTAATTATTAACAAAACAAAACAAACAAAGTGAGCATCTCCACCTCCGGGGCAGTATATAAAATACAAATTTTTATATTTTTGTTTTTTTCATGCATGCATCTGTTTGTTTGTTTGTTTGTTGTGGATGGTCACACGGAACCGGTTGAAAGTTCTTCTTTCTTCTCGTGTGTCTAGCGCTACTTCAATAAAAACAACAGCTTTGCAGAGCAACTTTGGCTGCTGCTTTAGAAAAAGGAACTGGCGACGATAAAAAGTAGAACCTCTTTCGCAAGTAAAAAATAAGTAAAGTTAAAGTAAAAGCGACCGCGAAATACTGAAATAAGGTCTTCTTGTTGTCGAAAAGTTACAGAGTTTGTTCCTACAGAAAAGCGAAGAGCTACTTGACCTGCCTGGGTGTGAAAAAGAATTACGAACCAGCTTGCTCAAAAGAAGATCGTCTTTGCTGCTGCGAAAATTTGTTTTTGTGGAGGAAGAGTTTGCAAAAGTTCTGGAGTTGTTACAAAAAAGATGACCAACTACCTTGAAGGAACTGTTGTTTTTTTTTTTTTGAGTTTTACTGTTAGTTTTTTGTGTTGCTTTCCACTTCTTGCTTTTCCTACGCTGCAGTGCCTCTTGGGCCTGTCTTACGCTTACTAGCTTTTTGCTCTTGAAAATAGAAAGAGACTTTTACTGCTTGCTGAAAGCGAAAAGTTGACTTTTATTTTTTGCTGATGAGCTTCGAGTTCGACGTAGCACTGTACTGCTTTGCGACACATGCGCGCCTCAGGGATAGCATCACTCTCGCCGCGCAGTGGCCAGTCCATCGGTATGTTGGGCGGCTGCCCGCCTCGTCAGACCACCGGTGTGCCAAAGGGTTAATCCGCTTGAATATCACTACTGCCCGCGGCCCGATCAGAGTTGCCGGCCCTGAACGACTATGCGGCCGGGTGTAGATCCCTGTCTTTTCTCGGAGGATACTTCTTTGGGTGGTGGCGTCGCGCAGGTGGGTTGGGTATGTGGCTGCGTGCTTGCTCGCCGCGCCCGGGGGTATTTTTTCCGTCCTCCCCTTTTGGTGTCATCGCCTGACATCGCCACGTCCTTCGCCCTAGTCAGGTTGCCGGCCCGACTAGACTATGTCGGCAAGGCGTAGGTCACTCGTCGTAGGCTTTGTAGTTGGAGGGCTGGTTTGTTGCGCCCCCTGTGGCGCGCGGGCCTTCTGTGGCGTGGTGTTTTCGTGCCTGGCTGCTATGCAGCGTAGTAGCTGTCTGGGTCGCTCGCCCGCCATAGGTGGCGGACCGCGGGGAAAGATCCGATCAACGGCGCCAGTAGTGTGTTGGCCTCCAGCAGCGCGCTGGCCGTTTGGTTGGGCTTTAGCTTACAGTCGTCCGTCGTTTCGACCCCCCACCACCTCAGAAACACGCTCAGCACCGGGCACGCCTCTACCACGTGCTTGGTTGCCGCTTTTCCGTCGTTACAGAGGACACAACTGAAGTCCTCGCAGTTGGGGTGTGCCGCGAGCAATCCAAAGCGGAGCGCGTAGTACAGCGCCTGGCCTAGCTTTCCTCCTGGCGTGTCCTTTAGGAGGTCGCGCCCTAGCCCTCCCGTGGCTTTTAGCGTTGCGACCGTTTTGCTCGGCTCGGCGCTCTGTAGCTCCTGCCGCAGGCTGTCCAGCGTTTCGCTGCGCACCTTGCGCCTAGCCTCGGTCTTGAACTGCTTGTGGGTGATGGGGTCACCTGGTTCCTGTAGGTGCTCCTCGTTTGCGCTCCCCGCAAGGTAGTCCGCTAGTGTGTTGCCTAGGATTCCGGCGTGTCCGGGACCATACCGAAGCGCTACCTTGCCCGTGGGCCCTACTGTGTCCAGTGCCTCGCGCGCTGCCGTGTTCAGCTGCGTGTCTACGTCGTCGCGTAAGCGGGGGTTTAACAGGCTGCGGATGTTGGACTGTGAATCCGTGCAAACCGTGGCCGTCTCGCCTCGAAGTGCCGCGCGTGCGCCCTGACCGTCTTTAGCGCGACTACCAGCGCTGCTCGCTCCGTTTCAAAGGAGTCGGTGTGTAGTCCTACCGGCCAGCCGGCTCCCTTCCGGATTCCGAATCCGTGTACGAACACGCCACAGCCCCCGCGGAAATCTTTCACCGATCCGTCTGCGTAGACTACGATGTCTGATTTTCGGAGCGCGGCTCCTAGCTCTTGCAGTCCCTCGTCTACCCAGACTGCCTCGAACCGGCCGGCCTCCGCTGCCTCGTGCAGGCTGGACGCCCCTAGCCCTTGGCTCGCTCCTACTTCTGGCAACGCTGTGGCCTCGTTTGCGTTGGGCTCCTCTATGAGCTCCAGCCCTTCCGTTACGCAGCGCGCTTCGCTGGTGTTCGCCGTTCGCCGGAGGGCGTCCCCCTCTGGTCTCGAAAACGCCCGCGCTACTAGCGACGCGCACTCTACCCGTGCCAGGCCGTTGACTGGTAGTAACCCTGCGACCATCAGCGCGCAGGACCGTTTCACCTGTCGGGATTTTTGCATCCCGAGGACCTCCTTGGCCCCTTCGTATTGGGTCCTGGTTAACTCGGTGACGCCTTCCTGCATACATCTATAAAATGGATGAAAGATCGTATGCTAATGAATGATGACGAATGCAAATTTCTATGCAAAATCATGGGTGATCTGCTGTCATGGCACTAAGGTATACATCTGTTTTTCTTTTTTCTTCTGATGCAAAATGAAAATACAAAACAAACAGCTCCCGACGACTCGCGTCTTTATATGTTGCTTGTTAAGTGTCTGTTCGTCCAAGAGATCGAAATTTTAAGATCATAAGAGACTTCGGTACTTTTCGGTAGATTTCGATCTTCGTGACATCGTCGATTTTGTATACTCTCGTTCATTATCGACGCTACAGGCTATTCGTCATTTCCTCAGCTCTTATCATTTAGTTCGGGTCGTATCTTCGTAGCATCTTTCCGTACATCCATCGTGCTTTCGCGCTATATCGTACACTTTCGATTCATCATGCAATACGTATTCTCCTCGTCTTTCGTCATCGTCGCTCGTATCGATCGAATTATCGTATTTAATATTCTACTGTATCGTCTATCGTAATCCCTCTCCCCTACATATATTTTCCTATTCGCTTTTCGCTCAACTTCGGTTTCCATCCGATCCTGCCGATCTTCGTCTCCGGTTTGTTCTGTGTGGTGTTGTTTTGCTTCCTCCGCGACCTCATTATCTCTACAACACGTTAAAACTATGAGCACTTGGACGGTGGAGCCGGCGCCCCTACCCGCCTTGTGCACTGGGATCAATCATAGTTTTAAGCGAGCACCATTGCACATCCACCACCTAGGGCTGCCTTCCCACGCAGCGTGGGCGATATGCTTTGGACGGTAGGGGCAGAAGTGTTGCCCTTTCCCTCTCTCTCCCTTTCGTCGTTTCTTGTTTAGCTTTTGTGTATGTCATATCGGTGTAAGACTAAGACATAAACACATTTTATATTCATGTGTTTTATTCCTGGAGTTGGAGCGCAACGTGTTGTAACTGTAACTGCGGAATTAGAGAGGAAGAAATTATGCCTTTCGGTTCTGTCCTTCTCGTCGTGCTGGCCGCAATCCCTGGCTGCGGCCTATCGTACTGTGAACAAAACTACTTTTTTCGTGGCAACTAGTGGAGTGTCGGTATTAAAAAGTTAACGCTTCTGCATGATCTATCATGCCGATGGTAATTCGTTCAAATTCAGATGTCGGTCTTTGACTTTGTCCTCATATGCCAGCACTGCTGGCATATTGCAGCCGCACGAGTACATAGAGCCATCCATCGGTCGCGTGTTCAGACGACGCCACTCCTACTCTGCTGGTCAAGAAACATCGGTCGTGAGCCCTTTGGTGACAGAACCAGAAGGCACCTAAAAATATCGGTGTCGTCCTCTTGCTTGGATTGCAAAGTCGCTATATTATTTCGTGTCGAATCATTTCTCACAACTCAACTGTGCTTCAAGTTGAGCAGCAAGACTGTTCGTGGTCTCTGTATTCTATCATCAAGAACAAGATGCAATAATTTTTAAAAACTACGCTTTCTTCAGGTTGCATGATCTTTGGATCTTGTATTCACCACGGTAGAAGACCGCACACCTCCTTTCATTTTACTAATTTGAACTTCCTGAGTACAACGCGTCCTGATCGGCTTATTTCGTTATTTTCTGAGTTGAGTATATTGTCTTTTCATCGCCCCAGACTTCCCTACTTTCCTGTTAGTTTACTCAACACTTGACTTTCGAACAGGATCATGACAGGTGAACAGTCGAATTCGTCCTCTTCGCGGAGGAGCTCAGTTCTTCCCGGCACCAGGAAGAGGACATCAAGCAGCACCTCCACGGCGCTCTTGCTGTCCGCCGGAAAAATTACCAGCCTCCTCGTGCAGCCCGTGGCTGTATCAAGTGCAAAAATGTCTGGGTCTGGAAGAATGCATGTTTGTCATGCTTGTATGGCATGACTCTTAAAGTTAAATCTGTCATGCACGTTACCCAAGAGCTCCATTTTTCTTTGATGCAGGAACGCAGTTTGTCATGCAGAATACGCAACACCTAGAAGCTCGGAAACTTGTCATGCTCAGCCAGCATTTGTGGCCTCATCATGACACGCCACCCAGCATGACAAGTTTCCAGACCCAGACACTTTTACATTTGATAGTCTGCGGGCGTGATCTCGGAGGCGGCGCCCGCGGAGTGGCGCGACACCCTGTTGCTCCACAACCTGTACCGTTGCCTCCACAACGCGCCCCCCCTGGTGTGGAACACGGACCTGGCGGCGAATTCTAAAGCCTACGGGGACACGGCCTGCGGGGTGACACTCTGTGGCGGTCATATGGATGTGGCAGAGTTGAAAGGGACAAAGTTGAAATAATTTGTCATGCATAAAATGGATGCCAGTTGGAACCCAGTTTCCAAGTGGTGCAAGACAAATTTCGGTGGTCCCTAAATCCACTCTGTCATGCTGTTTAGGCAAAGAAGAGCGATTTTCTCATGCTACTTTAGCAGCTCGAGCTGTAACCCCAAACAGGCTTACAATCGGCCTCACTTGCCTGCTCTGCAACGCACGTGCCTCGGGTCGTCATGCATTTTATGCATTACAAATTATTTCAACTTTGACGATTTCGATCCTGACAGATCCATAGGCCACTCGGCGGACAGCACCAGGCAGAACAAGTACGGGTTTACCGGCACCATTGGCGAGAACATCGCGTACGGCACGGCCCTGGCGACGCAGGCGAACTGGGTACCAAATGCAAAAATGTCTGGGTCTGGAAGATTCCATTGCGAGATTTGTCATGCTTGTCTGGCATGACCAAAAAGTTTGTGATGCGTGTCCAAGAAGACACCCTTTTGCCTGTCATGCAAAAACGCGGTCTGTCATGCGAAAAAAGCAACACAAGGAAGCGCAGACATTTCTCATGCTTGACTGTGCATTACAAAGCATTCACTATTCCCAGCGCAGTATTACAAGTTTCCAGACCCAGACATTTTTGCAGTTGATACTGGGGCCAGGGCACCAAGTGGTGGTACGAGGAATATCCTATGTAAAAACGTCCCCACACGACCAGAGTTGTCATGCAAATATGCAATGACAGGAACATTTGTAATGCGCAGCTCCATGAGCATGAGAGGAATTTCCAATCGTGTTTTGGAATTTGTAATGCTGTAGACAGGATGTGAAAATGGCTTTCTCATGCGGCTTCTCTTGCCAATCAGCACTACACTGCAGAGGGAGACTTGTGATGCACAGCTCCCAAAACTTGGAAATTTGTGTTGCTAGATTCCCAACTTGACTAGGGGGTGGAGACGTTTTTAAATACGATACGGACGAGATCATCCTCACCACCGGGTGGCCGACGGGGAGCGTGTCCGCCAACACCGTCTCGGTCAGCTCCGTGAGTATATCCACAGGAAATTCATTCCCGTACACGTAAGTACAAATTCTCGGCTTCGACCTTCCTAGTTCAGCATGACAAAAATGTTACACTCCGAATTGGCGAAATTTGTGTATGCATCTTGTTGTACATGTACTACGGGAAATTTGTATTGCATAGATTACCACGGGAATCACCACCGCGGTGGCGGCGTGGACCAACGAAGCCGCGGCGCAGGGCAAGGGCTTGGCGACCGGGCACACCAGCGCGATCGGGCACTACACGCAGGTGGCGTGGGGCGACACGTGGGAAATCGGCTGCGTGGGCTACATATCCTGTGCAAAAGTATCGTACTCGTAGTAATTCTTGCAGTCATGCATTACGAATTTCCTTCTCAAGTTGAATCCGCATTACAAATTTTATTTCTCACGCGGAGGAAATTTCAATTTGTCATGCGATTTATACAACTAGAACTAGTGCGATGCTTTTGAATTTCATACTACACCGCCGGGAAAAATGTGTTGTGCCAGTACGGCCGCGGCGGCAACATCGACATATCCAGGAAAAAACACCCATCCCCATCCAATTTGTCATGCAAAACATGCATAAAGTCCACTATTTGTCATGCAAAAAATGGATGGGGATGGGTGTTTTTTCCTGGATACGACACCTCCGCGTACTACGCGGCCAACCTGTTGTATGGATGTGTCAGGATCGAAATCGCCAAAGTTAAAATAATTTGTGATGCATAAAATGCACCATAGCGCGAAATACGTGTGTTGCAGAGCAGGCAAGGGTGGCCGATTGTAAGCCTGTTTAGGGTTAGAGCTCGAGCTGCTAAAGTAGCATGAGAAAATCAGTCATCTTTGCCTAAAAAGCATGACAAACTGGATTTAGGCATCACCAAAATTTGTCATGTGCCACGTGAAAACTGGGTTCCAACTGGCATCCATTTTATGCATGACAAACTATTTCAACTTTGACGATTTCAATCCTGACACTCCCATATGTTGGCTGTGTCGAAAACCGAGCTGCAGTGCGTATCGAATGCAAATATGTCTGGGTCTGGAAGAGTTGGAACTTGTCATGCTAAATCTGAATCAGGCAAAAAACTGTGTTGCGTGATGGCTAAAAGTTGCCCGCTTTTGACCTACTCGCGAGGCAGTTTCTCACGCAGGATAGGCATTAGAAAGATCTCGCAGAATCTGTCATGCTATTCCCTACATACCAGACCTCATGGGTCATGGAAAACCTGCATGACAAATCTGGCACTCTTCCAGACCCAGACATATTTGCATTTGATAGTGCGCGGGCGCGAACGACGACCAGTACCAGGTGCAGGGCTCCATCAAGGTGCACATTCCGGGCGCGGCGGTGTCGGCCTGCGGGAGTGGCGAAAGCTTCATCACCAGTGGCATCGAAACGCCACTGAAGGAGACCTTCAAAGCCTATTTCAGCCTGATATGGGATTCTCAACTGTTACATTCTCAGCTGTTACATGAATTTGTCATGCAAAAGCACCATCATCATCCTCACGATCAACATCAAGCTGCTCCGCATGACAAATTTGTGAAGGTCTAAACCGCACCTAAATCGGTGCGGAATTTGTAATGCTACAGGTGCAACCTTCCCCCTTCCATTTTTCCAATTCTTGCATCACAAGTTCATGTACTTAACAGTTGAGAATGTAACATTTGAGAACGCCATACCTGACCACTACTCCGTTTGACGTCTACATTGAAACCGCTCCCATGTACGGAAGAAAGTGCGCCGCCGAGTCGTCGGGGCTTTCCTATTATGCATTGCAAAACAAGTTTGATTATATCGTATCGATTTGTATAAAGTAGTTGCAGTACAATTGCAACATGTTGACACGTCTGCTTTATGGTCTTATAAAAATATACCTGAAAAATAAAAATTAGAATCTGGATGATCTGCATCAAAAATTGATGTCAACATGGTGCCGGTGCAGTTTACGACTTCGTGCGATAGACTACTTGAACTTGTGCCTCATCCATACCTGCGAGTTCGGATTCATCCTGCGTTCGCTGACCGCGGCGAAGGCAAAGTGCGTCAAGACCGCGTTGAGCACCAACGCGGCGGACATGATGACCACGTTCACGACCAAATGCGCCGCCCACCCGGATTCGCAGACCGGGGCCTGCGCCGAAGTGATGGGGGGCGTCCCGACTGCGCTCTCGCTCGGCTCCGTCTTCACCCTGGGCTACAGGCCCGCGATGGCGAACGAGGCCAGCGTTACCGCCGACGCGACCTGCACCGGGGGCTCTTCGACACCATCTCCGACACCCTCGCCGACACCCTCGCCGACACCCTCGCCGACACCCTCGCCGACGCCCTCGCCGACGCCCACGCCTTCGCCAACGCCAGCCACTCCCAGTATAGTTTTTCCTTGAAAAAGATTTTCGCCATTTCGTCCGTTTTTCTTTAAACTTCAAAGGTTAAGCACGCGCTTGTTGTTCTTATCGACCTACGACTATGGGATTCAACTTGTTACATGTTCTTGTTCAACAACAACTTCAAATGTATTTCAGGCACCCCCTTCGTGATCAACGGGAAAACCAAGCTTTCCTTTACCACGTCCGCAACCTGTACAGCGGACTACCTGACCACCACGTTGGGGCCCTCTGTGAAGACGGGGATGGCGAGCTTTCTCAGCGTGACGGAGAGCCTACGCTTTGGAAAATTATTTTAGTATCTTGCTCGTGATGTGAGAAGTTCAAGTTTTTCTTGGATCACATAAAAGAGTTCTTCACGTTCAATACAGAAACAAGATGAAATCTGTCATGCTGATTCAGGCATTTTTAAGGAGGAGACTTGTATTCATGCTGTATCTTGCAAAAAGAAAAACCACGTTCTACTTCTTTCTACGACGAGTACGATATAAACATTTTTCGACGTTATACCACCGGATCGCGATCAACTCGGCTACTTGCGTCACCCGTCGGCTGGCAGAGGAAGAAGAAGACCTGGCAACAAAAACTGGCGGCCACGAAGGAGGACTGTCCGCTAGCAAACGCCGGCTGGCGACGGTTGCGGGCGATTACACCTACACGGTGTCCGGGTTCGCGTCCGAAGCAGCAGCCCAAACGGCCGCCGGCCCGCTGATTGCGATCTTGGGGGACACCGTATCAACTGCAAATATGTCGGGGTCTGCACGAACAGTGCAACGTGTGATGCTGCATTTGGATGCTAAAAAAAATCTGTATTGCATGAGCAGCAAGAAAAGTCAAATTTGGCTACACCGATAGGGCATTGGTCATGCGGAATGCGCATCGATATTAAGCGCTCAAAAAATCTGTGATGCTAGGCCATACATAACAGATATCGTGGAACATGGAAAATGTGCATGACAAACTTGTCCTCTTCCAGACCCAGACATGTTTGCAGTTGATACACTGTGCCCACAGCCGACGACGCGCTGGTGTCCGCGGTGAACACGGCGCTACTTTTATCCAGGGGAAAAACGTTACAACCCCAGAGTTGTAGTCATGCAGATTTGCAATGACAGGATTCGATTTGTGATGCGCATCCCCTCCCTGTGGGGCATTTACAGTTGTGTTTTGTGATTTGTAAAGCTGTAAACAGGATAACAAGCCAAGTATATGAATTTGTAATTCGGCTGCGCTTGCTAAAAACCTCCATACGTACTACACCATGAACTGCAAGAACTTGTCCTGTGTGGCTGCTAATAAAACTTCTAGGCTCTTTGTGTTGCAAAGACAAAGTGCGCATCTTGACTCTGGGTAGTTGAAGACGTTTTTACTCAGGATAGACGTCCAATTCTGTCTCCGGGGTGACGGCCGCCTCGGCACAAAGCGACTCGACTGGGTTCAGCGTGTTGGACCCATCGGCGGTTGCGTCGACGACGTCCTCTGACGACGACGGTCTGGACGGGGGCATTGTTGCTGTGATTGTCATCGTGTGCCTCCTCGCCGTCGCGGCTGCCGGCGGAGCCGCCTACTACTTCCTGGTCCTCAACAAGCAGGTATCCTGTGCAAAACAAGTATCGTATTCGTATTGCAGTCATGCATCACAAATCTTTTTCTTAAGGTAAATCAGCATTACATCAAATTTTATTTCTCATGCTGAATGCATTTATACGAGTACGATTATACTTTTGCAATTGATAGCAGGGCGCGGCAAGCAACGACTTGAGTGAAAAACCTGGCGGCGACCGCGAGGGTAGCGCCGCCCATCCGAAGGATGTGATGCTGGAAATGCAAGATCACGCGTATGACCGTGTACAAGAACTCCCCCTCGCACTCCCCCTCATTATGTTCCATTTGCATGGCATGAGCAGCAACAAATGTGGCTCTCTTATGACAAATTATCTGCACACGGAGACGGATTGTAGTACTGTTACAAGGGGCTGCAAAGTTTGTCATGTCCATGCGAACTATGCTTAGACGCATGCCATGAAGTGGATTTGGTTTTGGTATTTTGCATTGCAAATGAGGGGCGGAAGCAGGGGGAATTTTTGTGCACCCTCATAAAAATGCGGGCGCGGAAGACAAGATCCCGGCTTCCGCTGCGGATATGACACCCTGAGAATGGACATGCTCAAAGTGGAAATAATTTGTGATGCATGAAATGCGACACCAAAAAGACTGTATTGCAGAGAACGCAATGGAAGCCGACTATTGTGCATCTACGGGCTCAGACTTGGGCTCCTGATTAGCATGAGAGGAGGGCACCCCTTTGCCTAACTAGCATGACAGACACGTTTTGAGTGCCCGGGAAATTTGTCATGCGCCGACTATAAATGGTGCTCCAACTGGAGTCGTTTTTTTGCATTACAAATTATTTCCACTTTGAGGATTTCCAACCTGAGGCTTTCATAGCGGACGCGGTGCTTGGCGACGAAATCGGCGATGCCGTGCCCGTGCCGGACGGTGACTTTGACCAGGATACCGAAATATGCATTGCAAATGATATGTCTGGGTCTGGAAAGTTGTGATGCTAATTTGCGGATCACAAGCAACCTCTAATACGGGGACACGCATGTTGACAAGTTTCTGAGCGACTAGGTCTTGTGCAAACTGCATGAGAAACTGCGTTTTTGCATTGAGTACAATAAAACAGCTCGGTTGCGCTAAGCGCAACGTGCATGACAGATCTTTGTCTCGTGTCAGCAGAGCATTACAAGTCTTACAACCTCCCAGACCTCCCCTATTTGCATTTGATACGAAAAGGCGGCAATCAAAATCCAATCCGCGCATCGTGCGAGCCAGGCCAAGCAGGAAGTGGAAGAGAGGAAGGCCGTCAAGGCTGCTATCCTGTGCAAAAGTATCGTACTCGTACTGCACTCATGCATTACAAATCTTTTTCTCAAGGCAAATCTGCATTACAAATTTTATTTTTCTTGCTGAAGAAATTTGTAATGCATTTATGCGAGTGCGATAGTACTTTTGCTATGCATAGCTGCCACGGCGAAACAAATTTCGAAGCCCGGAAAGGCAAAGGCGAAAAAGAAAGCGGGGACTAGCCCCCGGGGCGCGGGTCACGGGACCACGAGCCCCCGGGGCGAGCCAAAGGCCGCGTGAGTCAAAGCACTTGATGATGGGGTGGAAATAATGGGGCGAGGGGGCAAAGTCGGGGAAGTTGAGGGACCACCTAGGACCTCTTTGGGTTGTTAATTCGTATTAGTTTTTGTTTTTGGTTATAATTTCAACAGTTTGAGCTTGTCTACCGTATGCATCTCTATCATGTTCAAAAACTAATTGTTTCGTAAGAGCCAGTAACTAGTTGTACCAGCTACGTGATATACTATTTTTGCATTCTTTTATTTCTGATTTACGGTTGAATAATCAAGATTTCCCATGCACTAGCAGTTGTTTCTTAACATTTCCTCAAATCTTTACCACCAAACCGATGTAAACACGTACTTTCTTATGAGTTGTAACTTTTTTTTCTCTTACCGGAACTGGAACTACTCGAACTGTCACGATGCATAGAAGTACTCATGTGTGATAACACCAACTAACTCGAATGGCCAAAAATAGCAGAGCAGAGATGTACAAGTAGAGCTACTAGATCGAAAATTTATGTAGTTCGCTATTCGCAAATGATAGAATTTCCAGGAGAGCATAACAACTCGATAGTCGTCTCATGTCACAACCACAAGTGTTGCATGCTCTATCGACCAGCAACGGCCCCGCTCGTCGCAGTTGTGGTGTCATGGTAATGTTTACATTTTTTACATGATGTCTTCGTTCTTTGATTCTATCTCGGGTTCCACAGCGACACCTGATGTGAAAAAAATACTTCGTTGTAATTTTTATCGAATGGAATACGTCGAATATGTCCCGCTCTGAGTGGTAGCGTAACAGCACCTAGGACGCTCCTTCGTGGGCGGCATCAGAAGAAGATGTTCTTTGTCGTAAACAAAGCAAACCATAGGTGTTGAAGTAGATGAAGAACTAGAGCTTCTACATAAAAGTTTGTCAAGGCGTTGAATTTAGTAAATGCGGACGAGTGAATTATACTTTGTAGCAACAAGAACGAACTCACGAGATGAAATATAATATCACGATCGGTTTATAATTCAGCTGACCGGAGCTCTACTCCTGCGCAGATCAGAGGATCCTCATCAAGAAAATCATGTCCTCGTCCACGACCACCGCAACCACTTCCGCCTCTAGCGCGCAGCTGCGGCTGCTATCGCAGAGCGTCCTTGCCTATCAAATGTAAAAATGTCTGGGTCTGGAAGAATCCAATTTGTGATGCTGCATTTGGATTCCAAAAAAATCTGTATTGCATGAGTACCAAAGGGAATGTAATTCTTGCTGCGCGGAGAGGGCATTTGTCATGCGGAATAGGCACCAAGAAGCTCTCAAAAAATCTGTGCTGCTGGGGCAGGCATCACAGACATCAGGGCTCATCCAAAACGTGCATGACAAGTGTCAGAATCTTCCAGACCCAGACATTTTTACATTTGATATTGCCAGCACGGTCTCCCGGGCGCGGACGGAAACGGCAATCAAATTCTGCTTAAAACTGGTCGAGGAGGCATCTTGTTTATGAACTGCAAAAGAAGTATCGTACTCGTATAAATGCATTACAAATTTCCTCAGCGTGAGAAATGAAATTTGTAATGCTGATTTACCTTAAGAAAAAGACTTGTAATGCATGACTACGATTACTACGAGTGCGATACTTTTGCACAGGATATTGTTCGACACGATCATCGAGAAATAAAAATCCTGCACCTTTCTTCCACGCCGAAGCGGAGAGCCTTCTTGCCCGGTTGGCCGCGGTGCCGATTGCGGAGAGCTTGTCGCTAAGCGGGTTCTTTTCAGAAGAACAAGTAGTTCGTCGTGGCGAGGCTTCATTTGGTCATCTTCCAGCAGGAGCAGGAGCAGAAGGAGGAGGACCACAAGCGGCTACACCTTCAGGGCTTGCCGGGGACGGTGAAGAGCAACATTCACAGCGGCACAATGCTGAAGACGCTTCTTTGCATCATCTCGACCTAGAGGCCCGCGTGGCCACGATGAGCCGTGCGCTGGACCTTGTCATGATTCAAGAAACGGCGCAAGAGGAGATAGAGACCCATGAGAAAGTAAAAACTACTGCGGATGCGGTAGTAGATCTCCACCACAGCCAGCGCCAGGACTTCCAGCAGGTCCGTGAAGAGGACCAGGACTACAATTGGGGTAGTGAGTTCCTTCTCAGCAGGCTTGCAACCCTTGCGCTTGAGGATTTGAAGTCCGCCGTCCGTGTTTTGAAAGAGCTACACGACTACACTCGGCTTGGGCGTGGTTCTCGCAGCTCTTGTACTAGAAGTAAACAGCCGGCTGGTGTTGGGCTTGGGGCACGCGGAATACTAAACCAAGACGATTGCTCCGTGGTTGAAACACTGGTGTTTTTCATCGGTCAAATTCTTCTTCTGTATCGGAGGACGACCAAAAGCAGTCGCGAAATGAAGATGATTTCCTTTTGGGGACGACGAGATGAAGAACTACTACATCATGATGAGCAAATGCAAAACTCCTCCACCCCCTCTCGTTCATCATCAGTCTCGCTGGCTTTTGAAATTGAAGAGGAGAATGCCCTTGCGGAAGACACTTTGCGGCAATGCGCGGCAGCAATGGAGGTGGTAGCGTTCGCTTATGCTGGTACAACTGGTTCGGGTGGCGCTAGTAGTGGTTCCGCGGCCGCAGCTTCGAGCAAAACTAATAAAAGCAGTTCATTCAGTTCTTGGTCCGAGGAGACTTTTTCCTCTGTCTCGCAACGCCTTGGGAAAGCGTTGCTCGACGGCTTCGAGATCAGGCACGAAATAGAAACGACGGATCATGCCCCCGCAGGGCTTCATAATTCCGTTCCGAGGCCCCGGCCTCGCTGGGTACCCAGTCGATCCCTGTTTGCGGATCAGGTGTGGCAGTTGATGGCGGGGAGAATTGTTCTTGTCACGACCGGGATGGCAACGCAAAAAAACTCTTCAACATCTCCGGAAAGATCGGAAATATTAAGTTCCACGAGGTCGAACCACGGGAACGGAACCACAAAAACGCTGCCCTTTTTTACCGTTGGCGCAGTAGAGCAGCAGCATTTCTCATCAATTACATCAAGTAGTCCGAGAACAAATAAGATCAACTTGATGTCTAGGAACAACGGAGGTCGTGCCGGTGGCGCGCAACAAGCGGAAGCGACGAAAGGGAAAAATCTTAGCTGGCTAGCAACAGTGGAAAACCAACTGGTGTTTCGTCCCGTTCTTACCTCTACAACTGCAACGGAACAAGAGGGCACTGTAGCACCAGTCTACAAAATTCCAGCACCTTGGCAACTTGTTGACAAAAGAGGAAGAACAGCGGCAACATCAGAAAAATCGCTTCTGTCACTCTTGCACAAGGTGTTTTCGGACGAAGTGCTAACGAAGGTTGTTGTACCAGGAGATGCCCCAACTTGCACGAGGAGCGGTCAATTTGAGGAACAACTAGCACCGGAACAACAAGTCGGCGACGCGGCGGGACGAGCCCGAGCCGCGCCGGCCTCAGGCACAACTTCTACACGTCACGACACCGCGTTGTTTCGCAATCTTCGTGAGCGGTGCGAGAGGCATTCTTATTAAGGAGGAGTTTTTGCTATATATAGCGAAATATATAAAAAATATCCCGACCCATAATGCGTAGTCACGATACTGGTTAGAATACAAGTGCCGCGACATTGTATCCTCGCTTTGCTTTCTCTCTTTTTTCCCTCTTGCCACTTCTCAGTCCCCGGCCGCTCGCTGAGCGGCGGACCGGATAAATTTTGGGTATTGGGGGTTTCATCATGTTGAACTGAAAATACAGGTCAGCTACTGGTCAGCTATTGTTGAAAATTTAATATTTTCAGCAATAGCCGACCAGTAGCTGACCTATATTTTCAGTTGCTTGCAAGCGTTGTCCTTTTGGTGTGGTTTGCAAGTAGACCTGCGGCACCGCTGACAAAGTAGGGACGCCCCTCCTGGCCGTGTGGTGCAATAAGTAAACGCCATGCAGTGGTCGCGATAGGAGTGGGCTACCACTCTCGTTACTGGTGCACTACTACGCGGAACGGTAGTGCTGCGTGTCGGGTACTTTGCCCGCGTGCCTGAATTATAGGTCGAGATATTTTTTTCTATGTTTTTATATATAGCAATAACTCATCTTTAATCTTACGCGGTGGATGTGTTGCTCGAACTTTTTGTCCAGTACTATTCGACGACGATTTTTGATCATGTTATGCAGCATGATCTTCAAGGGGAAATAAGGGAAACAGCTCACCACGCAACTGGTGCAGAACAAGGAACAACAGTAGACTACAACGGCTTCAACAACAGGTGGAACATCAAAAAAGCGGATTCACATCAAGCCCAACAAATTTTCTCGGCGTACCGAGACCTCGCGCGGCAGGTGATTTATCTCCAGGCGAACCCGACTCCGATGCTGGTGCAGGGAACCAAGCTGCAATCGCTTTTCAATTTTGAAGATGATGGGAATAAAGAACAAACACAGAACTGCTTTTCGTCTTCAACATCAACCCGAGGTCAACGTCGTCCAACGGGGATGAAGCAGAGGCTCCGCTGGTCCTGCGCGATATCCGAAGACATGGCCCGGCTCGGGGTGTATGGAATTTGCGTGACGAACTATCCGGTTTTGCTAAAGTGCTTAGCAAACGCATCCGAATTCCAACAATTCGTCAAGCGACTGGACGAAACTGATGCGGTAGAAGTACAACAACCTCCGTTTACAGCTATTTCATCTTCGGTCGGGGCGAGGAGCGATCGAAACCAGGTCGGTGAGGGTAGAAGAGATGAGAAGGGTATAATTAAGGGAGATGAACATATTAGTCGCGGTCGTCGTCCCGTCGTGTCGAGTGCCACGACTAGCTCGACTTCGAAAACTAGTAAAACGCCCATGGTGACACCAACTGCTACAACTACTTCCAGTCGTGGTGCTAGAGAGCAGCTTCCTCAGCAGTCGCAGCAGTGGTCCGAATCCGAAGAAATGAAGAAAGTAGATGAAAGTAGAAAGCCTTGGAAAGATGAGCAGGAGCTCGACCTCACTTGAGGAAGCACTTCTTTGTATAGTTACACTGTATCAGTACGTGCTATCATGGTCATGCACGAGCAGCAGGGCCGTGCGGAAAAATTGTCACCTTTATTTTTGATTCAACATTTCGCTGGCAGCACGGTTGTCATGACCTGCTGGACAACGGTTTTCTTCCTGGCTCGCTGTGCCGGGGCATCTAGATGTTTTTCGAGAACGGGAATTGTTGTTCCTCTTCGAATGTAAGGCATTTTTCGCAAATCGATGATCCTTTACTGTTTAGGATCTTCTATTTCCTCGTCTCTCATTTTCATTGCTCCATTGTTTTCGTTCTCTCATGTTCGCGGGTGGGGGCACTTACTTAAATATGTTTCGGTCAAGAAAATGATATCAACCGCACTAGTTGTAAAAGTAAATGGAACTGCTAAGAAAGAAAACAGCGGTCGTGTGAGAGTAAGTGTTATCGTTCGTTTGGTGAAGGTCGCAGCATAAAGATTCTCGTGGGGGGGCGTTGCTCGAGGCCGATCGACCGATCGACCGCTCGACAGCGAAGTTCTAGATTGGAAAGGAGTTCTTGCCCATTAATACATTTGAACTGAGCAGGGGACTACAACATCTACAGCAAAACAACAAACGACCACAACGACGGGAAGAAGCGAGGGCCTCGTTGATGTTTACTCAAAAATCGTAAGACTTTAGTCGTCCAATGAGTTGTCTTTGAGCCAGGGGCTTTATTCGTCTGTCTCCGATGATCGGTTTATTTGGTCGTCATCCAGCTTGCTAGAAGTGCACCACGCTTGCTAGAGCAAAAGGAAATAAATCAGCACAGAGATGAAGAACTTGTTTATTATAGTTGGTCTTTTGTGATTGAGTTCTATATCTTATCTATGCCAATAAAATCGCATATCTATGTGAATGGTTCTCCACTATAATCTTAGGATTTTTTGGCTGCTGTTGTGAAGGTGCTGTTTCAAATTATCCCGCATCGCTGCTACTTCCAGATGAACAAGATGCTATTGTTCAACATTTTTGCACCGCCGCCAGCACGACTTCTTCTTTTGCTCTCCCTCGCGTTCCTCTTGTTCTTCAGCGAGGACGATCTTGTCGGTCTTCATACAACCTCTTTCGGCGGCTTCTCTGCACCATCACGAACAACCAGTCGTGGTCCTCGTGGTTCATTTTTGTGCGTAGAAGTTCTAGCGAAGATCGGGGGAGATAAAATCGACCTAGAGACCACGGAGCGAAACGTCGGAAGTGACCAAGAAGATGAGCAGGAGGAGCTCCTGCAGCTGGTGCACTATGGTCCGCACGATGTAGTTATGAACTGCAAAAGCATCGTACTAGTAGAAATCGCATGACAAATTCCCGCAGCAAAATAAGAATTTGTAAGGCATAAATGCGATTAGTACGAGTACGATACTTTTGCAGTGCATAGTTGGAGCAGATCCTGCTCGCGCCGGTAGAACTGCCGTCATCGTGGACGAGCTGGGCGCCGATGCTCGTCGAGTAGCTGCAGGACCTGGTGGTACCAAGATGAATGCGATGAAAACTCGCCTGCGGGGCTCGCTGAGGAGCGGGGGCCGATTAAAGGTTCTTTTGCCGGAACAAACGGCTGTTGTGCTAGGTGCAGCATCTGCTTCTTCACCTTCGAAGGAGCCATCTTCTTCAACATCTGCCATTCAACTCGACGACCACAGTGGTCCTTTTCCGCCCACCAGCAGCCCTGGGGCCGTGTCCGCAACGAGAGCAATGGCACCAAACGATGCTACGTCAGTACAAGAACGTATGCCACGTACGTCAGCAGCACCGGCCGACTTGGATCCAAGCGAAGAGTGGCGCGGCAGGGGAGGTTATGAATTGCAAAAATGTCTGGGTCTGGAAGGTCACAACTTGTGATGCTGTCTGTGGATTCTGAAAAAAATTTGTATTGCATGACCAGCAAGAGGGGTCGGGTTTGTCCTACGTGGAGAGGGCATTTCTCATGCGGTAGAGGTATCACAAAGCCCTCTAAAAATATGTGAGGCTACGGCATGCATCACAGACATCATGGCTCATGGAATAAAATATGCATGACAAATGTAGAAATGTAGTTCCAGACCCAGACATATTTCTATTTGCAATGCATAGAGGTCAGAGCGCTCCCACTCTTCGACACGACGACGAAAAGAGCAAAGCAGAGCATCTTTCAGAACCCAAGTTCGACACTCGGCACAACTACCTGCAGAGCAAGAGGACGAAGAAGGAGACGGAAGCTGCGGGCCCCTACTCGTATTCCTACCTCCCCTCCGCCGAGTTGCTGAAAAATCAAAATGCGGGAGGTGATCTTGATCTTCTTGGGTCGAAGATAAAGACGAGCCTGATGAACAACATGAAAAACAAGAACACTAACGGCAGGACGACGGGACGAGGACAAAGCACCGCCATGCAACAAGCTGGACAACGTAGTTCTTACATTCGCGGCAATGTAGTCCTCGAGAATGTTTTGTTGAAAGGTGGGTCCTCGGAGGTGCGAGGACTCTCGCCAACGAAGGCACGACAACTCGCTACACGACTACAAGACGCCGCGAAGCTGTATTCCGTTTTCATGAATGGAACACGAGCTGCAGCGTTTCCGCCCACCACTTCCGGCGAGCGAAGAAATGAACCTTCCGCGCCTACGAACGACACCCTTCCTGGAGCGGCCACGACCTCTAGTAGTACTTCACCTCGGCGGGGGCGCGACGTGGTCGAGCAGGCCGCATCACAACCGGCAAGCTTTTTGGCTCGGGTGAAAATGATTGACGACCTAGATTTTTTCGCCGGCGACATGGCCGCCCGGCTGCAAGAAGACGTGCTAGATACAGAAGCCGGCAACCCGGGAGGCGTGCTGGTGAACCACGGGGACACGTATCATCACGATGGTTACGAGTCCGATAGCCTGTTCATGAGCAATGCAAATGGGATAGCGGACCTGCTCGGAACACTGGGGAAAATAGACGGGCAGACGACGCGACCTTCGATCGGTACGTATTTAACTAGCGAGAACTACCTGGACCCCGCAAAGTTCCAGCCCGGCACGCTTGACGTGATGGAGCGAGCAATGGAGCAAATAACGCAGAACAGTGCCGATAACCTCCACGACGATTCGCCCGAAGAATTTACAGCCAAAGTCGCGCGAGTGTGCGGCATGCGCGAGGATCATTGGCCGGTGAATGTCGACGACCAACTGGAGTCCTTCGCAAGCCATCTGGAGTGGTCTTGGCTCGAGCTTGCTATCGACGCTGACAAGGACGACAATTCCGGCACACCACAGAAGGAACTGTCTTGGAGTGACTTGGAAAAAGTTCCGGCGATTATCACACAGAAAAAAGCAGGTAGGTCATCATGATATTTGTGTATGCAAAAATGAATACACAAAAAAATAAAAATCTGTATGGCATATGCCAAACCACATGCGATGTGTCCACCCACGACAGATTTTTCACTTATTTTTGCATTACAAATATGCCCTGCTAGCTTTTTTCTCTGGGATAGCGATGGAGGCCGCGGCAGAGGACGGAAAGATCACCTACGACGAGTGGCCGGGACCTTATGGCGTTCTCAAATGTAGTTACATTCTCAACTCTTACATGATTTTGCATGCAAAATTACATATCAGAATCGACACGATGATCATCAAGCTGCTTCGCATAACAAATTCTCGAAGAGCCAAACAGGCTGAGAATATCTGCTAAATGTGTCACGCAAGACGCGCAAGGTCGCCCCTTTCACTTTTGCCCTTCTTGCATCACAAATCCATGCAACAGCTGAGAGCGTAACAGTAGTTGAGAACGCCACAGACCTAAGTCGGTCTGGTTTGCTATTCGACACCGCAGCTTCGAGCTGGATCCGTCCTCGGGAGTAGACCCTGTTGGCTGGGACTCGGACGAAGCTGTTGATGGGTCGTGGACGTGGAGTATTCCCTGAAAATTAACCATCCCTATCCACCTTTTGCATGAAAAGCACACCTTTTACTACATGCTTTGCATGACAAATTGGATGGGGATGGTTAATTTTCAGGGAATATGGAGTGACACTCGCGGTTCGTTCACAGCGCGGGACCTATGCTGTGCAAAAGTATCGTACTCGTATAAATGCATTACAAATTTCCTGAGCATGAGAAATAAAATTTCTAATGCGGATTTACCTTAGCAAAAGGATTTGTATTGCATGATTGCAATACGAGCGCGATACTTTTGCACAGGATAGGACCTGCAGGCCTACAACGACGAACATCATTCGGCCTCCGACCCTTGGAGCATTGCGAACCAGGTCACGATATCAACTGTAAAAATGTCTGGGTCTGGAAGAATCCAACTTGTCATGCTAAATCTGAAGCATGCAAAAATCTTCTGTATTGCATGATTACCAAAAGTCGTCCAGTTTTGACCAAGTCGGGAGGCAGTTTCTCATGCAGGATAGGCATGGGAAAGATCGCGCAGAATCTGTCATGCTATGTCCTGCATTCCAGACCTCATGGGCCATGGAAAAGCTGCATGGCAAATCGCGCATTCTTCCAGACCCAGACATTTTTCCATTTGATACACGAAATCTCCGGGGGGTGAGCTCATCTCTTCGTCGCACCATCCTAGCAAACCTGAAGATTCAGCGCACCAGAATTTCGGATACGCGACCCAGCCCAACTGGCTGTCGAGTCCTGACGTCCCGGAAAGCATGCGAGAGTGGCTAGTGCGCCACACCGCGACCGGAAGGGCTTTTGGGGTCGCCGGCATCAACGAGGCGGAGAGCCGCGCTTTCGTTGATGCACTCGAGCACCAGGACCCGGGCCTGGATCTCGGGGAGAAAATCGACAGCGGCGAAGAAGTGCAGCGAGCGGTGCAAGTGTGGAATGCCAAGACGAGCAGCGGGGGCGTTGCTGGTGATTCCCTGGACGAACCGCCAAACTTCACCGACACCTATCAGAAAAACTGGGAAGCAATTTTGTTGGCAAAGAGTGACAGACGAGGCACGGATGTGGGTTGGCCGGAACTTGAGCCGCTCGCCCTCGCCTTTCACACTGCTTGCCTCTCGGGGCCCAGCCCCCGTGGTTGCAAAATGTTTGCACACCATGAGCCGAGCGTCGCCAAGAGCACTTGGATGGGCACAGAAGATATCAACTGTAAAAATGTCTGGGTCTGGAAGAATCCAATTTGTCATGCTGGTTTTGGATTGTAAAAAAATCTGTATTGCATGAGCAGCAAGAAAGAGAGTCCAAGTTTTGCTGCACTGAAAGAGCATTTGTCATGCGGTATAGGCATCAGGTAGCCCTCACAAAATCTGTGATGCTAGGGCATGCATCACAGACGTCAGGGGTCATGCAAAACATCTTCCATACCCAGACATTTTTACATTTGATAGAAGAGACGTGGCAACGACTGGTGGAGGCGTTCGTATGATCCGCAAAAAAAAAAACAACCCCTCCCATCCACGTTTTGCATGACTACATACAAATTGGATGGGTGTCAGCAGGGGTATTTATTTTCTTGTGGATACTTCGACACCGAGAACGATGTCGTCGGCTTCAACGAGAAACTTGATCGCCGTCCGCTACTATGCATTGCAAAAGTATCGCACTCGTATAACTGCACTACTTACAAATTTCCTCAGCATGAGAAATAGAAATTTGTAATGCGGATTTGCCTTCAGAAAGAGATTTGTAATGCAAGACTTGCATTTATACGAATGCGATGCTTTTGCACAGGATAGCTACTCCACCGCGTGATTGAGGAAGAGGAAGTGCTATACTCTGTCCCCAGCCAGGCCTTATCGAGTGCAAAAATGTCTGGGTCTGGAAGATTGCCAGGCTTGTCATGCATATTTTGCATAACCCATGATGCCTGTAAAAATGCATGACCTAGCATCACAGATTTTTGAAGGGCCTTCTGATGCGTATTCCGCATGAGAAACGCCCACTTCGCGTAGCACAAACTGCACGCCTCTTGCTGACTCATGCAATACGGATCTTTTTTACCTTCCAAAGACAGCATCACAAGTTGCAACCTTCCAGACCCAGACACTTTCGCATTTGATAGGCCTCCACAGCGTTGGTAGAGGAATACGAGCAGTTGTACAGCGACGAGGAAAACAAGCCCGAAAATGTAAAAACCGTCTATGACGTGCTCAGACGTTACAATGATCTCAACTGTTACAATAGAATCTGGAATTTCAATTTGTGTTGCAAGAGGTGCATTTTTATCTAGCCAACTGCAACTCTCATAGGATTGCGCATGACAAGTTCTGGAGCCCCAACCCGCACTACAATCATCTGGCGAAATTTGTACTGCAGAAAGTGGAAAAGTGTCCGAGTCTGTCATGCTCATTCATGCAGTGCTCAGGAATGATGTCATGCTCAGGAATGATGTCATTGTCATGCACATCATGCAACACAAAACCCAGACTCTATAATTGTAACGTTTGAGATTGTAACGCTTGAGCAGGTCATACCTTCCTCGAGGCAGTATGGAGAGGCGTGGGCGATCCGGAGGGTATGAGCAGGAGCACCGCTTCGACCTTGGCGAGTGACGCTCTAATTGGCCTACCCGCTTTATCCCACAGTAAAAAGCTGGCAGGGCGGCATATTTGTAATTCAAAAATAAATACGCAGAAAAATCTGTCATGCTTGGCCCCGTTGCATGCTGTTTCAGATATGCAATGCAGATTTTTTTGTGTATTTGTTTTTGCATTACCCTGCCAGCTTTTTTCTGTGTGATACGCTTACGGCTACATCGCATACGACAAATGGAAGAGGAACAAGAAGAAGGCTGCTCGACGGGTATTACGAGGAAAAATCCCCCCTCCCCATATGATCAAAGCGAAATTTCTGATGCTGGATTTGCGTACACAATAAATCAGCTTTGTCTTGCAGTAGAGGACTGCAGGCGCAGGCCCATAAGCAGCCTGAGTGGACGAGAGGTTTTGGCGGCCTAGGCGCTCAGCATGACAGAAGTCTATGCCTTAGGCCCAACAGCATCACAAACCGCCGGCATAATGCGGGAGGTCTTGTGGGTTTGCCTTCTTTCAAGACAGACACGATTTGTGGCCACAAATAAGCAGCGCAAATTTCTAAAAAAATATCTATCCCTCCTTTTCAGGGTGGGGAGGGGGAGTTTTCTTTCAGGATCACAGGCGGCCAAAGAGCAAGCCGCGAAAGAAGCAAACGCCACGGGCGGCACGAGCACGAGCAGGACCAAGAAAACGAGGAAAACGGAGAATATGACCTGCTCGAAAGTTACAATCTCAAGAAACGTTAGTACTTACAAAAGAATCTGGATTTTGTGGTCTTGCATCATGTTCGTTGAGCATTTGACAGATCTCTTGCAGAGCGTTCCACTTTCTGCAAGACAAATTTCGACAGATTCTAGTTGCGGTTTGGCACAACTCCAGATGAACTTGTCATGTGCAATCCTGTGGGAGTAGGCTACTAGTAGGTCATGATGCACTTCGTGCATCATAGATTTCGATATCCCATTGCAACGTTTGAGATTGTAACGCCTGTTGAAATGGTTATACTAGAGAAGGGGACCGTAAATGAATCCGACTCTGAAGATGACGACGACGATGAATATTCATCCGCAGAACTTGGGGAAGGGGGAGGCGAGGGTCGTTATCAACTGTAAATATGTCTGGGTCCTCTGGAAAGATGCTGCAGGGTTTGCCATGCTTGTCTCACATGGCTCTCAGGTCTGTCATGTTGCGCATTAATTACCCAAAAGCTGCATTTTTCTGTCATGCACAAGCTCACTTTGTCATGCAGAAGCGAAAACACTGTCTGTGCTTGTAGTAAGAAGTACCTCCAGAAATACTACTTGTCATGCTTCCCAGTCAACTGAGGTGTCATCCACCTCGTCTTTCTCAAGTACGTAGCGTTACAAGTTTCATCCAGACCCAGACATTTTATTGCAGTCGATAAGGGTACTACTAGCAACAGGACGATGAGAGACGTCAGTCCCGAAGATGGGAGCGGATCTACTTCTTCCACAAGCGCGAGTGTTGGAGGTGTTGGTGTTCAGCGACGCCATCAGCGGGATGCGGAAGATGTCCCGGTTATCCTGCGCGACGTCGCTATGGGAATGTCAGGATCGAAATCGTCAAAGTTGAAATGATTTGCCATGCGTAAAATGCAATACAAAAAGTGACTCTATTGCAGAGGACGCACGGGAGGCGGATTATAGTCCTGGTAGCCAAGGGTAATAGCTGCTGACTAGCGTTACAGAAGGCAGCTCTTTTGCCCTAAACCGCATGGCAGACTCGCTTCTAGGACCGGGAAAATTCGTCATGCACCGCCTACAAACTGTAGGTCTAACTGGTATCCGTTTTATGCATGGCAAACTATTTCAACTTTGACGATTTCAAACCTGACACATCCATAGTCGCTGACGTGACGTCCCGCATCTTGCCAGCCACATCCCGCATCTATCAAATGTAAAAATGTCTGGGTCTGGAAGAATGCAACCTGTGATGCTGCATTTGGATTCCCAAAGAATCTGCATTGCATGAGTACCAAAGGAAGTGCAATTTTTGCTACGCTGAGAAGGCATTTGTCATGCGGAATACGCATCAAGAAGCCCTCAAAAAATCTGTATTGCTAGGGTATGCATCACAGACATCGCGGCTCATGCAAAACGTGCATGACAAGTGTCAGAATCTTCCAGACCCAGACATTTTTACAGTTGATAGCATCCTGCGCGGGCTGCGCGAAGATGCCAGACGTCATGCGCGGGATGATGATAACCCCTCGCGCAGCTTTGCAGAAGAACGGGCTCGGCGAGGAGTTATCAAACTGTTGAAACAAGCTTGGTAGTGCTAGTGCCCCTGCTCCCACCGCAGATGAATTTGTTTGATTTATTTCATAGTTGGTATGACTAGCAGTCACTCGCCCGCCCGAAGAAGCGAACACATAACTGATTTTCATAGTTTGTACGACAAACAGTCACTCGCCCGCCCGAAGAAGCGAACACATAACAACTTACAACAGGGCAACAAGGAGCCTAGAGTCGGTCACATCCGTTCGCCCGGCCGGCCGGACGGCACATGACCGGGGGCATTCCTGCCTCGGGGCGATTTCGGCGCTGAATGCAGCAGCAGCTGCGGCCATCGGTTAAGCAGCGCTGGCACTTCCTTGCGCCGCTGCACCAGGAGCAGCTATGCCTATGGACAGAGGGGGGCTCCTTTCTTTAAAAAAAAATCCCGCCCCATTGGATCAATGTGCAGAGCCGCCGGAGCAAGACAGCCGGCGGCCTCGCAACCGGGGCGGGAGCACGGGGGGGAGGATTCGTGCCTTTTTTTCGTGAAGGGCCGAGCGCGTGACCTTTTTGATTTTAGTTGTTGCGTGGGAGCACAAGCTAAAAGCTCGCGCCACCCACCGGGGGCGGACCAAGGGTAAGAGTCATCCCTTTTTTCGTGAAAGGCCGAACTCGTCGCGATCTTTTTTCTTCAGTTGAGCTCCCGGGCAAGCTGGTATCGGTATCGTTGTGTGTGCTCCGGTCGTGATTCGCCGGGGGTTGCGCCGTGTATTGTAACAGTGGGCCGACACCACCAGAAAACTGATGCTTGCGCCGCACTGGCCATAAAAAAAACCTTGGACCCTAAATCGGAAACATAAACCCGCACGCAGTAAACCCTAAACCCTTTGCGACCGGCCGCCCGCGTGGAATACTCCCACGAGCTAGCCGACGGCCCCCGGCTGCGTGACCGGTTCCGGAGCGTGGGCAAGAGAAGTGTTGCCCCAGTGAAGTGCCACGCTCATGCTGATGCTTTTTTTCTTAGTTGCCCGGGTGCGCGCTTCCCGGCGGCCACCACCTCCGACCGCCGCGCCACGACCCACTGACCCCCGGTCACGTGCCGTTCGGCCGACCGGACCGACGGACGTGACCCGCACGCCCGGTCACGTCTAGGCCCCTTATTGCCTTGTAATAATTTTCAGACCAGGGGACCTAAGGCCCACCCAGCTGGGTGGGTCGAAGGTCCCCTGAGGACCTAAGCGGACATTTTGTGACCCTCTTCTTATTTCATAGTTGGTATGACTAGCAGTCACTCGCCCGCCCGAAGAAGCGAACACATAACTGATTTTCAGGGTTTGGTCTGTGGCAAAGTTTCCAAAAGAAAACTTTTTCGGTTTGCATGTAAGGACGAGGACTCTGGCTAGTCTCGGTTCTAGGTACTTCAAAAAGCGCCGATCTCTACTCGCGCGGCATCAAGTCCCGCTTTTGCTAGATGGTGAAAGAATAGGTCGTTTCAACGCGACTCAAAGCTTGCTATTCATCTGCGCCGAAAATTATCTGGCCGCGTGTTTCTGGCAACATATGCAGCACGTAGAGGGGTGCTTGTACTAATTTCGAGAAGCCCCTTCGCAACAGAAAGCGCGCTTCCAAATTTATCTGGGGCAGTACTTCTAGGGGCACTCGCACTTGTTTTCAGTACAATAGCAAATGCGGCACCGTTATTCGCGGGGGTCCCGTAGGAATTGGAATTGCAAAAATATCGTACTCGTATCTATAAATGCATTTACAAATTTCCTCAGGCTCAGCATGAGAGAAAAACTTGCAATGCTGATTCACCTTAAGAAAAAGATTTGTAATACATGACTGCAATAGCAATACGACTGCGATACTTTTGCACAGGATATCCCGAGCCCGACACAGCCAACAAATCACGGGGCTCCTCCTGCAGCGGGTGCGCCGCCTACGCCGCAAACCGGCTCACAAGTCGAAACCGAGTATCCTGAGCAAAAGTATCGTACTCGTATTGCAATCATGCATTGCAAATTTTTCTCTTGAGGTAAATCCGCATTACAAATTTTATTTCTCAACATGCTGAGGAAATTTGTATGTAGTGAGGTCACCGAACGGTTCTAACCGGGGAGTTTTTTTGCCATCTACCCTGAAAAACGGCCGGCAGTTTTCAAGCGGCCTGAAGGCTTTTTTTACATAAAAAATTTCCAATTATCAAGCGGCCGGGGCTTTGTTGTCAAAAAAGCCCGAGCCAATTCTATCGATTCGCGCTTGATAAAACGACGAAGGGGAGCCGGCAAAAGGGGCGCCCTTCTGAGGCGCCCACCGCCTTGGTTTCTGGCGATTTTAGGCGCCCAAAAAAGGGCGCGCAAAAAACGCGCCCAAAATCAGAACAGCGAAACAGCATGGCACGCCCCCGATTTCGGAGCATTTTGGGCGGCCGCGAAAGTGGCCGCCTTTTCGCCGGCTTCAGAGCCTGGGAAGCTTTGCAAAAAGCGCCGGCGTGAAAAATAAAAACGCGAAAAAGAAAAAGCGCCCCAGACGCGCAAAGCCAATCCGCATGCTATGGGCCCGATTTTTCTTCGCTTTTTGGGCGCCCCCCGTGGCACCCGGATCGGCGCCATAGCATGGGGGCTGGGCTTCGAAAAGGAATTTCGGAGATTTGCCAAAATTTGCAACGTTTCTCGAGCGGCCGCCATACCGCGCGGCATAACGCTACTCACGGCGGTATGGCGAACCCAGAAAAAGCAAAGCCGCGGCCAAGGCGGCGGCCGGCAAGAAAACGCCCACGACCTCACTACCTCCGCCCCGGCGGCTATATTTGGCACTAGTATAATGCATTTATACGAGTGCGATACTTTTGCATTGCATACCGAGCCAACCGATCCGGTTCCGGCCGGCGCTTCGCACAAGGAGCTTCTCGGGCAGGAGGGCTAGGTAGTGGCTGGCGCACGCACGGGTTGTATTTGTTGGAGCTTCATGTTTATGAGAAGGACAACCGAAAACTGCATGGAGATGAAGCTATTTAAAAGCAAAAACTGAAGATGCTACGACATACACACTCAAACCGATTTAAAAGCAAGAACTGAAGAACAAGAAGTTTTAGTTTTAGTACAATGCGTCGATGTTGAGTTTGACTGAAATTGACTTTCACAATTTATATTTGTATGTCCTGCAAAATGATACTTGTTGTTGTTTTCAAAGGTAGACGAGGACCATGCTGTATCTTAACCCCGCCCCTCGTTTCTCGTAGCCGTGAAAACATTTTTTCTTGTAGATGTGGCAGTTCCACCAGTTCACCGTTGGAAAATAAAATGATTTCTGGTGGATAGTGCAGGTTCATCATCTCTCCAGGACCACTACATTATAAACAATTCCGGGCGTTAACAGTCGCGCGCCCAATTTTGCGAAACTTTTGCGACGTTTTTGCGAGATTTGCCGTTTTGGCCCAGATCGGTCGCGAGGAGTATTCCGCTGCAGCTGTGGGCGTTTTGGCAAAGCCCGGCCGCCTGCGGCCCTCGCCTGTTTTCGCTCCCTTGGAGCGGGGCAACGAGAAGGCTGACCCCGAGCGCGGCCCCGATCTCGAGCGGGCCGCGTTAGCAAGCAGACTGGGGCTGCCCACACATCTCCCCCGGGCCGCCCCTTCCCCTGTTCCAAAGAAATAGGCAGCAAAAGACGCGGGCCAGGCTTTGCCTCAGCCCCGGGGGCAGGGTGTTGTGGCCGCCGGCGATCCGCCTTGCCCCTGCCTAGCCGCATTCATTCTGTCTCCCTGCCAGCCAAAGCCACTAGGGCCCATAGGCAGGCTGGCAGGCTGGCGCCCTGTGCGGTCGCCCCGGGTACCGGCCAGGGGGCCGGCCAGGCAAGACGGCGGCGGCTGCTGCCTTTGCAAGACTGCGCCTTCTTCGCGCCACATTCATTGGCTGCGCACAGGCTCGCTTCCTTGGGTGGCCCAGCGCGGCTGCAGGTGGTGTGCCACCTGGCCCGGGAGGGGGTGCGGGATATACTTTCCTTCGGCCGGCGGCCTTGTCGTGCGCAGAATGTCTTGCCGGCGGGGGGCTCTTTGAAAACTTGGGGGCGAGGCGGGAAAACGGACAAAAGGGGCATCGGAATCTTGCGGCAGAAATTGCGCACAAAAAAATCGACTTTGTTGAAAGTGAGCAACTAAGCCTGTTCGCAAAAATCTCGCAAAAATTTGGCCCCCCTCTCGCAAAAATCTCGCAAAATTACTAAGCCTGTTTGACCATGAAAAATTGGAAATCAGGCGAATCGATTTTCGTCATATGCAATTTTTAAGCCTGTTCGCAAAAATCTCGCAAAAATTTCGCAAAAATCTCGCAAAAATCCGGCATCCTTTTTTTGCAAATTTCGCAGAAATCTCGCAAAAATCTCGCAGAATTCCCGGGGAAGCGAAAAAACCCAAGAGGCCTGCCGCTTTTTGTGTGTTGTCCCGCTCCCAGCCTGGACCAGGGGGTGGCCATGGCCCGGGGCGCCGACCTTTGGCCCCGCGCGCGCGCGGCCCAGGCAGGGGGCGGGCCATGTGGGTGGCGCCGCCCGCCTAGGCACGGGCTCCGCGAGGTACCGGCGCCAAGGAAGGGCTCCGGGCCACGCACCCACTAAGTGGATTTATTTGTGGGGTGGTCCGGCGGGCTTCGCGTGGTCGCTGTGCTTGCAAGCGAGCCGGCGGCCGGGTGGCGCGGCTGCGTGCCAGCCAGCCGGGTTTTTTTTGTTTGGCGGCCCGCGGTGTTCTATTATGGAGCGCCCTCTCGGGGGCGCGCGCTGGCATGGGTTTGGCCGCACGCAGAGAACAACCCAACGACGGACACCCCAGGTCGGTGGCCCGCTTTGCCTTCGCCCCATTCCTCGCTCTATTGGGCCTTGGCGCGCCTTCTATGGAAAGGCGACCACGCCAGCGGGCTCAATTTTGAGCCCGGTGGTATGGTTGATCCCCCTTTGCCGGGCTTGCGCGCTTCGCCTCTTGCCCCGGGGTTTCGGCCTGCTCTTTGGGGCGTGTGTGTCTTGTTGTGCCGTGACTAGCGTGGCGCCAGCCGCAAAACTGCTAAACTCGCAAAAGCCTCGCAGAAATCTCGCAAAATTGGGCCCCGCTCCGTTAACGCAGATTTTGTTTGTAACTACAGCTACAGGTGATGATCTACTTTCGATCTCGTCCAGGTGATGATGTACTAATTCGATCTTGGTTTGCGGTGGATTCTAGCCAGATACGATGACGAAAAGATGAAGAATGCATGAATTTCTGACAACTCGTCCTCGTGATTGTACTTGTAGTGGTTTTCAACGAAATATTAAAGGAACAAGTGCGACGAGCGGTGGATCGTCGTGACAACGCGTGATTTAAATAAAATCTCGGAACAGCCAACAAGTTCTTGTACCGCCGTAGTTGCCTTATCGTTCGCAGCTTCAATCATCGGGTGGAGAAGTAGCAGAGTCGTTGGATTTATTTTAACTTGATCTACTTCCAAAATGATCTTCGTGATGGTCGTGATAAAATTGAATCGGATTCATATCGTCGTGGATAGTGCAGGAACATGTTGCGTTTTTTTCTTCGGGAAATGATCTCTCGTCACTCGCTTGCTTGCATGCTAAGGGTGCACATCATGCAGCTTCCTCGTCGAGAAGAAACAAGGCTATCTTCAGCGTCGAATTGTTTATTCGGTTGAGGATCGTGCTACTTTCGAAATACAATATGCCACCTCGTCGGGCGCTTTCTCGTAGTAAGTTCTAGAAGTGCTTACTTCTTTTTATGATTTGAAAAGAAGATGAAGTATTGGCTCAATTACTCGTAGCGAGAAGAAGAAGTAATTTCCTGTAGATGAACAAGGTACAAAGCGTTTTTTGACCGGACGAAGACGAATTGGGTCAGCCCTTTGTGTCGCCGCTCGTCAACACGACGACGTCCTTTTAGTATTTTGGGCAGAAGTTTATACATCAGCCTGCTAAGATAGATGAATCGATGAACAACAATAAAGATTCAGAATAAGATGAATTGTTACAGGATGAAGTAGTTGAAGATTATTTGCCTGGAAACAGCGATAACGCCGAGCAGGAGCAGAACGCCTAGAACAAGTACATCAGATATTACCAGTACTACAGACCCTGACGCACTTCTGGTGTCCGAACAAGCTGCCGCAGTATGGTAACAAGGATAGGGATACTAGCAGCGAATGGAGAAAGTTTAAGGTATACAACTACACGACGAGGACCAGGAGGAGCACCATAACTTGAAAAACTTCGCAGATAATTATACCGACTTCTACTTCGTCAGACGGTTTCATATAACTTCCTCTACGCGACTGACACTGACCCGTGGCGGTTCGAAAGAAAGAAGTACAACTTGATTATTTTTATTGTTCACGCCGCCGAGCTCTGGCACTGGACCTTGCCGAGTCATCTCACACGCCTTCTAGCGAATTGTTCGGAAAAGCTGCCATCATGTTGTTGTGCGACCGGCGTTTGTTGTCGTACAACCGCGAGTATCCTGTGCAAAAGTATCGTACTCGTAGCAATCGCGTTTATGCATTGCAAATCTCTTTCTCAAGGTAAATCAGCACTACAAATTCAGTTTGTAATGCTGGGCTAATTTGTAATGCAATTTATACTAGTGCGATGCTTTTGCAGAGGATAGCTCGGAAGAGCAGTTGCAGCTGGACCAGCGGCCCACGATCCTGGAGCGGATGTGCGAGTATCAGCGGGACATTCAGGACCTGGAGCGCAAGATGAACAAGTGCAACCAGATTTTGCGCAAGCCCCTGCTGCCCATCCGCGACCGGAAACTTTGGATCGACAACGCGATCCGCGACAAGGTACTCAACCGCAAAAGCGCCAAGCCACGCGAAGACATCGTGAAGGAATTGCAGGCTCCACCGACGGGTGCGGCAGCGGCCGAGTTGGAAATACCGTTGCCCACCAGGACTTCGCAAGTACTTGAGTGATTCTGATTCATTACCAGCACGGCAGGTGGTTTTTGTATAGCCATCATCATGATCATGCAACGAAGAAGAGCGTGCAAATTCACGTGCTTGCGAACGAGACATTCTTGGTGGAGTCAACAACGTCCTCTCCAGGAATTATGGATTAGATCCACAGCCACAATAGTTAATACTAACCGTACGTAGTTTTTTTGTTTGCTTTTGTAGTCCAAAATAAAATAGCATTTGCATTACATTTAGAATTACAAACCCGCAGCAGCGCAAGTCCGCGACCATTCAGTCCCGCGGTCCGGCTACAGCTGCGCGGGAGGTCCGGCTGGATGAGGAGGAGGATGTCTATCCAGGAAAAAACAACCATCCCCATCCATTTTATGCACGACAAACACAGGAACTCATGCATGTTTTGCATGATAAATTGGATGGGGATGGTTGTTTTTTTGTGGATAATGTCACGGAGGAGCTGGACAGCAGCGTGGCGACGACGTATGGGAGTGTCAGGATTGAAATCGTCAAAGTTGAAATAGTTTGTGATGCATAAAATGCTAGACGGAAAGGGCCTGTCTTGCAGAGCAGGCAACAGGCCGATTATAAGTCTGTTTGGGGTGTGAGATAGAGCTGCTAAAATAGCATGACAAAACCAGTCTTCTCTGCTCAAACAGCATGACAAAATGTATTTCCATGTTCCCAAAATTTGTCATGCGCCACGTGCAAACTGGGCTCCAGCTTGTATCGCTTTTCTGCATTACAAATCATTTCAACTTTGTCGATTTCAACTCTGACACATCCATACGACGCCCGCCGTGAGTAGTCGTCGCGCTTCGAAGGTGAAACCCGCCTCAGCGGGGCAGATTTCGGTCCGCCTCTTCCGCTTGAAGAAGCTGAATTACCCGGAGGTCGGCGAGTGCGACTACAGCCTCCGCGTGGGGTATCCGGATTTTCCTGACACCTGGCTCGAAACCACGCCGAAGCCAAGCGAGACGGGTACAACTAGTTGTACATGAAGTATGGAGCAGAAGTTTCGAATTCGACGTTTTCTCTGTTTTGGAAATTTGAGCAGCTGCAGAGAGAGTTACATAATTCAAGATTAATTAACTCATGCTTGTCCTCTTATGTCATCGATTTTTGCCATCATGGCTGTACAAACTGAGACGTCGAACTCGAAGAACAAACGCTTAGTGTCTGTCGTACAGGTCATCTTTGTCGTACATTGACAACATTCTGAAAAATATGATTCAAATACCGGAACAATATCAATTCACAGGGACCGACTGCGTGATCCAGCAGCAGCTGGTCCTCGAGCAGTACTCTACGGAGGACCTGTATGCAAGAAAAAGAGGCTGTTGTAGGTGTAGCTTGCATTTGCAAATTGGTCGGGCATGTTCATGTTGACAGCAAAAATTTGTCATGCGCAGAAGATAGATAGTAAGTAAGTAAAACTTACGACGTGCAAACACGTATCTTCAAGCTAGAACTAGAAGCCTATCACGTATATAATCCAGCATCACAAAAAGTGTTGAAGATAACTGTCTTGCATACGTCTGCAAGAACACAGAGCTACGCCGGTACCAATCTTTTTGTCGTGCATAGCCTGGTTTTATGCATTGCAAAAGTATCGCACTCTTATAAATGCATTACAAATTTCCTCAGCGTGAGAAATTTGTAATGCGGATTTACCTTGAGAAAAAAATTTGTAATGCATGACTGCAATACGAGCGCGATACTTTTGCACAGTATAGGTTTGCGAGATTCTCGCGAACGGAACGGTGATCGGGCGCACCCGGGCCCGGCCGATATCCAGGAAAAAACAACCATCCCCATCCATTTTATGCATCACAAACACAAGACTTCATACATGGTTTGCATGACAAATTGGATGGGGATGGGTTTTTTTCTGTGGATAGCCGAACGAAGCCGACTTCAAAGACTATCCGATCATGGCCGCGGATGAAACCGTGGGCACGATCGGCGTGCTAATTTACGCTGTGAAGAAGGCCGACACCTCGCGGGCCTCCCAAGCCGTCGGGTCCCGGACGAGCCTCCGCACGTATCAGACTGTCAGGATTGAAATCGACAAAGGTGAAATAACTTGCAATGCATAGATGCGATACCACTTGGGAGCCCAATTGTTCAGCGGTGCATGATAAATTTCGACGTCATTAAAATCCAGTTTGTCATGCTGTTTAGCGAAAGCAGGCATCCTTTGTCATGCTAGTTTAGAAGCAGCCCTATCCCAAACCCGAAGCTACAGGTTCACAATCGGCCTCACTTGCTGCAATCCCTGCAAGACAGTCACTTCGTGCCGTGCATTTTATGCATCACAGATTGTTTCAACTTTGTCGATTTCAATACCAACACACCCATAGCACGCCGGTCGCGGGTGGCAGTTCCTCGTCGAAGGGACTGGTGCTGCGCGTGGACAAAGTCGCGGAGATACCAACGGCGGCGTTGAGCAAAAAGCAGGGCGCACTCAGCATATGGACGAGCTCTCAAATGTTACATTTCCAACTCTTACACGAATTTGTATTGCAAGAATCGCAAAAGTGAAAGTCAAAGAACGGAGGTCGTTGCACCTGTAGCATTGCAAATTCCGCATGGATAATTTCGGTGCTGTTTAGCCTTTCCAAAATTTGTCATGCGAAGTAGCTTGATCGTGGCGAAGATGTTGATAGTGATTCTGCATGACAAGAAATCGCGTAGCATTTGAGAATGTAACGCTTGAGAACGCCATACAGCATCCGGGCGGGATACGGGACCGATCCGCAGACCTTCAAGTTGAGGACGCAGGAACAGGTTTTTTTTTATACATATGACAAGTCTACTGCTTCTTTTATTTTAATTATGTATCGCTCTCAGGATGTCTAGAAAAAAAAAATATTATAGAACTTCTAAAAACGCTATAGAGATTCTCACGCATAGACATTCTGACTCTCATAGATGTTCTCGCTGCTCTTTGTTGAAAACAATAATTGGCACACGGTGCGCGCTTCGGATTTTTGTTTTGGAGGGGCGCGGGCGTCCTCTCGTATTCTGCCTGCGCTTGGCGCCGGGAAAATGGCATTGCGCCTACCGCGCGCGCTTCCCTAGGCGCCGTCGCTGACAGTGGTGATGGTATGCGCGTGCCCATTCTGTATTGCTCTGTGGCCGGGAGAAAAATTTGGAGCGCCGCGCGCACGCAGACACCCTGGCCCGAGCAGGGGGCGGATGCTTCCTTATTTCCTTTTGCTATCAGGGGCCGGCCGAAAAAAAATTTTCGCGCGCGCCGCGCCCACTCAGGCGCGCGCCATGACCGGGCAGGCGTAGAGGCCCTTCCCTATGCGTGCCCGGTAGCCGCGCGCTTGCCGAGAATTTTTTTTCGTGCACAGCGCATGCGCAAGCGCTTTGGCCTGAGGGCGTGGAAGGTATTCTTTCGTGTCCGGAAACCCGGGGCGGGCCGGAAAAATATTCTGCGAGCGCGCGCTGCGTGTGCGCAGACGCCTTGGCGGGGGGGCGCGGAGCGAATGTTTTTTGCGCGTCCAGCAGCGAGGGCGGCGCGCCGGAAAAAAAAAAGTTGCGCGCGCGCGCATGCGCATGCGCCCCGACCTGAAGGCGCGGAAGCCTTTGGTCGTTCCCAGCTATCGAGGGCCGCCCGATCGAAAAAAGTCTTTCGCCCGTTGCGCGCCCGCAGACGCCTTTGCCTGTCTGAGGGCGGTTGCCCTCCAGGCGGGGCCTCGGCGGCAAATATTTGTCGTGCGCTCGCTGCGCGCGCGCAGGCGCCTCGGCCTCGGGGCGCGGAAGGTTTTCGGTGCGTTCGGCAGTCGGGGGCCGTCCGGGAAAAAGTTTGCGCGTGTTGCGCGCACGCAGACCGCCCTGGCCTTGGGTGAGCGTGGGAGGTGCCTCTCCATGGCCGGCTAAAAGGCGTTGACCGGAAAAAACCTCGCGTGGGTGCGCCGCGCGCATCCTCACCATGTACGGCGTCAGGGTGTGGGCTGTTTTATTTTTTTCGCGCCCCGCGATCGGGGGCCGGCCGGTAAAAAATTTTCCGCGCGCACAGCGCGCGCACGCCTTGGCCCGAGGGTGTAGAAGATCTTTTGCTCGCCCGGTGGTCGGGGGCTTGTCGAGAAAAATTTTTCGCGAGCCGCGCGCGCACAGTAGTTTTCTTTTGGCCCACAGGCGAGGAAAGTCTTTTCCGCAACCGGGCGCCAGTTGAAAACAAATTTTCGCGCGCGCGCGCCTGCGCGCGCGTCTTCCTTGGCCTGAGGGCGTGCGTAGACGCTCTTTTTCACGCCCGGCGGGGGTCGGGGGCCTGTCGAGAAAAAATTATCGCGCGTTGCGCGCGCGCGGGCACATTAGTTTTCTTTTGGCCCGTAGGCGATGAAATTTTTTCTCGCAACCGGGGGCCAGCTGAAAAAAAATTTTCGCGCGCGCGCGCGGAGCGCGCGCGTCTTCCTTGGCCTGAGGGCGTGCCTGGGCGCTCTTCTTCACGCCCGGCGGCCGGGGGCCTGTCGAGAAAATATTTTCGCGCGTTGCGCGCGCGCGGGCACATTAGTTTTCTTTTGGCCCGTAGACGAGGAATTTTTTTTCCGCAACCGGGGGCAAGCTGAAAAAAGACTTTAGCGCGCGCGCGCGCCTTCCTTGGCCCGCGGGCGTGCGTGGAAGGTTTTCTTCTCACCCGGAGGTCGGGGGCTTGTCGAGAAAAAATTTTCGCGCGCTGCGCGCGCGCGGACGCATTAGTTTTCTTTTGGCCCGTAGGCGAAGAAATTTTTTTCCGCAACCGGGGGCCAGCTGAAAAAAAACTTTAGCGCGCGCGCGCTGCGCGCGCGCGCCTTCCTTGGCCCGAGGGCGTGCCTGCGTGGAAGGTTTTCTTCTCACCCGGAGGTCGGGGGCTTGTCGAGAAAAAATTCCCGCGCGCTGCGCGCGCGCGGACGCGTTAGTTTTCTTTTGGCCCGTAGGCGAGGAAATTTTTTTCCGCAAGAAATTTTGTTTCCGCAACCGGGGACCAGCTGAGAAAAAATTTTCGCGCGCGCGCACAGCGCTCGCGCGCCTTCCTTGGCCTGAGGGCGTGCTTGGAAGGTTTTCCTCTCACCCGGAGGTCGGGGGCTTGTCGAGAAAATATTTTCGCGCGCTGCGCGCGCGCGGGCGCATTAGTTTTCTTCCGGCCCGTAGGCGAGGAAATTTTTTTCCGTAAGAAATTTTTTTCCGCAACCGGGGGCCGGCTGAAAAAAAACTTTAGCGCGCTGCGTGCGCGCGCGCGCCTTTCTTTGCGTGGGTGAGTCAGTGGCTTGAGACTTTTTTTCACGCCCGGCGGCCGGGGGCTTGCTGGAAAAAAAATATCGCGCGCTGTGCGCGCACACATGTTGGCCAGGGGGCGCGGCGAGGTGTTGCTTGCACCCGGCAACCGGGGCTGCCGGAAGAAATAGAGCAAATTTTCGCCACCGCCCCCTGCCCGCCCGCAGGCGCCGGCCTTGGTCTGCGGGCGGGCGCGGAGGTTTTTTTCGCGCCGCCCCCTCGGGGTCTTGCCGGGAAAATATTCGCGGCGCGCAGGCGCCTTGTTCTGGCGCGCTTTTGCTTGCGTCCGGCGTCCGGGCAGTCCCGGAAACGACTTTCGCGCGCCGCGCGCGCGCAGCCGCCTTAGCTTGAGATGGGCGCAGAAAGTTTTTCTTCAATATGAGGAAAGCTGTTCGCCTGCTAGCAAGGTGATGACGATGGTGATGAATCGCGCGCGGCTACCGGGTGTTGGCCGGAAAAAAACTTACCGCGCGCTGCGTGCGCATAGTGGCCGTGGCGTTAGAGGGTGGGCGGGGCCGCTTCTTTCGTGTCCACGATTGGGGGTTTGCCGGAAAAAAAATTCCGCGCGCTCCGCGCGCGCAAGCCTTTGTGTGGAGCCTTTCTCTCCGCCCGGCATTCGTTGAGCTCGGCGCGCTGGATGGAGGATTTCTTCCGGATTTCTATCGGATTTTTCTGTTTAAAAAAAATTTTTTTTTGTTTAGCTTTGTTGCCTTTGTCGATTTCGCTAGCGCTTTTGTCGCCGTCTCCGCTCGTCGTTAGGGCCATGCGCTTGCTTTTCGTCTTTGTTCGCTTGTGGGGCTCAGGCACCTCCGCCGGCGCGCATCTTCGCGAGGTTTGGGCGCCTTTCGGGCTCGCGGGTGGCGGCTGCGGGTGTGCTTTCGCCTCTGGCTTGGCGGCCTCGTCGCGTAGATTTCTACGTCTTGGACATGAAGATGTCTACGTCTTTGTCTTCTCCCGGATATGGTCCGGATTTCTCTGAATTTAATAATTCGGCGCGATCCGGATTTCCTAAGCCAGTAAGTCTGGATTTCTATACGCCGCGTTGAAAATATATGAATTCGTGGTAGGTCTGGATTTCTAATATCTGCACTTTCCCGCCCCGCCTCTTTTCCGCCGCCTCCGCGGATTCGCGAGAAATCCTGGCGGGCAAGGCGAGGCGTCGGGGGGGTCCGGCGAAGGAGGTCCGAGAGAAATCCGGGAGAAAATCTGCGGGCGTCCGGGCGACGGCGACCGAGGAGAACCACAAAGGGGGGAGGCCCATCACCCAGGCGGAGGCCACCGGCTGCCCGCGCCCGCATTCGGGCGGACCTTTGTGGTCGGTCTGGCCTTGCGTTTTTCTTCTTGTGCGTGATCGGCGGGCAAGGAGCCGGCCGGAAAGCGGAGCGCGCGCCCCCGCCTTCCGAGAGAAATCCTAAGAAATCCGGAAAGCGGCGCCCATCCAGGCGCGCCCAGCTCAACATTCGGGGGCGGGCTGGCGAAAATTTTTCGCGCGCGCGCGCGCACATGTTGGCCCGGGGGCGCGGTTGGGGACTTTTTGCGGACCCGCCCCCCTTCCGGGGCCGGCCCGGCTGAAAGAAAGAATAAAGTAAATTGTTCGCGCGCTGCGCGCACGCAACCTCCTTGGCCTCCGGGCCCGGGGCGTTTTTTTCGCGCCTAGCAGCCTGTGGCCGGCCTGGAAAAACTTTTTGCGCGTAACTTCCTTGGCCTGCGGGCCCGGCCGGAGTGTTTTTTCCGCGTCCAGCCTTTCCTTGGAGGCCCGCAGGGGAAAAAAAATTTTGCGCGCTGCGCGCACGCAGGCACATTGCCCCGGGGGCGCGGGGCGTTTTTTTCGCGTCCGGCCGTTGCTGGCTTGCCGGTCGGAAAAAAAGATCGCGCACTGCGCGCACGCAGGCAGACTGGCCCGGGGGCGCGCACGCAGGCAGACTGACCCTTATGCCTTACCTGCAAAGAGCAAGGGCCTCGCCGTCCTTTTTTCGCATCTTTTCACTGTAGGTGAGCGCCCAGCTCCTCGGGGGGCCTAAGCGTCCGGCTTCTCGTAGCCGGAGAAGCTGGGCTTCCAGCTTCTCGTAGCCGGAGAAGCTGGCCTTCCAGCTTCTCGTAGAGCCGCCCGGGGAAGCTGGACTGTCAGCTTCTCGTAGAGCCGGGGAAGATGGACTTTCAGCTTCTCGTAGAGCCGGGGAAGCTGGACTTTCAGCTTCTCGTAGAGCCGGGGAAGCTGGACTTTCAGCTTGTCGTAGAGCCGGGGAAGCTGGGCTTTCAGCTTCTTGTAGAGCCGGGGAAGCTGGACTTCCAGCGTCTCGTAGAGCCGGGGAAGCTGGGCTTTCAGCTTCTTGTAGAGCCGGGGAAGCTGGACTTCCAGCGTCTCGTAGAGCCGGGGAAGCTGGACGCCCAGCTTCTCGTAGAGCCGGGGCAGCTGGACTTCCAGCTTCTCGTAGAGCCGGGGAAGCTGGACTTCCAGCTTCTCGTAGAGCCGGGGAGGCTGAGCTGCCGGCTTCTCGCAACCAGGGAAGCTGGACTGTTAGCTGCTCGGAGCAGGAGTGCTGGCGTTCTGGCTGCCAGAATCTAGAAGCTAGATTTCTAGATTTCTAGAACCTAGAAATCTAGATTTCCAGACTTCTAGATTTCTAGATTTCTAGACATCTAGTTTCTAGATTCTTGGCCGCCAAAGTCTAGAAACAAATCTAGAGGCTACGGAACCCAGAACCGCTATCCCAATAGACGTTCTGGGGTCAGAAGCTCTATTGCAATAGACGTTCTGACTCCAGAACCTCTATTGTGATAGAGGTTCTGGGTCCAGAAGGTACGAGATAGAGCTTCCCAAGCTAGAAAATGTCAAGAAACAGTGAAAAGATTAGAAAAAAAACAAAAAAATCAAAGAGCAACGAAATCAGTAAGAAAAATAAAGAAAAGAAGAAAAAAGAAAGACTGTAGAAAATCTAGAAAAAGCTTAGAAATCTAGAAAACCTAGAACATCTATGGAGAAGTTAGAAAATGGTCGAGAACCTCTATCAATAGAGGTTCTTTTAGAAGTTCTTGAATATTTTAACTTAAGTGACCCCATATGTAGAAGATGTGTTGACTGTAAGTGTGTTGACTCGAGCTTTATGCACACAGCATGCTATGCGTGTTCAAGCTCCTCCGCGTTGTTCCATCGATCCAGATCTTCAGCACAGTAACGATCATACGCTCCTGCTTAGCTTAGTCGTCTCGTCGTCCCATCCTGATTCAGGAACAGAGCGAGTCAATCCATCTTGAAACACGACCGGAGTACAGATGTGAATCAGTGCTCCGCTCTGAATCATTCACACCAAAAGATGCGAACTCGACCGCTTTCCGTATGCTGATGAATGTGTTCAGAATTCCTAACAAAGTGTAAACCCTTCAAACGCTGCAAGTAATAAATCACTTATTTTCACAGAAACCCAAAGTGCCGGACGGGCAGAAGACGGCGCGGGCGATTTTCCAGCAGAGTGTCCAGCTGGAAGAGGTGAGCGATGTTGACAACTCCCCGAAGAAGCTTCTAACCGTGGCGTTGTTTGAGAACGACAAACTGATCAGCAGCGCCCTTCTATCATTTGTAAAAACGTCCCCACCCATAGTCAAGTTGGGAATCTAGCAACACAACTCTCCAAGCTTCGGGAGCTGTGCATGACAAGTTTCCCTCTGCAGTGTAGTGCTGATTGGCAAGAGGAGGCGCATGAGAAAGCCACTTTCGCATCCTGTTTACAGCATTACAGATTCCAAAACACGATTGGAAATTCCTCTCATGGAGCTGCGCATTACAAATGTCCCTGTCGTTGCGCATTTGCATGCCAACTCTGGTGTGGGGACGTTAGTTTTTACTCAGGATACCTTCTGGAGGACCTGCAGGCGTACAAGAAGGCGTTTGCCACGGTGCAGCTGAAGGACGCGAAGGGGAAGAAGTATCCTGTGCAAAAGTATCGTACTCGTAGTAAAAATGATCGCAGTCATGCATTACAAATCTGGTTCCATAGGCAAATCCGCATGACAAATTCCATTTGTCATGCTGAGCGAATTTGTATCGCAATCACTACTAGTACGATACTTTTGCACTGCATAAGAAGTGCGGCTACGCAAATGTTCGATTAGACGATCCGAAGACCGCTATGAAAGTGCACAACTTCTCCCCCTCCCTCGTTAGTATTGCATGAACAGCAATACAAACACCAGCGCACAGGGAGCCTATGCATGACATCAAATCTATGTACCTAAATGTAGTACTACTGTTTGGGCTTCCTGAATTATATGATGTCATGCATAATAGTGACCGAACCCCAAGGGAGCAGCTGACATTGTGGATTTTGCATGAGAAATGAGAACGAGGGGGAGTTCCTTCGTTGTGCACTGTGATAACCGCCGCCACACCCAGTTCCACGGGGAAAACGGAGGAAGAAGAAGCCGAAGAGGAGGCGGAAGAGGAGTAGAAGCTAGAGCTGGTGCCGTTGGGAGAAGTGAGTGCAAGTGGAACATCAACAGTCGACGGCTCCTCGTCTCCTAGTTGATTTCTTTGAACACCAACTCCAGCGCGCACGACAGCCTCGTCCTGCCGAGTTGTTGCCTGCTGGGTTGAGTTCGAAAGAAAACAATTACAATTTTCTGAGTCCTTGTTGTACGCAGTAGAGCTGAGAAAATCAAAAGGAACTTGATGATGGTGCAGAAGTGCAGCGTGTGTTGGTTCGTCGCACTGACAATGTCACCAGTGTCTTCTGGTACTACAACGAAAGTGCTGCAACTAGGGCTAGTGTATTAAATGTAGTCGTGTAGCGACGATGAAATTAATTTTACGGCATGGTGAAAATCAAAACTAATAACTGCTGATCCTGATGTTCACCATTACTCGGGACGAAGAGCCGTGTTCGTATTTGTCTACGAGGACCCTTGTTGTCCTCCATGACGATGGGGATGGCGAGTACGTTGTACTGCAGCCGTCCTGGTTGTAGTACAACTAGGTCTGGAGAGATGAAACACAGCAGGACCGACGCGTAGTCGTGCTCGTGTCAAAGAAAACAGGTGCTGCGGAGCGCTTGCACTTTATTTCTAGATAGAACTTCTAGGTGAAGAGTGCGAGGAGAGTTATTGTTCTCAATCATACGATCGCCCGATCATGATGCTCCTTCAAAGTGGTTCAATGAATTAAACCCAAACATGTCGTGGTCCGTGACTTTATACCAAAGAGTCGTCGTTGTCGTTCACCCCTCGCAAGAACTCTAATTCTTCTGCTTGCTTTCCGTCCCGTTGGTGTACTAGTCCGACGCTTCGTGGTTCGTGTTGCGTGCCTCTATTAGTGCAGCGGTCCAGCCCGTTGGTTTTCGGCGAAAGAGATGGAGCTGCTTCACGTGGGTCACCACATGAGCCTGTTTGCAACCAGTTTCTTCTACGGAGGGGGCGGTGGAGGTCAAGGAGGTATCAACAACAACTATGATTGGCAGCACGCTTATTTTTCCGGTCAAGAAGACCTCGCGGTCCACGATCTTCGCCATGATGCAAGTTCGACAACATCATCGCACAGTTCATCCTCATCATCCTCTACTTCGCGATACAACGCCAGACAACTCGCGAGCACTACCGCGGGCACCGCTGCGCCACTGCTGACGGAGGCGGACGAAAGTCTGCGGTTGCGGGTGCAAATCCTCTTGTTCTTCACGTTTATCTATGCATTGCAAAACTATCGTACTAGTATTGCATTACAAATTTTAATTTTTTCTAGAACAAAATAAAATGCAGTTTGTCATGCTATACCAGGTAAAAAGTATAGATCTGTGATACACGATTGCAATTAGTACGAGTGCGATGCTTTTGCATTAGATATTATCGCTGCGGGCGTGGGCGTGTACCGCACCAAATATGCGTCGCTCACCGAAGCAGCCCGGGTCACGTCGACTGCGGTTGAGAAGAATTTCAAATTCACCTACCTTGGTGCGTACCTCCTCGCAATGCTCGCGGACTGGCTGCAGGTACTAGTGCATCAAACTTTCGGTTTTCATTGTAGTTTGCGGATCATCTGTGAAGCTGAATCCAGATAAAAACAAAAAGTACTACACGCAGTTCTTGTCATCTTCTCACACCAGCTGGAGATGGAATAAAGTAGAATGCTGCACAACGAAGTTCAACTTGTTGTACAAGACAGCCACTATCTATTACTTTCATTTTTTTACATTCGTTCTTCCATTCGCTCATTACGGCATAATAATTACCACACGACGACCTCCTCCCACTTCTAGGGCCCCTACGTCTACGCCTTGTACGCAGCCTACGGATTTTCGCACGAGGACAACTCGCGTCTCTTCATTTTCGGGTTCGGCAGCAGCATGCTGTTCGGCACCTTCATTGGCGGCTACGCGGACAAGCACGGCCGGAAAAAGTTCGCGATCCTGTACTGCATCGTGTACGCTCTGTCCTGCTGTACGAAACATTTCAACTCCTTCTTCATGCTCTCTGTAGGACGCATATGCAATGTAAATTTCCTGTACATGTACAAAATGCATGACAAATTTCGCTACCTTGCAGAGCCCAGCTTGTCATGCTGCACTAGGATTGGAGGCAAGTTTTGTCATGCAGAAACCACATTTGTACGTGTTACTGTGGATAACGCATCCTCGCGGGCGTGGCCACCAGTCTGCTGTATTCCGTGTTCGAGTCGTGGGTGGTTTGTGAACACGCGCAACGGGCATTTTCAGATGACGTGCTTGGTATAATGTGTTTAAAAATGTTGAGGAAATCGAAGGCAGTCCACGACTTTATTATCCTTTCTGTAGTACCAGAAGTCCTCTTGGTGGTTTGTGAGGTGTGTCACGGATCACGAATACGAAAGTAGACACTACAGTACTTTGTGTGCCGTCTCGACGTTTTGGGCACGAGCTGATGATTATTTTGGATTTTTCATAGGCGATTCCATCTTGTTCTCGCGTCCATCTGCCGGAGTCGGAGAACTTACATACTACAACCACACCTGCACAATAGTTCCTCGCATCGTCCCTTCAACTTTTGCTTTAATATCCATTCCACAGGTGACATTTTCTCATTGGCGATTTTCGGGAACAGTTGCGTGGCCATTTCCGTTATCAAGTGCAAAAATGTCTAGGTCTGATGAACGAGTGTAAACTTGTCATGCAGATTTTGCATGACCCATGAGGTCTGGAATGCGGGACTTAGCATGGCAGACGCTGCGAGGTCTCTGCCATCCCTGTCCTGCATGAGAAACTCCCTCCCAACTTGGTCGAAAGTGGACAGCTTTTGGCGCTCATGCAACACAGATTTTTGTATGCTTCAGATTTACCATGACAAGGCACCACTTTCCAGACCCAGATATATTTGCAATTCATATCCGCGGGTTTTCTGGCGCAGTGGGTGTCCGACCTGATGCCGTTCACGAAGGTGACCGAGGTCTTTTACATTGGACAGTACACGAACCCGTTCGACTTTGCCATCGTCATTCTGCTTTTGTGCGCCGGCTGGGTGCACACGCAATGGTGCGAGAACTACGGATCCTCGAGTCTGGCGGCTACAACTTCTAGCGAGAACAAGGACCTTATCCAAGAAAAAACTGTGTTAGTGTAGCTTTCTTTGGCTGACAGCATCACAGATTTGCTCTACATGACAGAGAAAACCTGTCATGCCTGGCTTCCAAGGAAAAACACACATGAAAAGAGGACTTCATGGCTGTCTGGCATGACAGGCGTAACTCTGTTGCATGTTCTGCATCTACAGAGTTACACGTTGCGCAGTTTTTTTCTTCCAAAGACCTCGAATCGGTCCCCCAGGACGACAACGCACTGACCCTGGAGGTATGCAATGCAAAAGTATCGTACTCGTAGTATTGCATTACAAATTAGCTCAGCATGACAAATGATATTTCTGATGCTGATTTAGCTTGAAGAAGAAATCTGTCTTGCATGACTGCGATTAGTACGAGTACGATACTTTTGCACAGGATAGGAGGAACAGGGCTTGGCCGCACCCGTATCGAATGCAAATGTGTCATCTGGGTCTGGGAGAAAGCAGAGTTTGTCAACTTACTTGGCTTCTAGCATGACGACGACTCTCAGCTCATCTGTCCTGCATGATACTTTTTACCAGCAATAAAGAGCCCCACTGTTCTTTCATGACCAAAATCGCACGAAGACGCGGTTTGTCATACCGAAGCTACTTGCGCCCGTCAATATAAGGTTTATTCCTTCGTCCTGATTCTCCATCGATTTCGATCTCCAGCCCCCCCGCCGGCATCACAAGTAAGTTTCCAGACCCAAACAGCGTCATATTTGCTATGCATAACCGGGCAGCGAGAGCAACGGTGACAAGTCGGACTTCGAGAAAGCGTGGCAACTTTTGAAGGAGGATATTCACTGAAAATGAACCCGCCTCCTCCAATTTGTCATGCAGAGCATGCAGTAAAGTAAAGTAGACGCTTGCTATCTATGCAAAAAGTGGATCGTGGGGATGGTTAGTTTTCCGGGAATACAGGACCGAAAAATCCAGTCTGTTGCCCTGATGAGCGGGTTTTTTGAGTCCAGTATGTTCATTTTCGTGTTCCTCTGGACGCCGGCTATTTTGAAGGCGGACAACGGTGACATACAAACCCCGCCGTTTGGCCTGATGTATCAAACAAAAAAGTGTTAACGTTAACGGTTTTGCTGGATTGCAAGTATGCATGACAAATTTTGCCTAGCGCTAGCATGCATGCTACGCATGACAAATTCGGTTACTTAACGTAGTTAACACTTTTTCCTGTGATATGACCTTCGCGGTGTTCATGCTGGGATGCATGACGGGCTATCAAAGTGAAAAAAGCCCCCACCCCATAGCAAAATGGAAATTTGTGCCGGTGATTTGTAGACACAAATCACGTTGTAATGCTAGAAGGGAAGAGATGCGGACTGTAGTGCTGGCTGGCGCAGGAACGCCTTGCGTCTTCAGCATGACAGAAAGGAACTGGAAACGGGAAACAGCATAAGAAACTGCCTCCAAGCGAAGGAACAACTGCGTCTCTTGGTCTTCTAGCAATACAAGTCGATTTTTGTACTCAAATACAGCAACACAAATTCCGTTTTCGATATGGGGAGGGGGGATTTTTCCTCACAATACGGGCAGCTGCTTCTTCTCGCACGTCACCACACCAACCGAAGCGGGCGGCTGGGGGTGGGACATCCACCGGTGCGCTTTCTTTCTCTTCGCCGGGTCCGCCGCAAGCCACGCGATCGTGGTGTTTTCGCAGAGCTCCTTCGCCATTCTGTCCGCGTTTGTCCTGTTTGAGGTGTGCGTCGGGATGTACTTTCCCAGCATGGGCCTGCTCAAGTCCAAGGTCGTGCCGGAATCGTGCCGGTCAACGGTATAATTTCAGTGTCAGTTGTTTCTGTATAAGCTTAGTCAAGTAGCAATTGAAATTGCACATGCATGTACAGAGGTGACCACGAATTTTTGATAGTTGAAGAAGTTGTGAGAAGTGCCGTTTAGGTACTGATAACCTGTTCTCGGGCGCAGCTGCAGCTGCAGCGACAGGTGGATCCGTCGGTGGTAGGAGCTGGAACTCCGTGGCGAGAAGTGTGTCTCGTCCTCGAGCCAGCTGATCTCAAAGCGACACTAGTCAATACAGGTTGATTGTGCTAGAATGAAATTAAAATTTTGAAATTTCGTCGATTTCGCTGATCGTTAAAAATAAAATTTTGAAAATTCGCGGATTTCACTGATCGTTAAAAATAAAATTTTGAAAATTCGCGGATTTCACTGATCGTTAAAAATAAAATTTTGAAAATTCGCGGATTTGTCGTCTCCGACGCCGATGCTTTTTACCTTCAAGATTTGAATTTCTTTTGATCGCCATACAATTTCCACCCTCAATGAAAATAAAATTTTAAAATTTCGCGGATTTGCTCTCTCTTTTATGTTCCGTGTGTGTTGGTCATTGCCTTACGTGCCATGAGTGAGCACACATATGGGTCCTCTAGGCGCTCATGTAGACATTTGGTTGTGCTATAGTTTTTCTACGTCAATAAAAATAAAATTTTAAAATTTCGCGGATTTGTCCTTCTCCGAGAGCTCTATTCATTCCGTCCTCATGGTAAGGAGAAGTGGTTTTTTAGGCTTCTCCGTTGCGCCGGCCGGCCCCCTCGTCGTCGGCGCCGGGTCGACCCAATTGGGTGGTGGAAACGCATGTTGTTGTTAGAGCGTCGCGTCGTGTGCTGCAGTACGTAGGTCAATGCAAAAGGCCGGCGCCAACGAAAATAGAACACGTCGTGTAACCGGACTATTTAAGTACATCTAAATTGGTGCTACAATAGAACTGCGTTTTAGTGTATTAGCAGGTGTACTACAGCATGCTATTATAACCCATGATTCGAACAACAGTTGTACAACTTTTTCCGCGTGCCGCTGAACTTCATCGTTTGTTGCGTGTTGTTGTCGAACGTGCCGGTCAAATTGGGCTTCATTTTCACGACCGCATTGTTGTTCTGCTGCATCTACCTCCTCTACCGCATGGGTGATGTGGAAGGAATTACCAGCGCGGGCTCGCCTCTGGAAGCGGGGGAAGCGACGCAAAAGGAGCAGATTATCGGGAATGCCGACCTGGAAGAGGGAAATCCGATTGCGGGAGGGTATATGCACTGCAAAAGTATCGTACTCGTAGTATTGCATTACAAATTAGCTCAGCATGACAAATGGAATTTCTCATGCTGATTTAGCTTGAAGAAGAAATCTGTCTTGCATGACTGCGATTAGTACGAGGAGTGCGATACTTTTGCACAGGATAGGGTAGGCGAAAAAATGGTCGTGCGCGGTCAGTAGTAGTACACTTCTCATTTTGCGCAGAGTCTGTCTTCAGCTTCACCGGCAGATGTAGTAGAGTATTGTTGGCGGGCGGGTACAATAAGTAAAAACGGAAACTGTATATGCAAATAATAGCAAACGCTAACAACGCTAACGAAGGAAGGTAAAAAAGCGAAGCACTTTTTTCTTTTCCCGCACGAGAATGCCAATTTCCCAATGTTGAAAGAATCGACGCAGTGGTTACAACACTGACTGTGCTGCCGAAAAAGCTCCGATCGATTGATACTTCTGCTAGCCTCGACAAACAACAAGCACTTTTTCTATGTACACGTTGAACACATAATAATATTAGCTTCGGCATCGGCTCCACTGCCACTACCACTGAAAACTCTTTCTTGAGGAGCATGATGCTGGGTATCGTATTGACTCAATTGGAATTACTCATTTTGTTGAGCCGCGCCTTGAACTGACCGGCGAGAACCGGAACGCTGCGCGGCAGCTGCGCTCCATCTCACGTTGACGACTACGCAGAATAAAATCCATCAGCATCAGGCGTGCTGGTCAACCAAAAAGCTCTACTAACTTACGAACGCGAGCTGACATGTACGTTTTTCATTGACTAGTGGCATGGTCTTTGTTCTAGAACGACTTGGTGTTCATCAGCACGTATTTTGCTCATGCAGCCGTGTAACTGTAGTACACAGTGAACGAATAAAAAACGACCACGACGATGAAGTCCACGACCGTAACAAGGCTACTTTCCCCGTTAGCAAATTGAGACGAGCAGCGGGTAGTGATACGGATGTCTCAAACTAAGGTGGACGAGAGCATCTTCACTGAGCAGGGCCTCCAGGAGAGGAGTTAGTACAGTGACTGTTCCTCGACCGTGGGAGGAGTGACAACATGATGATCTGTGGGAATAGAAGTAGTTTTGGAAACAGTGGCACTCAGAACAGGTGGAAACGAGTGCTTCGAGAAGTAGAAACCACAACTTTCTACATCTTCACTATGTCCTGCTTTATCGGGCTCTTCGACACTTTTCGGGAGTGCTTCAATCCGAAAAGCATAACGGGCGGCCGCGACGTGCACGCGGCGTACTACGAGCGCGTACTGATGGCACCACCAAAGGGCACCCCAACGACGGCCACAAAGGTACATAACAAGATACAATGTCTTTCTAGAATATGAATTCCTCTGGTGCCCGCATATATATTGAACTTTTTTTTCATTTGCAATATTGCAACTGCTGTGGTTGATCCGTAGAAAGATTTAGGGAGTGTACTATGTGAATGTGCGCGCCAAGATGCTGCCATCATGCAACGCAGCTGCAAGTTTTTTTGTTTTGTTCAAACTTCGCCTTAGAAGTTGTACCTACTTTTACTTATCCCACGACAGGCCTACTCTTCGGGGGGTGCTCCAGAGAAGAAGTGAATTGACGCTGATGTTGAAGATGATGTTGCTACATTATTATTACACGCGGACGGGTGATGGAAAATCCTCTCAAAAATCTTCCTATTTCCTTACCAGCAGTCCCAGTTTTTTGATCGGCTGAAAGAAGAAAAACGGAGACGAGTCTTTCTCTTTGACGTTAATATGAATATGTGACTTTTTGTTTCCGCTCCACTTGAAAGACGCACATTTAGTGCGTGTGAAGAGAGAAATAACTACGTGCATCTCTTCTACGAGTTCCCGCCGTGTTCAACATTCCGCGAATCTTCGTGTGATTCTGGGCTGGAGGTGTGGTTTGTTTCATGTTCTTTTGAGCGATTCTTTGGTCTAGTAATAAATCCCTGTAGCATCTCGTATGGAAGAGCTTTCTGTGTTTTTTCATTGATGCTGTGTTTCTTGTTTTTTGTGGCTTTGTTTCTTCGAAAGACGAAAGTGGTATCTTCCAGACGGATGTCCTCATAGGCACGGTTTACAAACCATGGTTCGCTAGAAGTAGAATTTGGAAGTGAACAAGTATCTCGAGTATTTGCTTAGAACGTCCACCTGCTTCCACACCACCGGGTTAGATTTACCGTAGAAAGATGATGACTTAGATCTGGCCCACCTACATTTGCCAACGCAAACTTCTGTCCGTATCAGCGACATACTCAATGTAAACAAAAGAACTGTACGTCCTCATTTCTACCCCGACAAAGAAGGAAAAGCAGTCCTATCTTGTTCTTCACATATCACGGCATTAGAAGCAGAAACAAGAAACCAGTCGCGTGCAACAAGGCCCCGCGTTTTTCTTCGTCCCCCGACGTTCAAAGTAGATAAAGTTATCGAAAATGTCCTGTTTCGTGGGTTGCTTCGACGCTTTCCGGGAGGTCTTTAACCCGGCGAGCATCAAGGGCAAGGATGTCCACGCCAGTTACTACTTGAACGTGCTGCAGCCGAAGAAGCCGATTCGGGTGGCCATCACCGGTGTGGCCGGGCAAATTGGGTACGCCCTGCTTCCCATGATTGCCAACGGGGACATGTTTGGCCCCGACCAGGAAGTGATCATCCAAGGTACTGTTTACTTCAACACGACTCAGCTGACGCGATGTTTACATCTAGATTTACAACCTTCGTTCACCACCTTCTTGAAGAAATGACGTATGACATGTCAAGTCGATGATGTCTCGCGCTAATGCATGATCCGCCCATGGTTGATGATGATGAAGAACAGCAATAGTGCAGCAATGCAAAAAAACTACGTTCATCTGACCAGGTGTCGACCTGAACATCGACGCGGTGCGCGAGAACCTGAAGGGTATTCAAATGGAACTGGATGACGGTTATTACCCGCTGCTGAAGCAGGTCATTTTCACCACGGACCCAAATGTCGCCTTCCAGGACGCTGACGTCGCAATTCTGCTCGGTATTTGCTTGTAGATAGTACTTGTCATGCATGATCTTCTAGGTGAAATACATCATGCACACCGGCTGCACCTTCTCCTTCGGTATGATCATGATGGAAGAACACAAGGAAAAACTGAACACCTACTTCTACCTACAAATCTACAGGCGCATTCCCGCGAAAGCAGGGCATGGAACGAAAGGACCTGATGGAGAAAAATATCAGCATTTTCAAGACGATATGCATTACAAAAGTATCGTACTCGTAGTAATCGCATTCATGCATTACAAATTCCTTTTTTATGGTAAACCCGCATGACAAAAACAAATTGCCTTTGTCATGCTGAGCTAATTTGTAATGCAATTACTACTAGTACGATACTTTTGCACAGGATAGACGATGGGCACGGCCATCGAAAAAAACGCGTCGAAAGACATCAAGGTGTTGGTTGTGGGCAACCCCGCTAACACGAACTGCCTCGTGTGCTCGCAGTTCGCGCCCAGCATCCCAAAGAAGAACTTCTCCGCGCTCACGCGACTCGACCACAACAGGGCCAGAGGTACTTATTAGCATGGTCGTGCAGTGATGTGTGAAAGAGAAAGATCGGCACCATTGACTTCTGCTACTGCAGCGGTTGCACTTGCATTGTTGATGTTGCACTATTGACCATCTTTCACATGATCTTCTTGTCATGTTAAACAAATCAAAATTATCCCAGGTCAAATTGCCTTGAAGGCCGGCGTGCAACTGAATGAGGTGTCAAACGTGTGCATCTGGGGAAACCATATCAAATGCAAAAATATCTGGGTCTGGAAGGTTGGAACTTGTGATGCTAACCTTGGACTCTAAAAAAATTTGTATTGCGTGACCAGCAAGAGGAGTCTAGGTTGTGCTACGCGGGGAGCGCGTTTGTAATGCGGAGTGGGCATCAGGAAGCCCTCTAAAAATCTGTGATGCTAGGTCGTGCATAACAGACATCCCGGGCCATGCAAAATATGCGTGACAAGTCTAAAAATCTCCAGACCCAGACATTTTTGCATTTGATAAACCACTCGTCCACGCAATACCCGGACGTGTGCCACGGCACCATCGGAGGAAAACCGGTATGAAATTTGTTTGATTTGAGGACGGTGCGGTTCGGTGCTTATTTCTTTTTGGTACAGGACCACGGAGGACCGGTGCAGAAAGTGGTGCTTTGGGAATAAAGAAAAAATTAAAAAAACATTAAACTCCAGATCGAGTCCGTGCTTGCGAAGGAGAAGAACTGGCTGAAATCCGAATTCATTTCCATGATCCAAACCCGCGGCGCAGCCATCATCAACGCGCGCAAGGCTAGTTCTGCGTTGAGCGCCGCCCGGGGAATCACAAACCACATGCACGACTGGATCTGCGGAACCAGCACGCCGGGCGAATACGTTTCTATGGCAGTATTTACCGATGGGACCGACGGGTATAGAAGATTTTGCGCTTTCATGGAATAGTAAGTAAGTACGCGATGTGACAAGAAGTGCAGGCTCTTTGTGATGCAGGGGTGCATCCATGGAAATTTTGGGCATTCTTGATTTCATCATGATTAAACACAAAAAACTAGATACGGTGTCGACAAGGGGTTGATTTACTCCTTCCCGGTCACCTATGACAGCGCACAACTCCCCCTCCCCCTCATTTGTATAGCATGAACGGCAATACAAGCATGAGCAAGAATGCCGGTTTTGCGTGACAGATTTGCACTGGAGTATAGTGCTACTTGGGCTACTAGAATTTGTCATGCACACAGTGCCAAGCGGCAAAGGGTGGATTGGGTATTTTACATGACAAATGAGGGGGAGGGGGAGTTGTGCACTGTCATATCACCTGCAAGGGGAACGGTGAGTGGGAAATCGTCAAGGGACTGCCGATTGACGACTTTTCTCGGCAGAAAATGAAGGCTACGGAGCAGGAACTCGCTGAGGAACGGACGTTGGCCTTCAGCTTGGTCGGCGCGTAGAGGAGTTTTTACAACCCGTGGGGAGTAAGTCCGGGAGAATGAATATGAATGTCTGAAAATGTGATGAATGACGACACTGTCTGTGTCTAAATCAGATTCTTCGACTGACTCCTTGTACAGTCACGTTCGTAAGTGACTTTTTTACGACTTGCGGCACCAGGTCAACATTACTTTGGAACACTTCGCAAGGATACCGCTAAGAGAACAATCTAAACACTTCTATCATCATGAAAGGGATATTTATCAGGATAAACAAGGCATCTAAGCTCTCCGCATCAAATAGCGTTCTAAGGATGACGCTGCAACGCTTAAGGAATTCAAGGGAAAAACATACGTATCGATTTTTCATCGAAGGTCATTACAAGGAAAAATGGCGCCATAATTGTGTTGATTTTACAGCATAGTTTCACCGAAATAAGCGAGTATACTTTTTGAACGGGTATGCGACCATCTTTTGCAAGATGGAAGATCTCCTTTGTTGCCATCTTTCTGTCCTCGTCCTTGAATATTTTCCGTGGTTTATTTTCAGCGCGGTGTGTCTGTCAGGCACAGGCTCAGGAGGTATTTGCAGATTCATGCGCAACTGGATTACCGTGTGTAAACATGAAGGAGGACGGGGATAGACATGGGCAGAGCAAAGAAAGAGCAACCGGAACGGCATCGTAAAAAGCCTCTGAATATGAAGGCTGACATACTCCAAAGAACAACTTACAGGAAAACCGCACAGAGTGAACGAAAAAGCTCGACAAGCACATATACCGACCATTAACACCGGTATTGGAATTGAATAAAGCAGGGAGTTCTTCAGCGTTATGTAGTGTCCTGCAGCTGTTAATGATATGAGTTGAACCGTTTCTCCTGGCGCAGTCGATGATGTCCCTCCAGTTGGTGATCATGGTTAAGATCAAGAACTACTCTTTTGTGAAGGTTCCAGCGCCACCAGCAGCTAGATCCATCATCGCAAGCTGTACAACTCCCCGACAGCCAAGAGTAGGGTGTCGTCTTCAGATCCTCCTCAAAGTAGATTATGCCAGTCTAGTACTAGGAGTTCTCCTTCTCGTTTTTCGCACTACATTTGGCGTCGTCATGGGTGATCATTCGTACAACTCACGAACAAGCAGAGGTGATGAAGAGAGAGCTTGTTGTACTAGTAGGGCTTCTTCATGTACAATAGACCATCCCCAGCTCGGCTAGTCGTCTCCAGAACTATGTCCTATAGTTAAGCTTAAGACAGAAGTAGCTTAGTAGTTAGAAGCTGACTATAGAGGTTTCCTCCTCCTCCTCATGTACAATAGACCATAACGGACAGCGACAGCAAGGGCGTATGAGCGTTTTCTGTGCGAATATTTCTTGAGCCAGCAACTCTTACAAGTCCAACGCGAACCCAACTGGCTGTGGCAGATTTACGAAAATTTACCCGTGATATGCGAAGCGTTGGATTGATCACTAGCACCAAGTAGTCAGCATCTGTAGCAGCAGCAGAACCACGATCTTAATTTCACGACCCGGCAACTCATGTCAGAAATTGACCTAAGTGAGTACTACAGGGTCTGCGAAGCGGACCCGACACAGATGACGCCTGCATGGCTCTTCAGCGTTCTGGAGAAGGTGCATTTTCCACCTGAGAAGGACTGCAACACCCGGAAAGCCACGCCGGCCGGACAGTACTTCACACTGGGGTGCGTGCCGGTCTACAATAACGGCGCCGCAGCCGTGTCGAAGGAGACGCGCAGCCGCACGATGTTGACGTGCATTCTGACGGCGTACGGGCGACGTATGTTGGGCGAAGCGGTCGATTTCAGCTCCGTCCAGGTCAACAAGGACGCGCCGGCGGCCCTGCACGTTGACGGGCGTAACGAATCTCCTGTGCGCGCCGTCGCCCTGGTCGACGAATCGCAATGGGGCACCAACGAGGAGTCTCCGGAAGGGAACACTTGGGTTGCGGATGACCAACACGGGGCGGACTTGTATTGTGGTCCGCTTCAAACCGGAGGTGAACGTGAACAACTACCCGCGCGGCCGCAGAATATTAAAGCGGGCATGATGGCGGCATTTCCCGGACGCGTCATTGATTTGAAGAACAAACTTGGCGTTTTTGATGGCTCCAAGATGCACACGACGATTCCGTACGGTTGTAGCCACTACATTCGGCGGCTCGGGGGCCCGAACGGATTCACAAAGCCGTCGTTGGCAGATCGTGGTGTGAAAATCGTTGATGAAGTGAAAAATATTTCCGATAAGCCGGACACTGTTAGTCCTAGTACAAACAGCAGTGCGAAAAAGAAATCGAAAAGAGAAGCATCTCGTCCTCACGCGCCTCGACGGTATTTTCTGTCGTTTTACACCCACACGAGCGTGCGGAAACTTAGCGAGGCGGACCGGGACGAGCTCGCGAAACTGGGATTCCGACTGCCGAGTAGGCAAGAGGCAGGGACGATGAAAATAAATCAAGAGGGTAGAAGTGATACAGGAACATTATCGATCGATGGTGATCGTGGAACAAAGGACCACCGTTCGGCCCGCGACGATCATGATGCCCTCGCGACTGGAGACGAAACTTCCAGCCAGACAGGCTCCACCGCGGGTGAGGCTGCGGCACAGGAGGAGGAAGAAGACTATTCCGGCGAAATTTTGATTGCCCAAATTCGGCAGCGTATCGCAACAGATCTAGAGATGGCAGAAGTCGAAGTGGTATCGTCCCCTCCTGCTAGTTATTCCCAATCCTCATCTTCTAGTAGTGGCGCGGCGAAAAGGCGTCGGAAAGCTGACGGTGCAGCTTTTTCTGACACTGAAGCTGTTGGTGAAGATGAGCTAATATCAGAAGCTTCCGTAGCGGTGCCAGGCCGGTTCGAGTTTGTCGACGAGGAAGGTGTGTCCGAGGAAGGCACCAGAACGAGTCAAAGTGTCCTTGATGAAGTAACGATGCCGGCGATCTCATCTTCGCGGAAGCGCAAGAATGAAAAAGAGCACGTTGATATTTTGCCGCCCTCGCTTCGCTGCCCGAGGCCGACAAAGCACTGTATCTGCGGCGTGGCCATTTCCGGAAAGGGGTCCATTGCTGGTTCCTTGGTTGCAGCTTGTTTTGTGATACCTCCAGGTCGTGCAGAAAAAGACGACACTTGGGGCACGGGCGTGGTCAACCCTCTCAGCCTTCCGAAGAAAAAACGGGAAGCGGTATTCAAGAAGCTAACAGGCCCTGGAAGCAGCACCGGCATCGGTAGGATCCGCGTTGCGGAGCTGGATACGAAGTTTGGTGGAGCGAACGATCAGGCTGTGCAGGCGGCCGTAAAGAAATGCGTCGAGGACGTGGAGCGCACACGTGGGCTTCGGATCACCAAGGTACTTACTTACACAACTACATGACGAGCACTTCGATTAATATGGTGGCCTTTTCATCATGTCCAGTTGCCAGCAGGACGCCGTCGTCCGGAGGTCGGGTTATTGATATGTCTAAACAAAAGCAATCGGTTCGCCTCCGGGCTAATTGAAGGAACAAGATGAATAAAAATAGCGCTGCATGATCATGCAAAAAACTCTGCTGACTTACAGGTACTAATAGCCAATCCGGACCACTATGTTCCTGACTCGCTCCGGACCCGCAAAGACTTACGGGTCGAAAGGGGATGTCACAATGAGGACTTCGTAGTGGCTGCCGCGAAGTTTTTGTCAAAGGTGACTCATGACGAGGAGTTCAAGAAAATGGCAACGGACTTTCCCGCGTATCAGTTTGCTAAAAACAATGGCTATGTTTCATCGAAGGCGCATCAAGACGCCCTCTCAGAGCTCGGGCCGTGCTTGTATCATCGCAAATGCACCAGACCTGTGCAAAACGCCATGATCGCGAGGGATGCTGGACGAAAAGAAAAAACATCCGAAAAAGATACTGGGACTAAGCAGGCAGCGAAGCCGCCGCCTGGCGGAAAGGAGAAAAAAAATCACGTCCTTGTTGCTAAAAAAGCGAAGCTGGTTACTTCGGCCAGCAAAGGATTCAGCGCTGCGATAGGTGCTGCGAAGATGTTGAAGTCCACCGCGCATAAAAATGTGCCAGTGGCGAATGCTTATGGGGGGACAAACTAGGGGCGACGAACTGAGAACGGCCTTTTTTCGAGGCTTAGATATAGCGGGTTTTTGGCGAATTGCCCACTTTCGGGGAAGCTCAGGCGAGGCCCCCAGCGTCTAGTTTTTGCGCAATAGCAGCGGCCTAATGCGCCGAATTCTCTACCTGAAGTTCGCGCCTGCACCACTTGCATTGTTTCGAAAACGGCGCGGCGCTCGCGCTAGAAATACCTTCTATAGAATATCCGCGCCCATTCCGCCCTAAATATTGAATATCCAGCGCGGTATCCTATATCCACGCCGTCCCGTCGTGGATATACACCGGGGGGGCGTAATATTTTATAAAATGACTTCCGCCGATTTGGCTCCGGAAATGGTTGCCATGGACACAGAAAGTAAATCCGTGCGCGTGCATTTGGGCGCGCTGGCGAACCAAAAAAATCAAGCAACCCAAGAAATCGAGCCTATATCTAGACGCAAAAAAAAGGCCATTCTCAGTTCGTTTCCGAATTTTGTCCCCCCATACGAATGCTATCGCGATGAAGAAGAGCACCATCAAGGTGGTGAAGAAGTAGTGTACTCTCGTCTGCAAACTCCACGCACCAGCGCGAGGCATTGTAAACACCAAGAATCGTGACAACTACATAGGTCCTTACATATTCCACACTAATTATTTTTCGACAGTTTTCCTTGGCCTGAAGCTGATTCATTGACGCATGCGACATCCACGTAAAACGAGCTCTGAAGACAACGCACGACTTCTCAGTGTTTGATGGGCGGTTCAAGTACTTAAGTAGGTTCCGAGAAGGATTTAATAGAACTCGTCTGTGTTCCATCGTTGAAAGGAGATACAATACTTAGTTTCTGCACTGGTCGTTCTTGTTGACCGAGTTCCTGAGCCTACTAGCTGCGTTTTTTTCACTACTCCGAGCGCGAGCACGGCCGGGCCCGAGCGAGAATATTCCAAAGGATGCCTGTCTCCGATGTTAAGGGGTGTACGACCTGTTCGAGGGATAAAGATATGAGGTGGCAGATTTTTGAGAGGACTGCGGTTGCAGTCGTATGTTCTGGTAAGAGGTGAAGATACGACAGGAGAGAAGAAAATAATAAGGAGCAACAAGAATTACTGGTGCTCGCGTAGAAGGTCCAATCCAAATCAAAGCGCACTCAATATGGCAAACAACTTCGACTCTGCAACCACTTTTCGCTCCCGTACCTACTGGGTTGTAGCTTCACGGTAGAGCCGCGAGATAGAGGCCCACTGAGATTTACGAACAAGATGGCGTGGCGCTGATGTTGCGCAGCAGCCCTTCGACGAAATATTTGGAGTGTGTCGCAGTTGGGTTTTGCGAGGCCGAGGAGATTCAAGGTGGCGGGGTTCCGTGTGTGTTTTGCTTGGCCAAGGGGCTGCGCGCGCGTTGATGAAAAGGGGCGCGCGCACCAGGACACGAGTCAGCGGGCCGGCCTGTGGCGCCGAATGCAGTCAGGCTGCCCTGCTAGTTCAGCAGACCTTCACCGCGCAGCATTCAATCGCCAAACAAGGAAGTGCAGGACCGGCCGCCTGCGCTCCAAAAACACGCAACCCGTTGCCCGCGCCAAATCGCTACCGCTAGCGCCCCGCGGCAGTCGCCTGGCCGTAATCTGCCCCCTTTAACCGGGCGGACCGCCCGAATTTCTCCGCCCCTGTGCGCAGCAGTATGCCGCCGGGCCGCGCCTACCCTTCGTTCTGGGGGGGAAAACAGGCGGGCGGTGGGCACAAAGCCGCCGCCGCCCGGCCCAGCCAACCTCGCACCTTCGCGCCGCCCTTGCTGAGCAAGGCGGCAACGGAGGAAAGCGCTGGGCGTGTTGTTGTGGCCGCGCGCCATGCGGTCACCCACCCAGCCAAGCGCGTGGGGCCTTTCTTTCGTTGGCCGCCTGCTCAGTTGGTTCGCTCGCTTTTTGCTGTTGCCCAGGGCGGACAAAGCCGCCCGCCCGGGTTTGGCGCCCGCCGGCCCCCTTTCCTGACGAGACGGGTGTTTTACCCGCCGAAAATGCGAAGGGGCTGGCCGCTGGCAGCGTGGGGGTGGGACGGGAGCTGTTTTCCCGAACCGGCTCTGTGTCGCAGGGGCGGAGCTGTCTCTGCCTGCTTTGCATTTGCAAACTGTTGTGGTGCGTGCCGCACTTTGTTCAAATGGATGCCGGCTGAGGAGTGTCTGGGCCACCAGAGTGTTTAGCCTAGAGAGGGCGCGCCGCGTACGTAAGCATGGTTTCGGATGAGTTGCAGTTCCTAGCATCAAATCTAGAAACAAAAGATAGCGCCGGTGACCGTGGTTCCGGTTCGCGATCGATGAGAGGCGAAGTTGAATGTTGAGGATGAGCTGTTCTGCGTAGTTCGCGCCGGATCATATCCCTCTCCAACCAGCGATCATGAAGTTAAAGACCGAGGAGTCTACTTCTAGACAAAAAGTAGGGGATCTCACGTTCATCATCCGACTGCAATAACGAAGATATCAGAATCGACGAAGATGCCCAATAAGACCCTTCACTCCGCGACTTCCCTGTTGCGGCGGCAGGAAAAGCTCTCCAAGCTCGACGTGGACGAAGACGCCGCGGCGCAGGAGCTTGCCAGGGAACTCAATCGCTTGCTGGACCAACGCCGCGAACGGGAGGAGACAACAACCCTTCGAAACAGTGACGAAACCGATAATGCAGCAAGACGAGGAACTACCGATGGTAGCACTAGCAGTAGCACCTCCGGCGCAAAGCTGGATTATGGCGATGGAACCGAAAAAACGGCCAGTGGTGCTGCAGTTTCATCGTCAAATAGACACGTCGACACACGCACAAGCGAGGTGGACGACGACACGCGACAAAACGAGGCAAAGGATTATGGGGGCGGACGAGGTCTAGGCGGTCCTCGGGGGGTTCTTGCGAGCTCCACCGTTGATGATCCAAGTCTTCTAGCGTCTGGCGACCCGGAATTGATTGCGCTCGAGCGAGTATGGAAATGATGCATTGTAGCATTTCGAATCACTTTATTTTGCAGCAACTCAATGTGCAACTTCTTAGCAGATCATCGTATAGCAGCGAACAAGAGTACACTTGTGTATGTTGGGCTTCATGTTGTTGTTGCGCGATCTGCGCCATTACGTGTGTATGTAGTGGGAATCTGGGTTATAAAATAGAGTGTGCGTGACGCACCACCGATGCTAGAACATAAGCTTTCTGTGACAGAAAAAGTGACGGGATATTTTCGCTCCACGAACCGAATTGCAGTCCCAGATGCAGAAGTTCTGCCCAGCACTTGTCGGTACTAACCTGGACGTTTTTATTTTGGTTTTGTTTTCGGGCTCCTGCGTCTGTTCTTTACGACCGAAACCGATAATCAAACTGCACAAAGCTTACACTGAAAAAAAAAGAAAAAAACATCTGAATGCACAACCATATTTATCAGGCCGCGCCGGTCCAGCTCCAGCAGCCAGTGACACCGAGTTAGACGGAGACAAATCTGGGTCCCAACAAGGCGCAGCATTGTCCTCTGCTTCTCTGTCAAATTCCGCACAGAAAGACAAGAATCTGCATGGTGTGGACTTCGAGCACGATGAAACCGAGCAGAGTCTGCAGATAAACGTCAACGCTCCGTCAAACAGTTGGCGCACAACATCGTCTTCACAGGACAAGACCCCTAGTAAGACTCTGCGTGCATCGTTATCGAATACGGCGACCTCCCTCCGGGACAGTACCACCTCGATCGGCGGGCTAACAGGCCGAACTCATCAAGACCACCACACTTCCACCGGTGGAATAAAGACCCCCTCCAGTCGAAGCAACAGCCGAGAGCCTGGGTCTGCGAGAGGGAATATTAAACACCCGCAGCTTTCAGCTCGCGGTGGAAGGGAAGGAGGTGGCGCTGCAATTCCCCAACATTACGGAACGCCCACTTCCAGCAGCCGGTCTGCAACATCTTCCCGTCGCAAATCTGACCAAGAACTACATCAAGACGCGACCATTGCTGCGTTGTACCGAAACACGCGCAACGTGGAAGACTTGCTCCGGCAGACCGACACGGCCTTCCAGCAGCTCCCGAAAATCGAAGCGGACGCTGTCGCGCTGGAGGTGGATGAGTTGGCGGGTTTGAATATGCATTGCAAAAGTATCGTACTCGTACTGATCGCATTCATGCATTACAAATTTCTTTCTTAAGTTAAATCCGCATTACAAATTTCATTTCTCATGCTGTCTGAGGATATTAATTTGTCATGCGATTTGGATTTTATACTAGTACGATGCTTTCGCATTTCATATTGAAGTTGGAGATGCAGTTTCTCGAGTCCGCGTTGAACGAAAGGGACGGCGGGGGGACAACCACAGCCGAAGAAGAGGAGGAGAAGGCGAATAAAAGGGACGAAGATCATCGTGGTCTAGACAAGCGAGGGGATTCGTCCACCTCCCAGGGACAGGGTGCAGCAGTACTGGGCGGAGGAGCTTCTACATCAACCACTATAGGAGCTGCCCATAGTTACAACTACGTGGAGGATGCGGCGACGCAGCTTCTGCAGGACGAACTGGCGTTGCTGGAAAAGGAATGGGCGGTGCTGAAAAAACGCGAGCACGCACTCTGCGCTGTTGCGGAACTCGAACTCCCGTCGAGTGAATCTCCTGCAGCTGTGAGTGGAGACGTTGATCATGTGAAAAAAGCTGCAAGTAGTGTTGGCGGACGAGATTTTCTGTCGCGGACCTCGAAGGACGAGGAAGTAGAGTCGACTCATCAACAACAAACTGCCAGCGCGGCACGGGCCACGACACTGCGACGGCAGAATGAAATGCTTAAGGCAAAGTTCGGCATCACCGGTCTGGTATCAAAGCAGCCGGGAAATTATAGCAGCTCGTCAACATCTACTGATCCTTCCAAGGACGGAGCTGCAGGCGAAGTAGATTTTGCGTCGTCGAGTGACCACGGGCACCGTATCAGTAGAACTGGTCCCTTACGTCGATTAGACGAGGATTTGGCGCGCTTGGATCGGGTTCTTGAATGAGATCAGTGTTGAGCAATTTCCTGAGACTCCCCTTGTTGTGCGGAAGTACTTCATTCTCGTCTGCACGCAACTTGTATACCATCTGACGTCTTCGTTCCTCTTTGGGGGTTTGGGGGTGAGAGTGTCAGTCAATGACTAGGAGGCCATGAATGGTGCGCGTGTTCTGGAGCGCTAAAAATGAGAGACGAATTGAGCTGCATGTTGAGCACGCAGTTAAACCCATACCGAGAATGAGGACAGAGCCAGCAACTTTTAATCAAATGCAGCTCCCGCAAATCGACGAGAATTTGGACTAGCAGAAGCTGAAAAAGCAAATTAAGGGCTGTGAGTGTCGAGCGCAGCTCGCAGCAGCTGGTCCGCCGCAAGACTTGAAACGATTATCAGAAATGAAAGTTCGAGAGCCCCATGTCACACTACAAAAAATATTCGCATCTGTAGCAAGCATTGCATCGGCCAAACATGAGCTACGGGGGCAGGGACGCGTTTGAAAATACTAAACGCCCTCCACGACACGCACATGAATTCTGTGCTGTTATGAAAAACAAACTATGACCGAAACGACCGGCAGTGTGACGGAGCTACGGCGAAGCCAGCACTTCCGCTACACGGACCGCAGTCGCGTGTTGTCCAGCCGAAATCAATCTCCGGAACAAGAGGGTCGTGCAGTGCGAGTTTCACAACGAAAGTCTCGCTTTACGACAAGAATAAGAATAGCAGCGATGGCGAGTGAGACTGTGGAGATGATGGCGTCGATCCTGCGAGGTGGAACTGAAGATGACGAGCCGATGAAAACGAGGCGGATGAAGAATGACAACTTCTCTCATCTCTTTCCAGAGCAGCTGAGGGCGCTTTTCCAAAAACCAGGACAGCTCAGCACTCACTGCAGCGCCCTGACTCCTGGAGATGAGAGTTTTTGGAAAATTCTAGACCGAAGCTGTAGTTTTAAGACGACGCAAAAGACCTCGCGCGCCAGCAGCACGACCAGCACACCCGGTAAAGCGGCGTCCTTTTTCCTCGCCATCCTGCTTTTTGTCGAGCTCCTCACGACCCTGCTTCACCAGGCCGCCGCACTGAAAGTAACCGCGAAGGTCGGTCGGAAGGTGTACGACGAGGCAGCGATGGCGCGGCGGATGCTGGAGGAGCGAGTTCAATTAGTCTACGGCTCCCTGTCCGTGGGCGATCCGCCCCAGAAGTTCACCGTCGCCTTTGACACGGGGTCGTCGGAGCTGGTGTTACCCTGCTCATCCTGTACAACCGGCAGCTGCATTTCGCACACGCGGTATGATTTACTGCAATCCGCGACCGGCAGCCAGATTTTCACCACCAACGTCGCCGGGAAACAGGTAGCAGAAACGGAAACGCGGATTTTCGGCATGCAGGGTGTGGCCAAAGCCAACCCGATGCGGGACAAGATCTGTATTGGCAACCCCCCACCGGCAGACGAAACCACCGCCTCCAGCGCCGACGCCGCTGCCCCGTCTTCGCTCTGTCTGCCGGAAGCCGCGCCGTTTCTGTGCGCCAACTCCTTGTCGGAAAACTTGTTCGGCCAGCTGCCGTACGACGGGGTCCTCGGGCTGGGACTGTCGGGGGCGAAAAAATCCAAGTACGACCTGTTCCAAGGGTTGATAGACGCCGGCATGCTAAAAACGGACCGGTTTGCGCTGTGGTACAGCGATTTGACGGACGAAGGGGCGGCGAACACGATCACCTTCGGAGAGCACGACAGAACCAAAATGGCCAGCAAGATGTACTGGGTAAGACAAGTGATTATATTCAGAAAGCTCTTCAACAACTGAGTTTATGATCTTGATGATAGCACTTCTTGTTCAACATCACCCACGATCAGAACTCAACTAGGGCACAACTTTCATTCCTTGACATTCCTACGGCTACATCATTTCAAGTATTAAACGCAGCTTCCCGTTCCCTACCCCGCGACCTCCTGGGCTATGCCGATGACGGATGTGGTGGTGGGCCGCTTCATCACGGCCGTTCCGGCTGCGTCCGCAGACGACGGTTCCGCCGATAGTGCCGCCAGCACCGGCGCGCCGGGAGGTGCGGAAGCGGCAGCAGGAGGTACAAGTGCGACCGCGGATGGCGCGAACGCCGACGCCGAGGACAATTCCGGCAAAAGTTTCATGTCGGAACCGCTGCGGCTGTGCGAAGCGCCGCAGACCTGCAAGGTGGCGTTTGATAGCGCGAGCCCGCTGATCGTGCTCTCGCAGCTATGCATTGCAAAAGTATCGTACTAGTAGGAATTGCATTACAAATTTCCTCAGCATGAGAAATAAAATTTGTGATGCGGATTTAGCGTGAAAAAGAAATTTGTAATGCATGAGTGGGATTAATACTACGAGTGCGATACTTTTGCAATGCATAGCAGCCGATCTACGACAAGGTGAAGGAGTCCATCGCCGTGGGGTTTCCACAACAACCCTATCCTGTGCAAAAGTATCGTACTCGTATTGCAATCATGCATTACAAATCATTCGGTTTTAGGTAAATCCGCATTACAAATTTTATCCCTCATGCTGAGGAAATTTTTCGTAAATGCATTTACACGAGTGCGATACTTTTGCAATGCATAAACCCGTGACCGACACGAAACTGGCGGACTGCCAGCCGCTGCTGATGAAGATGCCGAAGATCGGGATTCAGCTACGAGGGATAACATTCTTCCTCGATGCCGAGGACTACGTGGACCGCAGCAACGGGATGTGTGTGTACCGCTTCCAGCCCATGGAGAGCGACGAAAACCTGATTTACCTCGGCGCGCCCTGGTTCGAGAAGTTTTACACGGTGTTCGACCGAAGCTCCCTAAAAATCGGCCTGGCGCTGAGCAAGCACGTAGGTGTTCGGGGGGCGGAGTACAGTGGAAGCACCGGGGTGCCGGAGGACGCCATTGAGGATTTGGAGAAAGTTACGACGACAACGAGTACGACGACGGATAGTGGTGGCAGTGTTTCATCAGATGTTGGAGCAAATGCCGCCGCTGACACTACAACCAGTGTGGACAGTGCGTCAAGTGGTACTTCTGCTGATGTTGGAACAACAGCAGCTGCTGCGCCAGCAACCTCCGCACAGGCAACCGCCGCGTCGGTGACAAGGTGAGGGAAATCAGGAAAGGGCTTGCAGCTCCGCAGAAGTAGGGAAGATAGATGCGTTATGTGCATCATGATTTCGTTTCATCTGAACAATGTCCATATCGTGTGAAAGATGTAGGTCGATGAGTGTTTCGACAGATAGACAGTTTGGGTTTACTTTTTTTCTACAGGAGAATGGCTCTGATTCGTCGAATGATACCTGCTGAGACGAAATAAACCTGCAACGGTCATATTTACGTCCGTCCAGGACGAGGACGTCGACCAGCTGCACAAAATAACGGAGCGGGTGCGGGTAGTTGTTCTTTATGGATGCACAAGCAAAAAGGAATTGCTCATGGATGTAGTTTGCCTTGTCATGATAAGCAGTTGGCTCGGGATGTTGGATAAATCGGTTCTTCTTGTGCCACAAGTATGAAAAAGGAAAACGGATGAGAGCTGCATAGCTTTTTACACCCAAAATTTCACATGCTGTCGGGTCGTCTTCACCACAAAAAAGCGAAAGTCCAATGCAATGTTATAAAAGGTTAGTCTGTCGTATGGACCAGTATCTCTTCAATCGTCGGTTTAATCGATCGGTGGGTTTCTAATTCGGTGTTGTCATAATTCAACTGATGAGGAGGTCGTAGTTTTGTTTCGGGGTGAATGGTGCGCTGGGGTTCATCGTCAAAAGCAAAATGCGCCTACGTCACGTGTTAGAAATGTTGGTGAAGGGGTAGAACGCGCTTTTATCATACTTATTTGTAACTACTAAACTCAACAGCTGTGTTTTTCTGTTTGCTCTTTAAGCGAGATACAGTGGGAATACTAAAAGTTGCTACGATAAATTCACTTTTTCATTTCTAATCGGAAATTTGAATTTAGTTGTTGCGGCCCCGTCGCGAGCCGTAGGAGAACGTTTATTTCACGTTGAAAGTAGTACAGAGGAAGATTCGCAAGGAAAGACATCAGTAGCAAAATGATGTCTGGCGAAATTGCAGCCAGCGTAGCTGCCGGAGCTGCGTTTTTATCGAAGGAGCAGGAGAATAAAGCCACCGGTGTGATGACCGGCGAAGATCAGGGGACGAGTGCAGCTAACACATCGAGTTTGGCCGCCGAGAACCTGCTGTTCCCAGTAGAAAATGAAAATGATACTACAGCCACAGCTGGTACCAGCACCACAGCAAAGAAGACGTACGAGTTTTTCGAGCCAACGACCCACGAGCACCAAGAAAAAGCCACGACCCATGCGTTTTTCTTGTCCAAAAAATCTCCCTCTTCTTCCCCGAACGCAGGCAGCCGCGGCACAAGCAGCTTTGCGCTGCAACCACAGCCAAGGGCAACAGGAGGAGGGCCTCCTCCAGGGGCGAACAATGCTGCTGTGGGGAACAAGAACATAGCAGGAGCAGCTGGTGTTGAGGGTAGTACGAATCAACAGCACACCGCTAATTATACCCAAGAACTACATCAGCAACACTTCCTGAAGAAGCCGCTCCCACCGCTGATCGCCCAGGGCAGTGTGTTGGGCGCCCGTAGTTCGCGGTACTCCACGCGCGCGGGAGCTGCCTCGTCAAGCGTCGCCGGTGGACAACTTTCAGCGGGAGCAGGTGCAGCAGCTGCCAGTACTATCCCTTTGGGAGCACCAGCCATTTCAAGCGCTGCGTCTAGCACAGCAGCATCTGCAACATCAAGTAGTGGCTCTGTAGTTGTACTACCAGCGGCTTCCAACAACCTACAACCTTCGAACTTTTTCAACAATGCAGCCAAGAGCGCGGGGGCACCATTTCAAAATGCGCCCCAGAACAGTCCTCCATTGCCGCCGTTTGTGATGCCTGCTTCAGGTGTTGACCAGCTGACGGTCAAAAAAAAGGTCAGTCCGACGACAGCGACCGCTGGTGGTTCCTCCTCTTCAACTTCATCTTTACTCGCCGCGGGCAATAACACTGTGTTAAACAATAAGCCGATAATTGGAGCAGGTACAACGATGCTGACGTCCTCTGGTGTGCCGCTGCTCTCGATGAGCACTTCTAGAGCGAAGTCCTCCTCGCCACCAGGTTCAACAACTATTGAAAATCAACATGTACCGGAGCTACTCCCAGGTAACGCACTGCCGAACAATAGTACAAATACAAACAAAACCTTCTGCAATTTCGACCCGCTGCACAACGCCGGAACCACCATTGGACAGCACCTGCTGGCCGCACCAGTTGTGGATGAGCTCGAGAACCAGGCGCTCGAATCGTCTACGCGCGCGGCGGTGCTGCGACAGGCCCAATTGCGGCATTTGCGCGGAACAGCGGAGGTTGGTAGTTCATCATCTTCATCACCCGGAGCCGCGGGTTCCCCAGGAACTGCAGTGATTATCCCAGGAGGCGGTGGCCTCATCGGAACTGGCGCTCCTACCTCCCTGAACTCCCCCGGGGGAGGACCAGGAACGGGCAACTCCACGCCACCGCGACAACTGTCCCCGAAGATTCAGCTGCAATTGCCCGAAATTTACGACGCGGACACCGATCCATTGGCGCAGCAACTGGACATGGAGGAGCACATGCGGGAGCTTGCGCAGCAGTTCGGAGGTGGACCGCAGCATTTGGATGTGGTGAATCAATTGCGGAATCTGGACGAAGACAAGGGGTGGTGGGGCGGAGGTAATGGCGGTTCATCTGGGTTCGACTCCTCGGACAGCGATGACGATCGGTGGGATGAAGAAAAGTGGAACGATATCCTAAGAAAAAATGTCCCCACCCCAGAGTTGTCATGCAAATGCGCAATGAGAGCAACATTTGTAATGCGGATCTGCATGAGAGGCATTTGCATTTCGAATCGTGTTTCGGACTTTGTAATGCTGTAAAACGAGATGAGAAGCTGGCTTTCTCATGCGGCTGCCCTTGCTAATAAACAGCACGACAATACAGATGGGAACTTGTCATGCAAAACTCCCATAAGGTGGAGATTTGTGTTGCAGATTGATCAACTTGACTACGGGGTGGGGACGTTTTTCCTCAGGATAAACGACCAGGCAGCGTTGATGATGGCCGCCGCAGGTGCGCAGAACAATAACAAACCAGCAAACGCCGTTGAGTTCAACGCAGCGCAACACTTATTTACCGAGGAGCCGAATGAGGAAGAAATTGGCGAATCCTCCAGTTCCTCCTATAGCTCCCCGACTGGCGATACATTAGCAGCCGAAAAACCGATTTTTGCCGCGAATGACATGGACGAGCAGGATGTTGATGTTGAAGTAGTCGCCGGCCAAGAAGGGCAGAATTCGATAAACGCGGAGCTGGAGCATTTTCTGGCCAGTACGACGCAACAAGACTTCAGCATGTTGTACCACCAGCAACAAGGGAACAACATGAAGCGAACAAATACGGACTTTGATGATCATCTTCATATCGGAAACAAAAATAACAAGCCGCCCCCGGGACTGGGAAATAGTGATGATGATAGCGAAGACAGTGATGACAGCAACGGCAGCAACGAGGAGATACTAAACCAAGAAGGGCAACAAAATTACAGTCCACCGGGGCTTGGATCTACTTCGGGAGCAGCATCTTCATCCTTAATAGTGGAACAGGGAGAGCAGGGACACGAACAGACCTCCACCGCGTCGACACATCAACGGTCCCGACTTTTGAACAACAGTCGCAATTTGATCAAAATTCGAGGTACATCTTCCCCGTCGTCGTTAGAGCAGAGCAGCAGTGGCAAAATTACCAGCGAACAAAGCCATGGCGAGGCTGACGAAAAGCTCCAGTTTACCTTCACTGCCGCGATGGGGGCCAGCAATAGCGACTTGAGGGCAGTACCTGGTAATGCAGAGGAACTTCTGCCACAGCGGCTCCGTCTGTTTGCCGCTGGTGCGCCTAGTACCTCTTCTAGTTCATCATCTACAGCGAGAAAAAAATCCTCGTCCCCGACGGGGCAAATAGAAGATGCCGAAAACAACAACAACAGCGACGAGGAAGATTTTGATGCGGATGGTTCGCTCAGCCTGAAGCACAGTCAGAAAGTGGTGCATATGGCGTTCTCAAATGTTACATTTTCAACTGTTGCATGAATTTCTAATGCAAAGACGGCAAATCTGAAAGGGGGAAGATTGCGCCTTTTGCATTACAGATTTGGCACGCCGTTAGATGCTGCTTAGCCCTTCGGAGATTTGCCATGCGAAGCACCTTAATCGCGGCGATCTTCGTGGTAAATTTTCATGACAAATCGTGTAACGGTTGAGAGTGTAACGTTGGAGAGTCCCATAGGGCAAACTCTGAAGCGGCGCCGCATTCCAGACCACATCGACACCGATGACGCCGGGGCAGGAGCGGTAGAAGATGCTCCTGCGGGAAATAACCATCGAAGCGTGTTTCATTTTCGGGACCGGGGTATCCGAGGGAAGTGTTATGGTTTCTTCTTCACGATCACGATTCAACATCTTCGTTTTTATTGAAACAACAACATCGTGAATTTTGCATCGATTCTGGCACTGGTTATAGTCCACATGCCCGCATGCGCATGGAGAAAGGCAAAGCAACAAGGTACGTTGCGCTTTCTAGAGTTGTAGCAAAAGGTAGGAACAACTCTATGGTGTTATTCGTGATCGTCGTGGCGAAGATTTTTCCGCACGATACAAAAGAGTAGTGAAAAGCAGGCGGCTTTACTCGCTGGCAGTATCACGTCCTCCCCAAGTGGCGCAGGAGGAGCAGGCGCTTTTGGCAGCCGCTTAAAGCTGGTATTGAACACAAAAACTACGAGTAGAATAGACACACACTGAAGAGAAATGTAGTAAAAGCTCGTTCCATGTCAAAGTGGGGGACAAAAATTTGTCATGCGTTTTGACTACGCCAAACCCAAACCTAAACGAAATCCACAGGGCCACCACGTCCGCAACCCGATCTCTGGAGGGATGATGGACGGGAATACGCTATCTTTTTGGCGAAACCCGGAGAACGCGTTCCGGGGGCCCATGCTCGCCTCGTCCTCTCCTACGGGCGCCGCACAGAATGGAGGCGGCGGCGGAAGTCCGACCTCCTTTTACGATCATCCCGCTGCGTTTGACTCACCGATGTCTTGCAGAACAACCTGTATCAAAGAAACTTTTGCTACTTCAATAGGAATTCGGGCTCTTTGTCTCTCTTCTTCAGCCTACATTTTTAAGTTTTGGCTTTTTGGTGACACTTTTGTTGTATCCTGAAATATCCAACAACTTCTAACAGCGGAACAGGAAGTTTCCGTCCGGGAGGCTACGTCGGCGGGCAAACCTGGGAGCAGGGACCTTATGATCTAGAACTAGTGTTTAACGCAGCTTAGCAGATCGATGTGGCCGCGACAAGAGACTTAAGCTTAATAGTACCTTTGGACGCAGCATGCGACAAGAGGACTACTTTCCTACTGGAACTGGTTGAGTTCTTGTTGACTAGCCAGGATCACCACGAGCATATGCAAATGCATATGCATTTTTCATTCTTTTGTCGCGGTAACTACACCAGAAGAAGGAATCTGTCGTGCACACGACCTAACCCTAAGCTGCCTCTTCTTCCCTGCCATACTTCCTCTGCGCCGAATCCGGAATAACGATGTGCTGGACTACATATCAAATGCAAATATGTCTGGGTCTGAAAAGGTTCGAATTTGTGATGCTACCTCCTTCCTTCGGATGCTAACAAAATCTGTATTGGATGAATAGCAAAACCAGTCCACTTTTGGCTGCACGGCGAGGGCATTTCTCATGCAGGACAGGCATGAAGAAGGCCACGCAAGTCCTGTGAAGATGCTAGGGCATACATCACAAGCGTCGCGGGCTATTCAGAATGTGCATGACAAACCTTGCATGTTTCCAGACCCAGACACTTTTGCAATCCATACAACATGAGCGGTGTCAAGTTTGACGAGCTACCGGACATCCACTCCTACCGGGCATGGGCGCGCATGCAAGAAGAAAAAGGAAAGAGGTACAACTAGTAGAACTGTGGATCTTCATGAGTGACAGATGAATAGCGCAAGTGGATGAGCTACTAGTTGTGCCTAGAAGTAGCATAACCATTAGCTGTGGATTCTACGAAAGAAAGTAGAAGTCCATGAGATGAATATCATGGGAAATTATAAACAAGTAAAGCATGACCATGTGTTGGTATAACATGATCAAAACCTCCAGGGGCGCGAGCAACTACGCTGACGGAAGCTTTTCGCGAGGCCTGGAGGATTTTTTTGCGAATGGTCCGGGAAAGGAGCTTATGAATTGCAAAAGTATCGTACTCGTATGAATGCATTACAGTTCCCTCAGCATGAAAAATGAAATTTGTACTGCGGGTTTACCTGAAGAAAAAAATTTGTAATGCATGACTGCAATTAGTACGAGGCGAGCGCGATACTTTTGCACAGAATAGAGCTGCTGGCACGAGATCTCGTGGAGACCGGACTGTCCCCAGACATCACAAACGAGCTGCTGCGCCTCCTGCCAAACTAATTCGTGGTGTTGGAAAAGGTTTAAATATAAATCAAATAATGAATACTCAAAAATATTAGCGAACGGAGCTCTATATTTAACTAAGGCGTCGTCTCCACGGCTTCGTTCGGTGCGTCATCGCGGTTCCGTACGTTCTCCTACTTCTTCGTGGGGAAAAAAAGGTGCGGTTGACGCTGCATAAATCGCTGTTGTAAGACCACCTACCTGCTTCCCTTTGATGTACTTTGACTTTTTTGTAGATTTTTATGCAGCTCCATCTACGTCAGCGATGAAATAGCGAAACTTTCATCGATCAATGACAATGTGCATTCCTCGTGGTGCATATCAATCAACTGGTGCGGTGTAAGTTGATTTTCCCACGGAAAAAAGTATCTAAATCCACCGATTGTTGATAAACGAAATTTATAGAAATTGATGGCACAACCGCGAAACACGAACGGCTTGACGACGTTCAAGTAGTCTTCTTTTGAAAATCCTCAACAAATGAGCCACCTTTTTTCTCTTTCATTGTGACAGACGACATTGCCGTTTTTGACTTTTTCTCCATTTTACTTTTTTCGTTTTTCAACACTTTTCAACAGAAGTCTATCTAGAAGAAGTCGAGACAATGTTTAATTCATTTTTTCTCTTTCTGCTTCTGCACCTGCAGGAGCTGGCAACGTGCATATAGACGTCAAAAGGCATGAGAGGACGCGGCGGTTGTATAATAGCCGCCGCGTTCTTTCAGGAGTGATGTCACACACGTTGTCGTGTGTGTGGCTCGCCACTATTTATTATGCGATGTTGGGACGAAACATCAAGTTCAAGATCAACTGCAGGTCGCTTTTTGCATAGCAATCGGGAATCAAAAATGCGGCATTCCGTACGCACCATGTATCAACAGCATGATTTTTGTATAGTTTTCTTTGATACGCCAATGTTTCGGAATGCGGCGTAGCTGTGCATAGCTGCGATTAGCTGGTAAGGTCGTGTATAATTTTAGAAATAAGAACAATGGTTGCGCTTTGTTGGCTCGATGGAATCATCATGCGTGATGCATCTAGTTGTTTCCTTTTCTCACGAGGTGTACGATTTTTTACGGACCAAACAAATGTACCTATTTTGTGATTTTTTCGGAAAATGATCTGTCTTGTCTATCGACCACTCGGACTATTTGGTGGTCTTTTTAGTAGTATTCTTTGTCTATTTCCACACGTTAGTTCATTTCAGTTCTAAACAACTAACTCTTGTTTCGCCACTCGCTTGTACTCAAAATTTGTTGAAGAGGCACTTCTTCTTGAAAATGAAAAAAAAAATTCACATCACGGCGGGCCGTGCCCCACTTCTTTGGAGGGACTATCGCTTCGTTCTTGTGTTCTTCGCCATTGTACTTAATTCCGCCATTGTTGCAAAGCAGGTCTTTCTCTTTACGACGTTTACTCCTATTGCTATTTATTAAACGCGTTGGCCTCGTCGTGTTTCTGTTTTTGTCTTTGTGGTACCCAGCGCGGTGTCCCTGGTGCTCTGTGGATGTCGTTGAAGTTCCTCGGCTGGACACACAGTCCAGTTCGTCTGTGTAGCAGGATTAAATCGGAAGATGGACATACACATAATTACTACATACTCTTTGTCGACGGCAACGTCATCAAGAAGGGCCAGAAACGAGGGTAGTGGTACTAGTTTTGTCACATCTTCAGGATCCAAAAGTACAGAAGACGAAGACCCGTCATTCAGCCAAAAAAAGATGAAGATCTTTGTGCTGTCAAATTTCGAGTTCGACTACAGGGATCATCAGGCAAAGCTTACATCCTGTTCTTCGTACTTACAGTGCTGTAATTACACAACGGTCAACGTCTGTTCCAGGAATGTCTGCATCGCGGCCTTTTGCACGGCCGACCACAAGGACTATGCTTGGACTTGTCAAAGTTCTCCTTCCATATTTTCATCTTCTATGCGCCCCGTCATTTTTTGTTTTTGCGATATTGGCTCCGCTACCACTAGCCGCAGAAAAAGAGAAGAAGGCTGATGTTCATCTTTCCTCACCCAGCAGCACCGGCGCCCCGCAATCGACATCTTCTACCTCCTCCTCATGTCCCGGCTTTCCATGTGTGGTTTTCAGAGAGAGACGCAAGCCGCCGCACAACGATAGTTACGAAGTCGATTTTTTCGATGAGGAGAAAGTACCACGCACGTGGAAAAATGACCACGGCGGCCCGCACGTCCGCACGCCGATGAAAATTCAAACCGGAACGGCAATGAAATGTGAAGCGGTTCCCGATGGTTTCACAGACGTACAGAGCATGCAGTTCGCGAGCAAAAACCGGAAACTCGCGACATCGGAGAAAAAATTGTTCATGTGGGGCGTCCATGGCTGCAAAAGTCCCAAAGACACAAAGAGAACAACCGGGTGTCACATTACGATACCACTCGGGTACGCACCGCAGGAGTTTCAAGAATTGATTGTTATGCTGACCTCGGATGGTGATGATAATGATGATGAAAAAACGAATGCACGACAAGACAAGGATGATGATACTGATGATGATTTGGACGATCATCTGTAACGACGCATGTTGAAATAAACTGAGATTGTGCGGGAGACCGACCACTCGCAGCTTCCACTTCCAAGATAATTCTCATTCTATTTGCTGCCAGTCTCAAGGCTGCTGTGCTGCCAATCGTGAACTCACGTTGAATCAGAATGATCTTGATCGACTGGTTCTGGAGATTGCATCTTCTAGGTCCACTGGGTGGTTAGTAAACCTACAAGTTCGTCCTCGTCGCTAGTGGTAGTGACGCCCGTTACAATTCTACTTTGTCTTCTCTATGATCTCTATCCAGACAGTTCTTTCTTTTACTTGAAATGATTGAACACCATTGATGCGTTTTACAGTCAATACAAACATAAAATTATTCTTCTGTGGTGGTGTATTATTTGCGTATGGATGAAATTGTTATAGTTCGAAGATGTTGTGTCGTCCAACAGCACAGCACCTGACGTTATACCATTTTTTGCATTGCGGACCAGTATGAAAAGGATGTGCTTCCTCCAGTACGCCTTTTTTGCGGGAGCAGCTCGGAGGCATTTCATGATGATGAAAATGTTTCTGTCTCTGAGCCTTCTTTTTCTCCTCGAAAGCAGAAGTGGCTGCAAAAATGCAAGCTTTAGCCTGCTTCAGACCGTGAGTGCAGCAGGAGCCCGTCCACGTAAGCAGTCTCGAACAGCAAGGCAACCCCCGCAGAGTTCTACTTCCCACCTTGCTTCCTCCCTGCGAACCTTCGCCGCGGGGCCGAAGTTTTCCGAGTTGTGGGAGCGCGCCGCATGGGTTGACAAGGCGCTCGAGGAGCAGGAGGAACAGGACGCGGAAACAACGCGCGACATCGTCCGGGGCTTTTTATGCAATGCAAAAACATCGTACTCGTATAAATGCAAGTCTTGCGTTACAGATCTGTTTCTTAAGGTAAATCCGCATGACAAATTCCATTTCTCATGCTGAGGAAATTTGTAATGCAATTATACGAGTGCGATACTTTTGCAATGCATACTTTTTTCACGTGAGCAACTTCGCGTGCGAAGATGATGCGGAGACCACGGCGTTGCAAGATAGTAGAGAGGATGGCCGTGGTGACCACGAACAGGATCCAGATGCGCAGGTCCTTTGTTCCGAACAGCAAGGAGGTCTACAACTTCTTCCGAGCGCTGGACCTGGGTCATTTCCTTCTTCGCGAACAAGGCCACCTCTCCAAGACACGCCCCCACAGCTGCTCCTTTCGTCCATTCAGCGTTACTCCGCCGGAGCGGCACAACCCCAAGAACCTCCGCGAGCCGGCGCGGGGCGCGCTCCTCCTAGCGGGGCGGGCGCAGCACCTTCTAGTGCAGCTGCTGCTGCTGCAGCACGAGGATCGTCTCATTTCTCAGGTGGAGCCTCCGCTTCGTCTTCAAGCGGTACAACAACCGGGGCAGGCCCGTTGCCCCCCTCGTTTCCTCCACCGAGCTCTACAAGAACTCGTGGGCCGGGTAGAGCAGTCGTCAGGGGACCAAGAAGTGGAGATGCAGGTGAAGCAGAATCCCGGCGGCAGCAGGTTCTCCTTGACGAGGCCACTGCGGATGTATTTGACGAATTACGGGCTGCACCCGCGCGTGCTGGAACAACCACGACGAGTGGAGGCGCAACTACTAGGGGAGCAGGCCGCTCTACTGCCTCTCAAGCAGATACACCCCCGGTGGTCATCGGGGTCAACAGCAGCACGACCATAGACATCGACCGGCTCCCGGCCGACATGCAGCTGGAAGCGCTGACGGCGCAAGATCTCCTCGACGGCGAACGAGACTCCGGAGACGAAGACGCGAGCCGCTTATTACACATTCAGTACGGACGGCAGACGAGCGGAAGCGAGCTGGGGGTTGAACTCCAACAGTTGAAGGACACAATTGATCCGCTCGATTTGCTGGAGCAAATCGCATATGCATTGCAAGTATATTTGGGTCTGGAAACTTGTGATGCTAATTTGCGAATGGTGGGCGCACTGCAATATGCAGCCCAGCATGACAAGTTTTTTGTGCTGTTGTGTGTTTCGTTTTTCGCATGACAAGCTGCGTTTTTGCATGACAGGCAAAAGGCGCTTTTCCTGCTCATGCATCACAGATTTGAGAGTCATGCCAGACAAGCATGACAAACCTCCAGTTTCTTCCAGACCCAGACATATTTGCATTTCATATCGCAAACACCGGCTACGCGATATACCCCCATTATTCGTCACCCGAGGATAATGTGCTTTTGGATTCGGACGAATTAGAACGGTTACTAGATCAGTTCCTCCGCATCCAGCTGCGGCAGTGCAAGAGCGCTTTGTGCAAAATCACGGTGCCGACCGAGGAGGAGGTCCGCGGGAGGGAGGCGACCGGGAACCATAATCCTTCCTTGCAGGTCGTAAAGCACGACGACCAGGTCCAGGGCCGCGGATATTTAGAGGCACAACGACCATATCAGAACGAGATTGAGGACTCCTCCCCTCGGGTCGTCGTCATCGGCGACACACACGGGCAGCTGCGGGACGTGCTGTGGATGTTTGTGAAGTACGGCCTGCCCTCCGACCGCATATGACAGTGCACAGGAACTCCCCCTCCCCCTCATTTGTCATGCAAAATACAACCCTATCCACCTTTTGCCTCTTGGCACTGTTTGCGTGACAAGTTCTGGTAGCCTAAATAGCACTACAATCCAGTTCAAATCTGTCATGTAAAATAACCGGCATTCTTGCTGATGCTTGTATTGCTTTGATGAGGTCGCCGAAAGTGCTTCCTCGCCCACCCCCGGGGAGGGGATCCGTGACCTGTGGATGATGATTGCTGTTCATGCCATAGTTATAGTACAAATGAGGGAGAGGGGGAGTTGTGCACTGTCATATCGCAATGTGTACCTCGTCAACGGCGACATTGCGGACCGGGGGTTAAACGCCGTCATCATTTTCGCGCTGTTTTTTGCCTTCAAGGTGAAAAATCCGAAAAGCGTCTACATCAACCGCGGAAATCACGAGGACGAACAGATGAACGCACTGCATGGGTTCGACCACGAGCTGGCCGAGCGATACGGGTATGAAGACGACGTTTTGGACACGATGCGGCGGAAATTCCTGCAGGCCTACCGTGCGTTGCCGCTGGCGACCGTGGTGGAAAACGCAGTTTTCGTGGTGCACGGCGGCTTGCCGAGGTGCGCCGAAACCGTGCGGATGCGGCATCTGGAATGCGTACTTTTTTTCGCTGAAGATGTTTATTTGAAGTTGTATTCGGTGAGTTGTATAGATAGTGCAACAGGAACAGTACTAGGCGGATCATTTCTCTTTACAGCATCACTTAGATGAAGAAGTAGATTGTGAGCAGCTCCACCTCCCATTCCATGGTCTTGATGTCTCACCTCTACGCATACTCTCATCTTCAGATCGACTACCGCAAGGCCGTCCCTGCGTACCCGGAGGAGACGCCGGTATGCACTGCAAAAGCATCGTACTAGTAGAAATCGCAATACAAATTTCCACAGCATGAGAAATGAAATTTGTAATGCTGATTGACCTTAGGAAAAAGATTTGTAATGCATAAGTGCAATTACTACGAGTGCGATACTTTTGCACAGGATAGCCGGGCGACACGCACAAGTCTTTGTGGGACGAATACGTTTCCTATGACAGTGCACAACTCCCCCTCCGCCTCCCCCTCATTTGTATTGCATGAACAGCAATGGAAGGGCCTGCAAGAGTGCAGCTCTCGCATGACAAATTTTCACTGGATTGCAGTGGTGTTTGGGCTGTCAGAATCTGTGATGCTAACTTTCCCAGGGGACAAAGAGTGGACTTGGTATTTTGCATGACAAACGAGGGGGAGGGGGAGTTGTGCGCTGTCATATCTCCAAACGAATGCGGGAGGTGGAACCGACACAGGAATGCTACGACGGGATTTTTTCCGATCTTCTCTGGTCGGACCCGCACAACGGCCTCGGTCCGCAGCGTTCGGAGCGGGGAAAAAAGTTGCTGAAGTTCGGCCGCTATTCATCGCAAAAGTATCGTACTAGTACAACTCGCATGGCAAATTTGATCAAGAAGAAAACTGAAATTTGTAATGCGAATTTAGGTAGGAAACCAGATTTGTCATGCATAACTGCGATTACTACGAGTACGATACTTTTGCACAGGATAGCCGCGACCAGACCACCAAGTTCCTGAAAAACAACAATCTCCGCCTGCTCCTCCGGTCGCACGAGTGTCCGGACCGCAAGGACGGCCGCAGCACGGGCCCCGGCCCCGGGTTTGAGCGTTTGCAGCAGGGTCTGTGCTACACCATCTTTTCCGCATCCAATTACCGCGGGTCCGTGGGGAATCGTGGATCCGTCGCCTTTTTGCGGAAAATCGTCGAAGAGCCCAGCCCGAGCCGCGGGGATCGTCCGGACGCATCGATAGACGCGGACCTGGCAGGAGCTGCGCGGGCCAGCTTGTTGCACGGAACCGGTCACGGAGGAACTACTGGTGGACAACATCTTCAACCCTCTTCGCCTCGAACAGCTGTAACACAAATAGCGGGACTGCGCCAGGGCGGTGGTCAACAATCCTCTCGCCGTGGTTCTACTTCCGAGCCGCCCTTCGTGGATTCGGCGACGGGTCTGATCAACTTGTTCGGGCTGCAGTACCCTCTATGCGGAAGCATGTCCGTGGCTAACTCAGAGAACATATGAACTGCAAAAGTATCTTACTGGTAGTAATTGCAACCGTGCATCACAAATTTATTTCTTGAGGTAAATACATGCTGACCAAATTTGTGATGCAATACATACTAACTAGTACGATACTTTTGCTTTTGCAATGCATAGAACAGCTCGTCCGCCAACGGCGAAATATCCGACGACGACAGCACCTGCGATCGCGCGGGCGAGGTCATGGGCATCGATATCATTTGTAAAAACGTTCCCACACCACCACCAGAGTCAAGATGGGAAATCTGCTAGACAAATCAGCCAGCTTTGGTCGTTTGGCACGACAAATTTTTCCTAGTAGTGTAATCCTGTGTAGGTAGTTCAGCAGCATCACAGACACAGATCTCGTGCGTCATGCTGGTTATAGCATCACAAATTACAAGCACGGCTAGAAAATGCCTCCTATGGCGTTCAGCATGACACACTTTTTTCGCATGCAGATTTGCATGACAACTCTGGGTGGGGGACGTTTTTACTCAGGATAATCGAGGGCACGGATTTGTCCTTCCAAGTCGCGGAGCACTACGCGCCGGATTGGCCCACCTGCGTACAAAATCTCCGAGAGCTGCTGTGCTTAGAAAAAGCGGCAAGAGGTGGAGGGGGCGGTTCTGGCGGGGGAGCGGCTGGCGCGGTTGCGAGAAATTATACGGGTGCTTGCTCCTCTGCTGGAGGCCGGGCGAATCTGTACCCGGGTCGTCCTGCTGGAACAATGCCCCCGGACTACCCGCCGCCTCCGCCGCCGAGTGGGGGAAATGCAAATGGTACGGCACCACCAGCACTATCCGCACCATTGCACGCGGCGATACAGAAGATGACCCCTATGGGAGCTGCCGCTGCCTCTCGAGGAGGTCAACATCCTGTGCCCCCGGCGTCGCCACCCCCGGGCGTAAGGAGATCGACGCATGATCAAACTGCACCCAGCAACGGAGTTCCAGGACAGTACCAGGTGTATCACCTTGCGCGGAACACGCATCCCATGTTCACCCCGGAGTGGTTTCTAAAGCAGCATCTGGAGAGCCACAATGTCAATGCAGATGATGCTAATCCTGCACTGACGGCCGGAGCTCCTGCTGTCGCCAACGGGGCGGGTGCGCTTCCGAGACCACCGACTGCCAACGGAGTTCCGGCTTTTGCCGGGAGCTTGCCAGCGGGAATCAATGACGACGATCACGTCGTGCAAGACGTGGCCGAAGATCAATCCTCCGCTGCTTCCCCGAGCAGAAGCCGTCCCCGAAGACCAACGCTGCAGTTCTGGCCGGGGTCAAAGGGAAAAACGGTTTACGCGGCGGCAAAGTACCCGAGCATGAGCAATATGATGCGATACGGTGGGGGAACCACTGGTACTTCGATGGGGTTGGTCGTGCAGCCCGGATCATCTACTGTTGTTCCGGGTGGTCACCCTGCGGGTAACATGTACTATGTCTCGCCAGCCGCGCTAGCGCAGCACGCAACGCAGGCAGCGATGATCCACCTCCCGGTCCAAAATCTTCCTACGGTACAAGAAATCGCGGGTGCAGGTGTTGGTCCCTACAACACTACAACTCCGCCGCAAATCCCGCTCATTCCGATCACCGCTCATTCCGCTCCACCCCTCATTCTTACGAGAGATATCGTAGATTCAAAAATGATGTCCCGCGCAGAACACCTGCAACTGCTTGAAAAGAATGCGGAGAACAGCTGCGACAAGGGAAAACAGCTGGAGTCGTTGCGAAGAGAAACGCTCAGCCAGCTGGTCAAGCTGTTGATCGTCTGTAAACAAGACTTGGCCGAGGGGTTTGACGAGATTCTGCAGCTCGATAAGTCGACTTCTACAAGTTGTACCACTCAGTGCGACGGCGAGCAGGTAGCTGAGGATGAAAAAGACGAACGCGGCGCCACAGTAGAGTCGGATGATGTAGTTGAACAACAATCACAAAATCTTTCCCGCCTCTCTCTCGACGGGGTAGCCGGATCGGCGCCAGGAGCGTCTTCTTCTTTTCTGTCGAGTGCAGCTGGGCCTAGTTCTGAGGTCGGAGGATCTTCAACAATTTCCAAGGAAACACCATCGAGAAGACCGTGCGTCGAGGTCGTGAAAAAGATCAAGAAGAGTGAGAATCCGAATTTAATATCAGCAGCGGATTTCGACCGGGTTTTGGCGACTCGGTGCAAGTCGAAGATGGATTGGGCCTATGCGAGAACGTACGTCTTGCAGGTGCCGACCGTTGCGGTGGGGGAAATTGTGGAGAAGCCGACGAGTTATGATAGCAGGATGGCCGTGGGCGGAGGTACGAGCGTGAAAATAGCTCATGTAGTTGGCCAGCAGAACGAGACCAGTGCCGCAGAAGGCGGAACTGTAAGAACTGTTTTATCTTCATCGATAGATCTAGATAAAAACGCCGACCAGTTGACTGCAAGTGCTGCAAGCGCCGCCGCCGGTAGCAGCATGATTAGCAACTCTAATTCGGCGCACGAAACGATGCTCGGCTTGGGTACTAGTAGCTCTTTGGCCCGACCTCCGGCGTTACAGGTTGGTGCTGCAGTGGATAACGCTACTACGACCATCATGACCAATGCCCCGGCCTTCACTCGGGGCCCCGCGGTTGTACCAAGCAGTATCAGTAAACAAAAACAGGAGAAAGCAAGCATGACAGGACATCAGCCTCCTAGTACCGCTGCTTCATCCTTCCAATGCTCTTCCTCCCTTGCCTCCACGTCGGCCACGGCCAGCCGCAGTCTGTCTGCGCTGGTACCACCACTCGCAATCTCCATGTCCTCATCTAGTCCTCTACATCCGGCACTTGGCGCAGCAGCTGCACCCGTAGATGAAGTTGCAACCTCTATTGCCTCAAGCCGGAGTACTTCCACCGTGATTCCTTCAGCCCGGTCGGCTCGAGAGGCGGTGGCGGGCGGGATGAATAAAGGGGGAGGTGGCTTAAGTAGCTTGTCGCCGCGACAAGTATCCGACGAGATCGGCGGTGGAACTGCAACCGGGACAACGACAGCGGCCGCCGGAAGCAGTAGAGTCACAACTTCAAATTCCCTCGGCCCACTTGAGACGAGCACAAGTTCTCACGCTAAAAATCCTACTTCGCCCCGGGGTGGATCCAGTGGGGGCGCAGCAGTCTCAACAAACGCTGCGAAACCAGCAGCTTCTCGTCACCTCCTCTTGCACTCGTCTCCGCAAGTCAGCCCGGCGGTCAGCTTCCGAGACTCGAGGACGGGTGCTCCGAGAAGTCCGAGCCCCGGAATTACGACGAATTCGGGCAGAAATGATCTGGGACGCGGGGGAAGTTCCCCCTCTGCTCCAGAGCCAGAGGAAGTACTACCCTCTTCTGTTCCTGCTGCCCCTCGCTCGCAAGACTCTCCTGCTGCTCAGCGACAAAATGAAGAGGTGCAGCACGAAGTGGCAGGACGAGAACACAACTCGAGCAATTTTGATGCAGTACAAGAAGCTGAGGTTTCAGAGCTCGAAAAAGACCACGACGCAGGTAGTAAAATCGACGCTGCCAAGTTCCTGCAACGCTTGAAGATCGATCTGGTTTCGAGCAAAATGAAGCAACGTTTGGCGGCTTCTGTGGCGAGGAATTTGTTTGGCGTACTGCAGACTGTTTTTTTGAAAATAACGGTAACGGAAGCGCAAACGGATGCAGTTGTAAATTCCACATCTTCAACAACATCCGCGTGTGGAGATTATATCTCCGGTGAAAAAATGAGGATGAACCATCTATGGAAGGCGTTTTTGCAAAATGAGGCGAAGTTTCTACAGGGTATGGAGCAGGTGCTGTTGTGTGAAAGAGTAGATTCAGCTTCTTGTGAGATCACCGACCTCCTTACCGACCGGCAGCGGCAGGCAATGGCTCGAGAGTTGCGGCGGCACAGACGAGTCTGGGCGAGATGTAGTGGGAAAGGAAAACGCTGCGCCACCAGAATCGTTGTTGAGAAACAGGCGGGGGGGAAAAGCGGCTACAATCTTCTGACGGATGCTGGCGTCGTGTGGTGGAAGAAGGACACAGATACTCAACAAACTCCTATCAGCCTGTCAACCGACAGCACCAGCCGCATGGCGGAGCCCTTAAACAGCGCCCTCTTCCGCGAAGTTGTAGTTCCCTATAATACGTCTAGCACGTCTTTGTCTGCGGGAGTAGTCGTGGTTGTTCCATCCGAAGTAGACGCCGCGCCAGGCCCTCCTCTCGTCTTTGCAGCAAATAAAAGTGCTGGGGCAAGAACAGCTTCCTCCACGAGCGCGAGCACCGGAGCAAAAGGCTCGAATTATGTTGCCGAACATTTGCACCTGATGCCTCCGCAGCCGAAAGAACAACAGGGAAATGAACTAGATAACACCATAGGCGGCTCAACTACCCCCGATGAGCAAGAATTATATGACGAGGACATGGACGAGGGCCGGATTACCTTACCCCCACCCTCGAGCCTTCTGAAACCATCTCCGAGCTTTTTGTCCTCCTTGGACTTCGCCACTTCGGGCACGACGAAAACAGATGTGTTGCGAGGTGGACCTGGGAGCGGCAGCACATCACCAGGTCGTCCGCAAGGAGGGGCAGCAAAGACGGCAAGTCCTCCCTCTTCTCCTTCGTCGTCCACCGGAAGTCGCAGTAGTAGGAGCTCGTCCAGTTCTGATCATGCACCATATACACAACTGGCGGGACCGGGAGCTGCACCAGCCCCCGCGTCTTCCTATTTGGACGCTTTTAGTTTTCTGCTCAATAGGGCGGGACGCAGTACTAGCACATCAAAAGTGACCACGGCACCGCCTTTTATCTTCACACGAGAAAAAACAACGTCCGACAGGGGCACATACAACACGACCACTGCGGGCGCCGGTACAAGTTGGCCGCATCAATCTACTTCGGAGGACGAGTTCTTGGTCGCTGATAGAGCAGCCGTGAGAAGCAGCAGCACCACTCAGACACGAGCCACCACGTCCGCACCCAGGATCTATCCACTGCAAAACCAAAAGTATCGTATCGTACTCGTACTACGTGACAAGTCCACCGCTCTACCTGATATAGCATGACAAACTCCATTTTTGTTCTTGAAAAAATATGTGATGCAAATCATGATACTCCTAGTGCGATACAATACTTTTTCAATGCATAGGCTTCTGGTGCCGACGAGGACAACGACTCCAGCGCCAACATCTACTTCCCAGCATGCTGCTGGCGCAGCGGGGACTGCTGCTGCATCTACGCGTTTGCTCCACACCCTCCCAGTCCCGGTGCAAAACGCGTGGCCACATCACCCCCAACTTCCCGCCATCCGCTCCGCACGACAAGAAGCTGGCTCATCTGGCACGAAGATGACGTCGTACACAAATACCGCTGACGCCAAGTACATGTCCCCAACCCAACAGCTTCACGAAGCCGAGAAAAGCGGGTTGCTGGAACGCAGCAAATCGCCTGTGAAAGGAGTGAATCTGGAGCGAATGAGTAGGGGAGGTTGTACTAGGGATCATGATGGAAGTGGTCAACTACGACATGATGATCCTAGTGGTTGTTGTACTGCCGGAACTACAGGAGCGCCGCCAGGTGGAAGAGTTTCTCCTTCTTCTCTCGGTAGTAGACCGCGAACAGGCGGAGCAGGCGGGGAAGGAGGTGGTACTTCTCCCACTTCAGCCGCCGGACGTAGTTTGGTGCAGCAGCAGCTGCCAAAGGTTGTACCTTCGCCTGCTCCTGGCATGACATCAACCTCTACTAGTTGTACCCCGGCGCGCGGTGCTCTTGCTGGACCACGAGCAGGGACGCCCATTACGACGAGACAAAATCCAGTCAGGAGTGCAGGAGCACCAGGAGGGTTTATTTCCCATGCCCCTGCAATGGTTCCAGTCCTTCCCGGTGGGGGCTGCACATCAAATAGCTACAGAGCAGGAGAATCAACAGCGGCAGCTGCACCAGCGCCGGTGGACCACCATGCTCGTTCTTCCCAGTCGTCTTTTCGAGAATCCACCTTCGCCCCGCCCTTCAACTTTCTCGCTGCGCGCAGCAGAGAAAACGATGAAAAAACCGACCGCCTTTTCCAGCAGTTGCCACACCCGACGGAGATCCAGGCCGCTGACGGATCCTGGACTCTTGACACGGCGCCTTTCGACGCCATTTTGGAGGATCTCGCGGCCGTGGTGTGGGAGGACACTCTCATTTTCCTCTTACGGTATCGCATCCCGCTGCTCCATGCCCTGCTGGCGCATGAAGATCGGTATGATAGTATTAACAACGCTGGTCGTCGTGGGGGCAGAAGTTCTTCTTCGTCAGCGTCAGGTGTCGGGGGTACTAGTACAAGCAGAGGAGTAAGGAACGCGCTCGCGGCTTCATCTTCTTCGTCTACAACTTCTCCTTCTCAGACCTGTAGCCGAGGTGGACCTCCTCCTCCGCAACTACAGCAGTCTTCTTCACCACGACCAGGACGTCCAGGAGCTGCTCCCGAGATGGTCAACAACATCTCGCTCAGAGACGAACTGATCGACGCGCTTTCCAAAATCCAGCAAGTCGCGGTTACCCTCCGGGAAAGTGAGGAACGGATGATATTAGCTGCCGGTCGTGCTCGTGCTCGTGCATCTTCAACAAGCGAGAGGGCAGTGCGGGCAGGTGAAGTACAGGAAAGTACTATACCGCACGACGAGGACCTCCACGCAGCGCCGAGTGGTGGAACAGACGCTGGGTGGGATCGCGACAAGGAAGCGACGCCCCGCCAAGAGAAGATCTTCACAGGTGATGTTGACGGAGACACGGGAAATGCGAAATCTCCCAAGAAGAGTAGTACTCGAAATTTGCAAGAAATTCTCACGTTGGAGCTAGAAGCAACACGACAAGTGTATCAGGAGCTGCCCCCGCAGTTGCCTTTGCTAACTCAAACCCAGATTGAGTACTTGGTAGATGCGCTGCTGGCTAGTGTCGACGGAGAAAATGACGCGGCGCGGAGGAAATCCCTCATGGCAACGTTGGGAGACTATCACACAGATGAAAAAACCAGGCAGGTCATTTGTAATGCAAAAATGCATAAACAAAAAACTCTGTATTGCGTGTCCTCAGCAGCTTGCTGTGGGGCCGCCCAAGACAGATTTTTCTGTGTATTTATGTTTGCATTACAAATATGAACTGCCTGCTTCTTTCTGTGTGATAGAGATCCGAATCAGGAGTTTGTGAAAATCTTCTTGGGGTCGTCGTGATGAATCCCTTTATTTCTAGAGTGTACGCATGCACCAACCTGAACCTTCATCAGCGATATTCTGAGAATAAAGTACTAGATTAATTTTGATTATGCAAGTTGTCCACGGTGCTTCTAAGGCAGTAAGCGATCCTAAACCGTAATGAGCCTTGTTCCACATCGGTAATCCAGGAGACCGCGGAGGCCTCGGTTAGATGATTTTCCAAGTAGCCTTTCTCGCATCTAGTAATTTTGGATAAAATCGATCACGTGAGGTATGTTTTTCTCTGGTCTTCGGCATCGATTTTGCATTTCACGGTTAACATCTAAGGTAGTGTGCAAATCATTGTCATTGAAAATTTGATATAGAAATGCCTTCTTTGACGTTTTGCTATGTGGGGGTTCCATTGCTAGCAAAGTCCCGGACTGACAAATGAAACACAAAATGCACAAAAAAAAAAACTACAACTGCTGCAGCAGCTCCTTCTGTATTGGAATACGAATAGAGCACGATGAGAAGTTTGGTCGCATGGCAGAGCTTGTTGGGCGATTCCGTGTGCGCCGCTGTAGCAGCATTCTGCAGAAATAAAACAACCATTGTGTTCGTAGTTGTGCCTTGTAGGTTGAAACAAAAGTTGTAAGAGAAGGCAGAGCAACATTTTTTTGCCAATCACGGCCAGAAGAGTGCCATTGTCGGTTTTTGTTTTTTCCAACAAAACCAAAATGCGTTGAGAGAGCAAAGAGTCAGAGAAAAGCAACCAGCTGACGAGCTACTGGAGAGATGATGATGTATGAAGTTCAACTGCTTCGTGCGCCTGCCTATGAGAGCCAAACTTTGTGCAAGACACGAGATTGAAGAGAGCTGGCAGAAGATGAATAGTACCTTCATTAATCACAAACAGGAGGAGTTGTTTGTTCGGCTTTTACCCCATTCTTATCTCTACCCTTCTCCAATATCTTGTTTTACCGCTCTAATTTGATAAAAATAACTACTCGTTTTGTTTCTTTTCTTGCACTTCTACGACGACCTACCAAAATAGCACTATTGTTTCTATTCTCCCCCACAGCTAGCTCACACAACTACATCTCTGTAAGTATCAACAACTCTTTTACTAGTTTTTTAATAAACAGCTCTGCAAGCAGTATCTATAACAACCGAACACATCAACGAATCACATTTTGAAAACTACAAGTTTTTCAACTACTGGAGAAATAATAGGCAACTACGAGTCAGAGCAAAAGAAACGAAAACACGACTAGTACTCAAAAAAAGTATCAGCACCAGTATTATTCGTCGAAAAGGAGCCTGAACCACGATATTTGCTATCGTGAAGGTGAAGGTTTATTCGGACATCACATTTGTTGAAAGATTCTAAAACTAAGACAATAAGTACGTTATTGTTTGAAAATATCGAGGACGTTCGACCTCTAGGGTCGTCCAGGACGAGCTGTACACTCGTCGAAAAAAATAAAACACAAACACAAACAGCACATGAAAAGCAGCACTTGTTGTCTCAACGTGTAGCCTAAAAGGACAAATTGTAAGATAGTAGAGGAAGGGAACAATATTAAAACACGATCCTGTCAAAAAAATCGCGTTTACTTGTCATCCGCTTGTGTGCTGCTGAAAAAAACGTTCGTCGTTTGACGTTTGATTTCACTCAGCACCGGAGCAGGAGGTGAACAAGATCTGGAAGAAGACAGAACTACTTACACTGCAGGAAAGGAAAACCAACAGCACCGAGCGGCACCGCAACCCCTATCGTCAAAATGGTGACGCTGTTGGAGGACAACACGATCGGCGCGGGAGCAGGAGGCGCCGATCTGGTGAATAAGAACGAAGACCGCAATGACAAGTTGCAGAACAAACTCTTCTACAGTCCGCCCGGGCGGCTGATCCCCACCAAGGAGCTGACGATTGGCACGCCCTCACACTTCGCGTCGAACAAGGCGACTTTGGCAAGTTCCGGGAGTACGGCGACCACGGCTGCGTCAACGGTCGCGAATGGAGGCCGTTCTGGGAACAACTATTCCGGCACTGTGGATGCTGCCGCGGGGAGTGGCGGCGGCTACAGTCCGGGCACGGCTTCCAACTTCGACGTGCTGTCGCCGTTGAGCTCTGCAGGAGCTTCGGGGAAGATGAACATGAACAGTACAGGCATGCGCAGTCCGAAGAGCGACAACTTCGCGGTGCCCTACAACAACAATCTGAAGATGCCGGCGCTGAAGCGCGAGTCCTCTTCCCCGAAACACACCCGGTCGATCTCTCGCCAGTACTCGAAGGAATCGTCGGAGAACTTCTTGTATCAAATGCAAAAGTATCGTACTCATATGAATGCAAGTCTTGCATTACAAATCTTTTTGTTTTTATTAAGGCAAATCCGCATGACAAAGACAAATTCCATTTCTCGCTAAGGAAATTTGTATTGCAATTTATACTGATACAACGATATTTTTGCAATGCATATCTTGCTTTCCGAGTTCGATGCGCCCTGGCCCGCGACGGCGGCGGAGAGCGAGTACGGACAGAATTCTGGCCTGCGCTCTCCCAAGTATTTGTTGTCCGACTACCGGCAGAAGCTGGAGAGCTACCTGCGCGAATACTTCCTCGGCGGAGATTTTCAGGTATAAGTACACATTTCTTGTAGTTATATGCAAAACATGCATCAAGGCCCGTGTTTGTCTTTGTCATGCAAAAACTGGATGGGTGGTCGCGGTATGATTCACCTTTTTGCTGGATATTGGTATGAAAATCAATCTCTAGTAATAGTCCACCCCCTCCTAGTGCAAAAGCTGAAATGAATTTTGGTGATCTTACAAATCTTACGTACATGTTGATTCAAACCTCCTAAAATAAAAATTTCATCAGGCTTTTGTCGAACTGGTGTTCGCTTTGCGTTGTGACGGCTTCAACGACATTCTGGTCGCGAAAATCTTCCGCACCGGCGTGGACATCACCCCGACGCGATCCGCGGACCACCCCCTCTCCTGGGAGAACCTGTTAAAGGGGCTGTTGCAGGAGCAGGTGATTTCGCAGACGGAGCTCCTCCGGGGGCTGTACGGCTTTTGCTGTTCGGTATCCGACTTGGAAAAGGATGTCCCGAATGCCAGTATTTTGCTGCTGAACTTTTTCGCGAACGTGTTCACGGAAGAGGCTCCGATGTACAGCGGCACGGGTTCGGGGGATCAGTCGTCCGGGCAAACCACCGCGTCTGGGAACGAGGACGAGTACGACTACGATCTGAATGACAGCCAGGCTGGACAGTCTACGGCCGTCCCTAGTCTGATCACGCCCACGAACAACCAACGCATGCTGGTGGTCACCACGCGGTCTGGCACGAAGACGCGCGGTCGCGTGCCCGCGGAGATTTTCTATCGCTTTCCCGAGGACGTGCTGCGCAAGCACGGGTCGCCGACGTACGTGGCCATTGCGGACGAGCTGCGCGACCACAAGAAGGTCCTGCAGAAGGTGTTGCGGGATTTCATCCGGACGAAGGACTACGAGCGGGTGAAGATGAATTTGATGGACTTGGAGTCGCAAAGCCTCTTCTGCTATGCAGTGCAAATATGTCTGGATCTGCAAGGTTGCAACTTGTGATGCGCATCTTAGATCACTGCAAAATTTGTATTGCAAAACTAGCAGAAGTTGTCTATTTTTGGTCATGATGAGACCGGATTTCTCATGCAGAGTAGGCATCATGAAGCTGCTTTCGAAGAACCTGTGGTACTGGTCGCTGCATGCCAGACTCTACTCTGGGTCATGCGCAACCTGCATTACAAACATGTGCATTCATCCAGACTCAGACATATTTGCAATTCATATCTGCCACGAGTTCGTGAAGCGCGCGATCTTGATGTCGTTGGATTTCACGCTCGTCGATCAGAAAGCGGTGTGCGGCTTGCTGCAGAGACTGCGGAATGACGGTATAAGTTTTTTGTACGATGAAATTGAAATTGCAACTACGAAAACTACGAATACATTTACATACCAAAACTTTTGCTTCTTCTGATGCACGCATAGTATCACGACGTCAACACACTAGTAGCTTTTGCATGGTGATGCACTAGACGATCTTGTTCTATGCCATGTAGAATCAAACAGCAAGTAAACAAAAACATTCCCATCTTCTAATATGACATAAAACTTTATCAGGTCTCGTCCGCAGTGAGGACTTGCAGCACGGGATTGCGCTGGTTCTGGGGCGGTTGGACGACGTTTTGATTGATGTCCCCAATGCCAAGCGGATGGTAGCGGACATTTTCGTGCAATTTGTCAAGATGGAGATTATCCCGGCAACGTTGCTGAAGAAGGAGCAGTATGAATTGCAAAAGCACCGTACTAGTAGTAGTAGTAGTAGTAGTAGTAGTAGTCGCATTACAAATCAGCTCAGCAGGAATTTGTGATGGTGTTTTACCTCGGGATGAAGATTTGTAATGCATGACTGCGATTACTACGAGCGCGATGCTTTTGCACAGGATAAGCAGCAGCTGCAGTACGGCATGCTTGCGGGCGTGGAGGTGTTGACGGAAGTGCTGCACAAGACACCGGAGTACTCCCGCCAAATCTGGAACGGGATCGACGAGCGGTCGCTGTTTCAGGAGATGGAGTTGGCGATTGAAGAGCACTTCGATTCCTACGATTGCGAGGAAGTGGCGCGGATCTTGACGGAACTGCACCTGACCCGGGAACTGAAAATCAAGTTCCTGCGCCGGTTACTGCTGTACTCCATCGAAAAACGGGACGTGCACACTGGTATAGAAAAAGATGCATGAGAAGTTTTTCAACGTTGATCATACTGTCCTCGTCTTGGAAGTGATTGACTTCATTTGCAATCGGTCATGCAAAAAGTGATACAGTTACAGTGTGTGTAATGCAGACTACCGATTTTTCACCATGAATGACATGACTGATTTATGCGAATCTGTCCAAAAAAGGTTTGAACCTGATTTCCTACCTGCACGGCAACGGTTCTTTTCTCGCCGCGGACGCGAAGGCCAAGATGCAGCTGGTGGAGGACTCGCTGGAGTCTATCCGGTGCGATATCGCACGAAAAAGGTGTTTCACTGTAAGGGTTTTGCAAGTTTCGCATCAGAAGTTCCTGACACATGACTAAGAAAACTTCGCATGCGCACTTCCTAACGGAAAGCACACCTAGAAATTCAATGTCCTGCATGTGCAGCACGACAAACACTTCTGTGTTCCATTCTATGCATCACAAGTTTACAGTGAAGCAGTTTTGTCTTTCGATATGCGACAGCGATGAATTAATCGTCGACCAACCGGACATCGAGGAGGCGACCAGCTACGTCGTGGACCAGATGTTCCGCTACGGACTGATTTCCGGGGAATACTACCGCTTGGACCAGCAGTACATGGTGTAGAGATTCTTCTTCGTGGTCTACTACATCTAGAAGTACACTCCGATATCATGACGACAGCAGCATCACAAAAAAACGTCGACACTCAATGAACAGCAAGTGAAGTATCACTGTATTGAGAAAATATGAGTAAGAGTATGAACAAGAACAGGAGCGGAAAATCAATACTCTGTGCATTTAGTTGTATGATCTCTATCTACAAACGAACTACAATGAAACTTAAGGAGTACTACGAATGAACTGATATTATGCCAATTTACCAATTTACAATTAACATTCAACCTTATTCAACCAAAATCTGGATACAACTTCCTGGGGAGAACTACGGCATTCGGTTTATCAGGAGCGGAAACAATCGATGCCTTCGAAGATGAAAGGCGGTATCCAAGATACACAACTCAATTATTAACTATGTCATTGCAACAGATTCTAGTACGACCAGTACAAATTCAGTAAATGTAAAATCGAGATAGCATTGCCGATGGATTATTACGGTGACATTCAACATCTGAGTAAAAAGAAAAAGATACAACAACATCAGGAGAAAAGTTGTAGGTAAGTAACCGTTTTTATGACACATCATCACGACAAGTACAACGACATCTTCTAGTAGCACGACTTCATGACAAAGATTATGGCGAGAGTAGAGAACAGAAAAGATTCAAAAATACGCAATCAATTTCAAAAGTAGCGGCGGATCACTGTCGACGACAGACGAGGCGATAAGTTTTTTTTAGGTTACTTGCGCTGCATACCAGTTGCAGCTGGTAAATTGAAGGTAAAATAACAAACTTAACACTGGTCCCCGCTACAGTATAACATACTTTTCTGATTATGGACTCGTAAAACACATTTTCCGATCCGACGCTGTCGTTGGCGCTTTTTTTCGTCAATAGCAGTCGAGGACCTAGAGCATCAAGAAAGCCAGTGAGATTGATTGTGAGGACACAGGAGTATGTAAACATAGCTTACTATACAACCGAAAAAACTAAAACAACAAAAAAAAACATCGTGCATGACCTATTCTTTCGAATTATTCAGTCCAGAAATTACCGAAAGACCTTGTGACAGGTATTTCTTCAACATCTAGACAAATACCAAGCCAAACCTAATCTAGCAAGGTCATTTTTTCACGACGTATTTTGATCTTCTTGCACCTCGATTCTACTGTGCAAGAACTTCTTTTTGACATATTTTCTTTCAGTCCTTTCCAGTAACACCGTCCCTTGCTCCTCTTTGAGAGGAATTTTGCTCCTGTTTTTTTGAATGTATCAAACAGCGCGTCCTCGACTTTTCGTCGACGAGCTTAGCGTATAATTATCATCCCTGTATTTGTACAAGCGTTTTTGATACAACTAGTACTCAAAGTTTTGGACAGAAATTCTAATTTCAGAGTCCTATCGCACAACAAGGAGCACTTCGATTGACCTTCGCTTGCAGCCGCTCGACGGAACGCTAAACTGACTGTCGGTGGTTCTCCGGTCGAGAGGCTGTAAGTGGATGCAACGTTGATTTCGCGATTCGACTCGGCAATTTTGGCAAATTTACCTTTCCCACCTCGACAGTGACAGTCGATCGAGACAATTTGTTAAACTGCATATAGAACAATTCCTAGAATTTTCAGCATAAAGGACGAAAAGCATAAAAAGGTTTTCGACAAACGACCCAACAAGACCACCGGGCTGAGCAAATTCTTCTGCAAAATGACACGACTTCTTGTCTCGAATTACAACACGACCTTTTGACTATTGTTTCTTGACTATCATCTTGTCCCCTTCTTGATGCATTTTTTGACAACTATTTTTTTTGAAAACGACGAACATGCTGCCCTACCTGCAAGTGATCCATTCTGCTTCGAACGGTCTGTGTAAGTATATTTCTGACGAAGCGAATGGTCCTCGTGTGGGTGTAGGTAGCTAAATTTCTGCAAATTTTGGCGACCTTCTTTTTGACGGCTATACCTACCAAACAACATACTCATAAGTCTACCCACTACATTGGTCTAAGCGGCTTCTACAGCTTATGCTTAAGTGAATAGAGTCACGCCGCGGCGACGATCACGCATTCAACCCGTCGAGCGTACATCCGCTGGAATAAACTGAAGAGCAAGCACGGACTACTTTTTTGTGTCGATTACGATTTCTGACACGACAACATATATCGAGAACAAGGAAGAGATGCGGCACTTAAAGTTGCGCATCTTGACCTCCTCGAGCAGCGCTCTCGCCACGGCACAAGAAGACGAGAGAATTTATTCGATTTACTTTTGCCCCAACATGTAGTTTTGACAACTTTCTTGAATGAACTTCTTTCTCAATGCTTGTACAAATGCCATCACCAGCACACATTGTTTATTCCGTGTCAAACTTTTTGGTACAACTTTTACCGGACAGATCTATACAGAGAACAGGAGTACGGACATAAACTAGACAAAAAAAAAAACAAAGCAGCACAAGGAACGGTCAATTTACTATACAGCGTTTTTGTGTAGAATTAGATAACCTACCTTTTAGAAGTTTCACGAAAACAACACAAAACGGCGGACAGTGCTAGCAGCCGGATCAGTAGTTGCATCGCACCTTTCTCCTAGACCGATGAGAAACATGCATAGTGTGCCGCGCTGCGACCCCTTCCACCAGGACATTCTAATCACCACTATGCAGCCGCAACAAAAATCTGTCGCTCTACTGAAGAAGGTGCTGAAAAGCAAAAAGGCAGCCGATCAACTTCCAGTTCCATTTACTTCCATGGTGCCGCCACAGCTGCTATTAATTTCTGCTTTTGCTCTTTGCAATTATTGCATCTGTCTTCGGCCGTCGTGCATGTACAATTCATTTTTGAACCAATTTGTGCAAGAATGCAGCGAAAAGCAAGGCGAACTTCACTGAAACAATAAGCCTTGAAAAACACTCTTTAGCAAAAACCGAATGCTTTCAATTCGAATGTACAATGCAAAGAAAAACGAAAATGAAAAACAGCTGGACCACGTCCTAAAGCGGGGAGTAGAAGATAATTGAATCGTCTTGAAGTGTTTTCGTTTGAGTCGTCAATATTGGACCTCTTCTTGTTAATACCGCGCAACACAATTCATCGTTCATCTGTGAACATCTTCGTGCTGCGATTCGTTCCGTTCTTCTTGAACCCTGTCGTCCATATCAATCGTAAGTACGACCAGCGGACCGCCTTCGTCTCTAGATGCAATTCGTCTTCGTCGTTATCTTCGTCATCAGGAAAAAATTGTTGTCCTTCATCGTGTTCACATTTTTATGAGTCGTCTCCAACACCTTTTCCCCATGCGCTCAGGAGGTCGCTCCTTACTCGCAGGTGGTACTTATTCACCCCAGAAATCCAAATCCCTCTCCAATTTTCACCGGTTTTATTCGAGTTAAATTTGCCCTCGCGTAGTTGACGTGGTGCTCTTCTTCTACACAAACGAGTAGAACGACGATCATGATGAAGCCATCTGCAGGAAAATTCTTTTCCTTTTGCGGGCCTTGCTGCAATCTGGTGGCCCTCTTCGGAGCGTTGCTAGTCCTGGTTGCACCATTGTGCCTCAAGTTTCACCTCGTGGCGGACGAGGGAAGTTATTTCCCCTCAGCATCCTGGTCGTGGTCTACTTTTTCGTCCCCGCCAGACAAGGACCACTACATTTGGGCAGGTGGTCCTGACGATCAAGACGGCGAGAGCGAGAAGAATCTTCAAAACCTGAACCTCCTCTGGCTGGGAAAAGAAGAACAGGACCACGACAGCGACGACGCCCTCTACTTCTACGATGACGACGATGAAAACGACATCGAGCTCGAGCTCCACGACGACCACGTTGCCAACCAGTTTTCCTTTTCGTGGAAAAAAGCGGCAAAAGCCTGGGTGGAGGAAATTATCTCCAAGCTGTTTTTGTTTCGGTCCGCCTCCGCGGCAAGCCATGCAGTCTTTACCATGCTTGTTGGCGAGCAGGAGAGCGAAGATTTGTTGTTCGCAAAAAATAAACGTCATTTAACCAGCTCCTCGTCATCAAGCAGTACATCAACTCGTCGCCGCCCGACCACAACCACCTCTCGCCGCCGCCGGTCTACTTCCTCGAACAATGGCAGCGGATCAGGCGGAGGGGGAGGCACCACTGCTCTCTTGATTATTCTGATCGTCGTCGGCTGCATTATCCTTCTCTGTACCTATTCTTGGCTCATGGATTATTTGAACAGGAGAACTATCCAGGCAAACCTGACAAAGGCGTATGAGGTCATGAAAAAGGTGCGGGAAGCGGAGATCAGTAACGCGAGAAATGCGCTCGAAGACGAGGGGAAGTACGTCCAGGCGGAGGAATTTGTTCAAAGTGAACTCAGTGGAAAGAAATGGACCACCATGCCGGATGTTACCAGGCCAGGTGAGTACTAAGTATTACTTATGTGTATGGCCTCGTCAAAGAATCAACGTTCTGAATTTGAGGCTAGAAAAAATAAACTCTATCCTCCATCGGTTCTCTTACACGTGAACTTTCTGACTAAGCTGGTCGTGCTTGTTCAGCTCTACTTTTGTTACTCTCTATGTCATAAATGATCACTGCCAAAAATCATTCAACAGGCTGCGGCGAGGAATTGGAGATCCTGAGAGCGACGAAAGCCGCCGTCTCTTCCGCGGCCAGGTGCATATCAAAGAAGGCCGGGCACCGGGCAAGCCTCTGGGCACCGATGTTCAATCCCAGGTCGAGGGTGTCGTGCTCAGTGGAAAAAAACCGAGCGAAATTGTGCTTCTGTGGTCGGAGTCCTGGAATAGCCATCTGGGCACGCCGCATTTCACGACCGAGTGCCGAGCGAAGGTGCAAGTGAGGGGCGGAACTTTGAGCGGAAACAAGCCAAGTGAAGACGAAAATGCGAAGATCACGTTTGAGTTGATGCGTCTCCAGTGGCTGCCGAACGTGATTCTGGCGGACAAATGGCAGGAAGTTGCGAAACAATCGGACCAAATGGAAGCGTTGAAATCTGAGGAAACATTTAAAAACTCTTCGTCGGGCGACGATGCTTTGGTGCAAGAGGTGTTTGATACCGCGAACACCAAGCAGGTGGCGATCCAATCGCCGCTGATGGACTTTCTGGGCGGAAGGTTGACACTGTACCCTTCTGTTGCAGTGCCGCCACAATTGTCGGCTGGTGGGAATAGTGATGTCACTCCCGCCGCTGGCACGAAGCCCACGAAGCCCTTCTCGCGCGCCAGCATGCGAAAGGTCGGAGTTTTTGACTCGGTCAGAGCTGGAAACCCCTTCTTTCGACGCAGTGGAGGCGGTGGTCCTGCTTTGGGTGGAGATCCTGAGCAGGCTGGTGGCGAAAACAATGCTGAGGAGCCAATTGATGCGGAGGAAGAGCCGGTCGTTGAACTAGCGGAGCAAATTGGAGGGGAAGCCGCGGAAGAAACCACGGCTGCGAACGAAGTTGGGCAAGAGGATGCCGGTGGGGACAAAACAGCATGACAAATTCTATTTGTCATGCATGGCGACGCCGGCGGGGACGACGGTGGTGGCGAGTGAAGTGGCCCAAGGTCAAAGAATAGATCTGTGATGCTGCTGAACTATCTCAACCAGAACTACACTGCGATTCCAAATTTGTCATGCAAAACAGCCAAAACTCGTGGACTTGTCTAGCCTATTCCGCATCTTGACTCTGGTATGGGGACGTTTTTACTCAGGATAGACCAGATGGAGGGGTTTTTATCCTCCGAACAGGAGGAAAACCGGACCAGCAGCCGAATTGAGGTTAGCCAAGGGACCTCCGCCCCACAAGAACTCGAGCCGCAGTCGCAGGGTACTACCGCGAGCTCCGTGGTCGACCCAAACACGCCGGTGGTGTCGTTTCTGGGGGAGCAGCAGCAGTATCTGATGTCTTCGCGACAGAATTCCCCGCGAAACAGCGCGGCGACCGCCGTGGCTGGAGAAGGAGATGCTGGAAGTGAATCCGTTAGGGGACTACAGAAGAGCGGTGCGACTGAAATAAAATCCTCCGTCGCCACTGTTTTACCGGCAGGAAGAACGAACACGACTATTGCAAGAACCAAGGTGATTCCTAATACTGTCATCCTCCAAGAAGATGACTACACTAACGGTCGCGTTTCAGCAGCAGCAGCAGGAACCTCAAATGACCTCCGTCGTTTGACGCTGATGAGCACGGAGACGCCTTTCCAAAGCAAGGCGGACGAGACCGCGGCAGCACAGGCGTCGGCCAACACTGTCGCGTTGGTGCAGGACATCTGGACGCCGGCTGACGCAGTCATCAACGGAGAACTAGAGGAGAAGAAGCTGGAACTGACGAGAAGCGCTGTTTTGCAGCAGTTGCGGGATCTGCAACAGAAAAAGATCGTAAACGACGAAAAAGTGATTTCCGACGTGAAAGCGCGCATCGCGATCCCATCTGAAGCTGTCGAGCCGCACATGATTTTTCAGGACGGGATGCGGTTGACCTACATTCACCCAGAAACGGGGGAGAAATTGAGAAGGCCGGCGAGTCCCGAGCGGAAAATCCGAGATAGGGATGGAGACAGGAAATGGATCAAATTCGAAGAAGATTACAGCATCCAAATCACCGCGAACTACAACAATTGCAATGAGGAGTTGTTTGTTGACGGGAAAAAACGGACGGTTTCCATCCCGGGCGCCTGCTTCTTGCCGAAAAAGGCGCCGAGGATCAATTCCCGGCTGTTCACGTTCCGAAGGGATATGCTTTTGCCAACCTGGGTGAACCAATTCTCGGTTTTGTGGGAAAAGCGGAGAAAATCTTTGGCACACTTGGAGGAGATGTTGGACGCGTTGGAACTGGCCCCGGAGGTGTTGCAGCGGGCGTCGAACTTCCACGCGAACACCAGCAAAGTGAATTACACGGACCTAGATTTCGCCAAATTACCGCTGCAACACAGCAACCACAGAGATGAAAAGGAGGGACGGTTGTTGGATAGGAGATGAAAAAAAGGATGGCGACGCCGGCGGGGACGACGGTGGTGGCGAGTGAAGTCAATGCGCCAAAGGACGATATTGGAAGAATTTCGTCTTACATTTGCCCGGGTTCCAGAGCTTGTGCCAGGGAGACATAGTGGCGCATGCAGGTACTATCAGTTTTGGTATGATTGAGATTGAGTTCGTGTTTTGCATCATTTTTTTTTA